TGTAAAAAAGATCCTCAATTTGTGCTTTAGTTTGAAAGAGCGAGTGATTGATTTTTTGTTGCTTAACGTCCTGTGGCAAATATTTATATGTATGTATGTTCAAGACGATTGTTTGGAAGGAAAATCGACCAGTTCCTTCAACTGGAGAATAAAAAATCAATTCAAAACATTTTGTTAGTTGTTTAATTATCAATTAAATTTTCATGTTATATCTGCACTTTGTGAACAGGGTCTTTTAACCGCCGAACACCACCGCACACCACCAAATATAGCCGAACACCCCAAAAATTAATCAAAACTATGAAAAATCAATAATGTGTGTCAATAAAAGCAGAAAAAAATGTTGAATTGTTGATTTTTTATTGCAATTTCAAAAGAAATCATTTAACGGAGAATATAAACAGCGTTTGTGAAAGTCTTTTTATTATGTTATTGTCTCAAAGTCAAAAAGGACTACAAAACAGTCTTAATGCTTTATATGATTATTGTGACTGTTGGAAACTACAAGTTAACACAGATAAATCCAAAGTTATTGTATTTAATTCAAATGGTAAAACTTTTTTGGAGGAATTTACTTACAATATTCTTGTATTGAAACTGTTAGTCATTATTCTTATTTAGGTATTGTAATAAAATGTAATGGTAATTTCAATTTAGCCATTAATACTCTAATGGAATAAACAAGAAAAGCCTATTTCAAAATAAAGAAAACTGTTTGTCTGAATAATCCATGTAGACTACTTGAATAATTGTTTGATACATTAATATCACCTATACTTATGTACTGTTGTGAAATTTGGGGCGTTTACTCATCCTTATGAAGTCTGAACCCTTTGAAAAACTACACATTAAATTTATCAAAGAAGCACTTGATGTTCATTGCAAGGCTTCAAATGATGCTTGTCGTGCTGATCTTGGTCGAATTCCACTCAAAAGTAAAATTGTATTTCAAGCATAAATTTTTTAAAGCATATACTTTCATCAGAAAATACACTTGTAAATAAAATTTTCTGTGCAACAAGGTTTTCAAACCTCTGGATCCAAAAAAAACTAAATGCAGTTTACAAAAATTAGGATATTCATATCTTGTAGAAAACATTGTTAAACAAAGCAGCACTTGGGACAAGTAAAACAAAGAATTTATGATCAGTGCTTGTAAAATCAAAATGCAAACATACAGGAATCTTCTAAACTCAATTTCTTTCGTCAAGTCTACAAAATGGGTCAAAGACCATCATATGTTGATTCACTAAACAATTTAAATGATAAAGCAGCAATATGCAAAATACGCATAAGTGCACATTCTTTAATGATTGAAAGGGGAAGACATCTTAACATTCGTAGAGAGGAAAGATACTGTGCTGTCTGTAAAAATGGGGAAATTGAAGATGAACAACATTTCTTATTACAATGTAATAGATTAACCTCAAATCAAGAAATATTAGAAAATAAAACAAATGTTATATTTAAACTACAGCGTAACATTACCACTGATGAAAAAATATCTCTCTTGGTTAACAATAGCTCAGCATTATTACTTAGACTGTCTTCCTCTTTCATATCAGTGTCTGAATATAAGGAATAGTGAACTAATATGATACATCAATATGTAACTTTTCATTCTATCATGATATGTTTTAATGTAACTTTTCATTCTACCATGTCAATTAATATAATTATATATATGCAATAGGTCTTAACCATTTATTGTTAATTATGTTGTGCCAATAAAAATATTTGTATTTTGTGTATTTTGTATTTGTTATTGTTTCTGTGAATATATATTGACGTCATTGTTGATTTTTTTCAAATTAAATGTCTATTTCAATATAATTATTTAAGGTATTTTTAATTCTTGGTAGTTGAATTCTTTTTTTTTTGTTCCAAAAAATTTATGTCATTTTAGGGTTTGTTTTGTTATTGTGTAGTTCAATTTCGACTTCCTGATACTGAAACCAAATAATGAACTTGGTTTTCACACAAAGTCCAGGAATGGTGGAAGAATTGTGTAAGGAAACAATCATACAGTTTTCTTATAAAGTCTGGCATTGACTGTGGCTTCCATTTGATGGCAGGATAATAAACATGATTAATACTTTCGTCACTGTTATTAGTCCAAAGTTTTGGAGAATCGTCTTTATTGGTGCTCCTCGGCTCGTTAACGAACTCTTGAATTATCGGCTTAAAGTTTTTCAAAAAGTGCCCTTGAAGATGTGGATATTGTTCAATTCTTACTTGAAGTTACTAGATTTTTCTTCAAAGTCTATTGTGTTGTCAGCATTTACAACCCCTTCTGTACAAAAATGACATCCTTCAATTTGGTCCTTTATTTATCATCTACCCCAACTCTGTTCTAAATGTTGTTTCAGAGTGTCTTTCAAATATTGAGTAAAGAGAAGTCTTGTAGATTTTAGGAAGGCGTCAGTGATGGCTTTGATTAATGCCTTCTCATAATCTGACCCGAAGACGAGTTCCTCTGGATTCCTAAACTCCAAACTGTTAATGTTGAATTCTGACGCCAGGTGCGGGAAAATGTAAAGTAGGTCTTGTAGGATGCATTTTTGTGTAAAAGCGTCGGTCCAATAAATATAGGGTTGTCTTTGGTGTCTTTTATTATCACTCTCTGGTGTTTGTAAACCAGTGCAGTAACAAAAAAATACCAAGATTGAGAAAGTCCGGTCAACACAAACAGCACCGCCTGATCTCGCCAAAAACATCTAGAAGTCCGTCATTTTATCTTCCGTGTAACAAATGATTGATGGTACTTGTTCTTTCTTATGGTTCACTTGCTGATAATGATTTCAGTTATAGACTTGGAGATTTTTTGGAGATTTTTTCTACAATTTTTTTGTTCTGTCAATATATACCTTTTTGTAAATCTCTTCAGATTTTAGAACCAATCGTAAATTTGACCAATAATATCAATAGAAAATAAATATTGTCCAATAATTTTCATCGGAAATAAAATGTCCAATAATCTTGCATGAAATATCTGCGATTCCAATACTTTATGGTATCACTTTTCAATTGTCTTAAAAAAAAGTTGAGAAATCGTTATCAAAGCAAAAACAAAAACTGTGATACTTCTTGTGAGACATAGTTAACAAAACAAACCTCAAAAATTTTGAATGTGTGAATGGTATGGGTTTGCTCATGGTTGAATGCCTTACTATGGCCTGTATTTGTTCACATCTATTTCCTATGGTCTTTATGCATAGTTGTCTCATTGACAATCATATAACACCTCTGTAATTGTGTATATTTTTTGTAAATATATAGCATCATAGACAAAGAAAGGAATAAGGATGTGCAAGCGACAATGTTCTTACCCCCAGCTCATGAAATTGAAACAATATCATTGTATTAATACCCTCGGTTTGAAATTATAAATCCTCATAAACCGGTATAGTTTCATATTAAGTTTAACTGCTATTAATATTTGTTGCTCTGTCTGATCAATTGTACAAATTTTACTACACCAAATGCGCATTTTGACAATTTATCTCTCTTTAGTGATGCCCAAGTCAAAATATTTTAATCCAAAACTTAATACTAATACAATGTAGAAGAGCTGATTAACCAAAGAATAACCAAAACTGAAGCCGAATCCAAATCTGAAAAAGAAATCGTCCATAAAGGATGATTTCTGAATGCTGCATGAAAACCCGAATTCGTGGTCAAGATGTTTCTGAAGTTACAGAGAAGCCACAGACTTACTGCAAATCATATTGTTTAGAATATGACTTTCATGTAGACAAAAACGAGTATAACGAGAAGATCACAACTCAAACCATATTTACAGGAGCAAGGATCAAGTGTAATAATCACAAGAACTCTCATTCCCTTTTACATCTCCTGAAAAATGAAACGGTAATATAACTTTATAATAGTTGATTTTGTTGCCATTTAACATATCATGCTCCGAAGGTGGGAATTCAGCTGTTTTACCTCGGTCTGTCCATTTGTCCCTTGAAACCTTTGTTGGATTTTCTTAAGATATAGCCGAAATTTTTTATCAGTCTTTGTGGGAAAATTCTATCACATGTAATGCGGTTTCAGATTTATCGATCATAAAGTTCCTGTTTACAAAATACTTACTGTAAATTCAGAAATTGTTGTGAGATTTTTATTAATCCGAATAATGTGAATAGATGCGTATCTCAATAATAAGAAGTCGCATTTTGATATCTGATAAATGTCTGTAGGCAGTTTTTCCTGAAATCCCAATAATAAATCTCGCTGTTTCGAACATTTTTCAAAAATCACAATAATAAATCTACACAATAATTTCTGAATTTACAGTATATATTCCAACGCATAATGGCCATGTATGAATGAATCTTCTCATTTTCCCAGGGACAAATAAGTTTTTCCTTTAATTTGTTGTCAGCTTCATGTAATGTTTTACTCTAGAAAAGGATTTATGCAGCCTTGTAATTTATTTTACTCATTTTCAACTTTATATATTGGGAATGTGTGAATATGTCGTTATGTTGTTTTACTATACTGTTCGAAAATATATTTTTTATCAATATCAACATTTATTCATTTGTTGTTGTTGTCGTCTATGTTTAAAAGAGGGGCGAAAGATACCAGAGGGATATTCAAACTCATAGATCGAAAATAAACTGACAACGCCATGGCTAAAAAAGAAAATGACAAACAAATAATAGTACACAAGACACAACATAGAAAACTAAAGACTTAGCAACACGAACCCCACCAAAAACTGGGGGTGACCTCAGGTGCACCAGAAGGGTAAGCAGATCCTGCTCCACATGTGGCACCCGTCGTGTTGCTCATGTAATTACAAACCCAGTAAATAGTCTAATTCGGTAGGTCACATTCTTGAAAAGGGAACTGGATTGTAGTTACGACATAAGGAACATATCCAATATCATCAGTGAAACGGATATTCCATAACGGTCAACCAACTCGTGATGGTTTGTTTGTTTGTTTTGGATAATTAAAGGGACATTAGCTACAAGATATTGAAAAAATAAAGATATGATTTTTTTAATTATCATTTATTTGGTCACATTAAATTAAGTTTTCATAACTCTGAATTTTTCAAAATATCCAGGATTTTCTACCCAAAGTATAGATTAACGAAGCTGTATATGGTAAAACCTTTTGTAATTTTTTCCCTGTTTTTTTTGCATTTGTGCAATACACTATGCTGTTGAATATTAATCCCCCAAAAAAACGTATTTGAAGAAATTTTCTTTTAATTTCTGAAATCTGAAATGAGAAAAAAATTGTTCCCATCCAATTTTTTTCACCTCCCCCCTTTCCCTTATTCCAATAATTAATTCTTTCCCTCAAGTTATGGTCAGTATCTCAGACAATCATCATTTCTTAATACATAATTAACAAGCAGTGTAAAGGAGGTAATCAAACATTACTTAAATTGATTTGGATTACCTCCCTTACACTGCTTTTAATTTGTCTTAATTGTCCTTTAACCAGAAAACCCCGTTTTTCCCCTTTTTTGCCCCCAATTCCTAAATGGTTTGAGCCATAATCCCCCCCAAGTCATACACTTTAAGACAAGTTATTGTCTGGAAACAACAAAAATGCTTATTTGGGCCCCTAATTCCTAAACAGCTTGGACCAGAACCCCCAAAATCAATTTTAAATATTTGAAACGCTCGGCAAGCATTGCGTTTTTAACTGTCTCAAGTGGATAAATATCGTATCACAATCGATACAGTGGTAGAATCTATATTTACATTACAGGTAAGCTAATTGAATCAATAGATTACAGCATTTCTGTGTAGAGTTTCTTATTTGTTATCTTTTTCATTTCTTTAGATGATCAAATTTATTTCAATATAAATGAAAATAATGATGATTGATAAAATATTATTGCATCAAGTTTAAGTTTTCTGAAGACTGTTAATGTTGAGGTCATGGTTCTCGAGGCTTCTTCACATTATGTAAACTAGAGGCTCTAAAGAGCCTGTGTCGCTCACCTTGGTCTATGTGCATATTAAACAAAGGACACAGATGGATTCATGACAAAATTGTGTTTTGGTGATGGTGATGTGTTTGTAGATCTTACTTTACTGAACATTCTTGCTCCTTACTATTATCTCTATCTATAATGAACTTGGCCCAGTAGTTACAGTGGAAAATACTTTGTACAAATTTACAAAAATTTACAAAATTTAAGAAAATTGTAAATTAGAGGCTCTAAAGAGCCTGTGTCGCTCACCTTGGTCTATGTGCATATTAAACAAAGGACACAGATGGATTCATGACAAAATTGTGTTTTGGTGATGATGATGTGTTTGTAGATCTTACTTTACTGAACATTCTTGCTCCTTACTATTATCTCTATCTATAATGAACTTGGCCCGGTAGTTACAGTGGAAAATACTTTGTAAAAATTTACAAAATTTATGAAAATTGTAAAAAATTGACTATAAAGGGCAATAACTCCTTAAGGGGTCAATTGACAATTTTGGTCATGTTGCCTTATTTGTAGATCTAACTTTGCTGTACATTATTGCTGTTAACAGTTTATCTCTATCTATAACAAAATTCAAGATAATAACCAAAAGCTGCAAAATTTTCTTAAAATTACCAATTCAGGGGCAGCAACCCAACAACGGGTTGTCTGATTGGTCTGAAAATTTCAGGGCAGATAGATCTTGACCTAATGAACAATTTTATCATCATCAGATTTGCTCTAAATGCTTTGGTTTCAGAGATATGAGCCAAAAACTGCATTTTACCCTATGTACTATTTTTTAGCCATGTCGGCCATCTTGGTTCGCGGGTGGGGTCATTGGACACATTTTTTAAACTAGATACCCTAATGATGATTGTGGACAAGTTTGGTTAAATTTGTCTTAGTAGTTTCAGAGGAGAAGATTTTTGTAAAAAATTACAAAAAATTACGAAAAATGGTTAAAAATTGACTATAAAGGGCAATAACTCCTTAAGGGGTCAACTGACCATTTTGGTCAAGTTGACTTATTTGTAGATCTTACTTTGCTGAACATTATTGCTGTTTACAGTTTATCTCTATCTATAATAATGTTCAAGATAATAACCAAAAACTGCAAAATTTCCTTAAAATTACCAATTCAGGGGCAGCAACCCAACAACGGGTTGCCTGATTGGTCTGAAAATTTCAGGGCAGATAGATCTTGACCTAATGAACAATTTTATCATCATCAGATTTGCTCTTAATGCTTTGGTTTCAGAGATATGAGCCAAAAACTGCATTTTACCCTATGTACTATTTTTTAGCCATGTCGGCCATCTTGGTTCGCGGGCGGGGTCATCGGACACATTTTTTAAACTAGATACCCTAATGATGATTGTGGACAAGTTTGGTTAAATTTGTCTTAGTAGTTTCAGAGGAGAAGATTTTTGTAAAAGATTACAAAAATTTACGAAAAATGGTTAAAAATTGACTATAAAGGGCAATAACTCCTTAAGGGGTCAAATGACCATTTTGGTCAAGTTGACTTATTTGTAGATCTTACTTTGCTGAACATTATTGCTGTTTACAGTTTATCTCTATCTATAATAATGTTCAAGATAATAACCATAAACTGCAAAATTTCCTTAAAATTACCAATTCAAGGGCAGCAACCCAACAACGGGTTGTCCGATTCATCTGAAAATTTCAGGGCAGATAGATCTTGACCTGATAAACAATTTTACCACTGTCAGATTTGCTCTAAATGCTTTGGTTTCAGAGATATAAGCCAAAATCTACATTTTACCCCTATGTTCTATTTTTAGCCATGGCGGCCATCTTGGTTGGTTGGCCGGGTCACCGGACACATTTTTTAAACAAGATACCCCAATGATGATTGTGGCCAAGTTTGGTCAAATTTGGCCCAGTAGTTTCAGAGGAGAAGATTTTTGTAAAAGTTTACGGACGACGGACGCCAAGTGATGAGAAAAGCTCACTTGACCTATCAGGTCAGGTGAGCTAAAAATTGACTATAAAGGGCAATAACTCCTTAAGGGGTCAATTGACAATTTTGGTCATGTTGCCTTATTTGTAGATCTGACTTTGCTGTACATTATTGCTGTTAACAGTTTATCTCTATCTATAACAATATTCAAGATAATAACCAAAAGCTGCAAAATTTTCTTAAAATTACCAATTCAGGGGCAGCAACCCAACAACAGGTTGCCTGATTGGTCTGAAAATTTCAGGGCAGATAGATCTTGACCTAATGAACAATTTTATCATCATCAGATTTGCTCTAAATGCTTTGGTTTCAGAGATATGAGCCAAAAACTGCATTTTACCCTATGTACTATTTTTTAGCCATGTCGGCCATCTTGGTTCGCGGGCGGGGTCATCAGACACATTTTTTAACTAGATACCCTAATGATGATTGTGGACAAGTTCGGTTAAATTTGTCTTAGTAGTTTCAGAGGAGAAGATTTTTGTAAAAAATTACAAAAAATTACGAAAAATGGTTAAAAATTGACTATAAAGGGCAATAACTCCTTAAGGGGTCAACTGACCATTTTGGTCAAGTTGACTTATTTGTAGATCTTACTTTGCTGAACATTATTGCTGTTTACAGTTTATCTCTATCTATAATAATGTTCAAGATAATAACCAATAAAATGCTTCGCTGGGCGCAGCTTGATACGACCGCAGAGGTCGAACCCTGAACAGTTGGGGCAAGTATGGACACAACATTCAAGCTTGATACAGCTCTGAATTTGGATTGTGATTAAATATTTGACACAGCATAGGTTTCTGACACAGAAAGAATGTGGTCTAAGAACTTCAATTTTTTTTAATTTACCTATTCTGGTCCAATGTCCAAAATCAAAATACATGGTTAGATTCAGCATATCAAAGAACCCCATATATTCAATTTTTGTTGAAATCAAACAAAGTTTAATTTTGGACCCCAACTTGAAAACTGGTCCCATAATCAAAAATCTAAACATATGTTTAGATTCAGCATATCAAAGAACCCCAAAAATTCAATTTTTGTTAAAATCAAACTAAGTTTAATTTTGGACCCTTTGGACCTTAATGTAGACCAATTTAAAAAACGGGACCCAAAATTAAAAATCAAAATACACGGTTAGATTTGGCATATCAAAGAACCCCAATAATTAAATTTTTTATGAAATCAAACAAAGTTTAATTTTGGACCCTTTTGACCTCAATATGAACCAATTTGATAGCGGGCCCACAAATAAAAAATCTAAATACATGGTAAGATTCAGCATATCAAAGAACCTCATATATTCAATTTTTGTTGAAATCAAACAAAGTTTAATTTTGGACCCCAATTTGGACCAACTTGAAAACTGGGCCAAAAATCTAAAATCTAAATACATGTTTAGATTCAGCATATCAAAGAACCCCATATATTCAATTTTTGTTGAAATCAAACAAAGTTTAATTTTGGACCCCAACTTGGACCAACTTGAAAACTGGGCCCATAATCAAAAATCTAAACACGTTTAGATTCAGCATATCAAAGAACCCCAAGAATTCAATTTTTGTTAAAATCAAAATAAGTTTTATTTTGGACCCTTTGGACCTTAATGTAGACCAATTTAAAAACGGGACCCAAAATTAAAAATCTAAATACACGGTTAGATTTGGCATATCAAAGAACCCCAATAATTCAATTTTTGATGAAATCAAACAAAGTTTAATTTTGGACCCTTTTGACCTCAATATGAACCAATTTGATAGCGGGTCCACAAATAAAAAATCTAAATACATGGTTAGATTCAGCATATCAAAGAACCCCAAGAATTCAATTTTTGATGAAATCAAACAAAGTTAAATTTTGGACCCTTTGGACCTCAATGTGGACAAATTTAAAAACGGGGCCCAAAATCCAAAAACTTAATACACGGTTAGATTCAGCATATTAAAGAACCCCAAGAATTCAAGAATAAAACCCCATTGAAATTGATCAAGAAATAAGCAATTTATACGAAGTATCTTCTTTTGCACAATACTGTGCAATTGAATATTTCTTGCTATTGTGCAATACTGTACAATTGACAATTTCTTGCTATTGCGCAATATTGTGCTATTGGATATTTCTTGCTATTGCGCAATACTGTGCAATTGAAGATTTCTTGCTATTGCGCAATACTGTGCAATTGAAGATTTCTTGCTATTGTGCAATACTGTGCAATTGAAAATTTCTTGCTATTGCACAATACTTATTATATAATAATTTACACATCCTGTTTGGTGTGTATCTCCTACCATATCATTATTATTTGCTTTTAAATATCAATCAGAAATAACCAACTTAAAATGGAAAATTTTAAAAGAAAAAAAAAAGGAAAAAAAGAAAAAAAAAGAAAACCACCCCCCCCCCCCCCCCCAAATTTTTTGAACCCCCTTATGATTCATCACCCCCAAACTCAATCCCAGCCTTCCCTTTGTGGTATGGTACCTTGCAGTACAATTTCAGAGAGATCCATACACTTGAACACAAGTTATTGTCTGGAAACTAGAAAAATGCTTATTTTTGGCCCCTTTTTGGCCCCCAATTCCTAAACGTTTCGGGCAATTACCCCCAAACTCAATTCCAGCTTTCCCTTTGTGATATGGAACCTTGTAGTACAATTTCAGAAATATCCAAACACTTACACACAAGTTATTGTCATGAAACTAGAAAAATGCTTGTTTTTTGCCCCTTTTTTGGCCCCTAATTCCTAAAATTTTGAGGCAATTACCCCCAAAATCAATTACAGCCTTCCCTTTGTGATATGGAACCTTGTGGTACAATGTCAGAGAGATCCATACACTTACACACAAGTTATTGTCTGGAAGTTACAAAAATGCTTATTTTTGGCCCCTTTTTGGCCCCTAATTCCTTAACTGTTGGTACCATAACCCCCAAAATCAATCCCCACCTTCCTTTTGTGGTATTGAACCTTATGGTAAAATTTCATGGAGATCCATTCACTTAAACTAAAGTTAGAGTGCGAAAACCAATGTGTCTTCGGACGACGCCGGACGACGCCAGACGTCATACCAATATACGACCAAAAAATTTTCAATTTTTGCGGTCGTATAAAAACTGCAAAATTTCCTTAAAATTACCAATTCAGGGGCAGCAACCCAACAACGGGTTGTCCGATTCATCTGAAATTTCAGGGCAGATAGATCTAGACCTGATAAACAATTTTACCCCATGTCAGATTTGCTCTAAATGCTTTGGTTTCAGAGATATAAGCCAAAATCTACATTTTACCCCTATGTTCTATTTTTAGCCATGGTGGCCATCTTGGTTGGTTGGCCGGGTCACCGGACACATTTTTTAAACTAGATACCCCAATGATGATTGTGGCCAAGTTTGGTCAAATTTGGCCCAGTAGTTTCAGAGAAGATTTTTGTAAAAGTTTACGGACGACGGACGCAGGACGACGGACAACAAGTGATGAGAAAAGCTCTCTTGACCTTTCAGGTCAGGTGAGCTAACAAAAGAAAATGGGGTCCATGACGTGTGGTCATGCACACTGTACAAAATTATATATGACAACAGTCAGATTTCTCTTGTCAAAAGAGATTTATATGTATATTGCAATAAATTATTCAGAAAGAGGTACATTCAGTTTAAATTATATTTCTGATTCTGTGGGCACTAAAGAGTTTTATCAAAATTCTCCAAACCTGCTGCTCTTGTATATTTTATAAATAAAATTTCCTGAATATACCTATCCTATTTGCGGATATATTCTTATATCCGATATTCGATTAAAATTAACATTAAACATATAAGGAAGGGTTTGGTGTTATGAAATAATATAATAGCCGATATTTTCATTTATCCAATATTTGATTAGGTGGAGTCTACTGTACAAAATAAGGACTATCTAACTCTTATTCCTTCAAAAATATAAAGTTTTGTACAACTTATTTGATGGTTCATCCTGGAATTTCATCTTTGTTTTTCTTTACACCATTCTTTGCTAGTGTGACAACAGGACTGGTAAAAATGTATTTTTAATGACAAGATTTACATGAATAATTTATCAGCACTGCTATCTAGAGTCAGTATGTTATAAGTAATGTTTAATGATTCTGGAGTCTCACACATCATGAAGCTGTGGCCTCTAATTCTGTTGCTGGAGTATCAGGCTCTTCATCATTGTAGATATTCTCAGCCTGAAAAAAAGCAAATATTTAATGACGAGTTAAAATTGAAAAAAAAAAACAATACAAAGATAGTTCTAAACTAAATGTGTAGATATGAAACCAGAATGACAAGCACTCAATCTAAGTCGCCATCATCAAAATCTGCAGGCACGAGGAAACAAATATTAGGACACTTATTTATTTAGAATGATTATGTGGTAAAGGCATCAAATTTACAACTCACAAGACAAACAATGAGAGTTATTAAATGATATATTCACACTGGTAATTATCTTTTCACTTCAATGACACATTTCTGGATTATTCTTAATTGAGTTCACTCAAAATATAAATTTAGCATAAAGTTATAGTACCCATATAATTGTGAACAACCTGTTTTTGGAATAACATTACGTGAATATTTCAGGACAATTCTGTCACTTGTTATATCTAAAAGATCTTTAAAAAGTGAAGTTTCTGATCTCTGTCAGAAAGTCTGTTAAATTTGTTCTCCCCCTTTTCCCCAATTACAGGAGAGTGAAAAGAGCATGAAACGTTGTACAGACATTTGAAGAATGTAAATCTTTTGCAAACTTTGAGTTTTCTATGTTGTGTTTTGTATACTGTAAATTCAGAAATTATTGCGTGCATTTATTATTGCGATTTTGGAATAATTATCACAAATGCGAGATTAATTATTGCGATTTTCGGAAAAGCTTAATACATTATATGTCTCAGATATGAGAATGCGAGTTCTTATTATTGCGATACTCGCCCAGTCGCATTAATAAAATTTAATCATTGTACTTGATTTATTTTCTCTTTATGGGCCCTGTAATTTGGAAATAAAATTATTCTATTCCATTCTTTTCTGTATACTATTTTTGGTCTATTGTCTTTTTTTCTTTTTTAGCCATGGTGTTGTCAGTTTATTTTTGACTTGTGAGTTTGAATGTATCTTTCGCCTCTCTTTTATTATCCCAATGGTATCTTCTGCCTGTATTTTACCTTTCTGTTCATATCATTATACTATAGGGTTATTGCATGAATATTGGGGAATATTGTCCTGAGTAGAATTTTATATTGCACGAGCTTGGGAGTGCAATTTATGTTCTACGAGGGACAAAATTCTCTAATATTCATGCAATAACCCTTTTATTGTACAGCAATATAATATTTGAAAGTAAAAATTGGTTTAAACTAAGATTTTGTCGTTGATGACATCATAAATTTTGAAGATTTATTGCACTAGTGCAATATTAGAATTTATTGCACGCTAACTTTTGGTTACTTTCTGTGGGAAATATTATATTGCTATGCAATAAAATGATTTTCCAGACTTACCATTTGCCAGACCTGCATAATGTTATCTTCTGATACAGAACATATTACCCAGGGTTCATTTGGGTTCCAAGAGAAGTCTGAGATCTTTGCTGTATGTCCTCCGTGTATAAACTAAAATAAGCATGCCATAAAATATTATTATGTCACTATTCTTGCAAACAAAAAAAACTAGCTTTCCAGTGAATCCCAAACTCTGTCTGACTGACAAAATTTCAGACAAAAATTCATTCAGTCATACAGAAAATTTTAGATTTTTAAGTTGAAAATATAGTAAAAAAGGTCAAATTTCTTTTTCGGTCAGACAAACTCTAAAACAGTTTGGCTCAGACTGGCATTCAGTAGTCTTAGATCTGTACTTTGAATTTTATGTAACTGTCATACAAGTGAGAGGTTTAGCTAGCTATAAAGCCAGTTTTAATCCACCATTTTCTGTATAAGAAAATGCCTGTACCAAGTCAGGAATATGATAATTTCCTGTCGATATGCACATCTAAATAGTATGTCCTTATTATCTACAAAGTTTCATGAAATTCTGCTGTGTGGTTTCAGAGGAGTTGCGATGACAAGAACAGGACTGACGGACAGACAAGACGGATGGGCCAAAACATTATACCCTCCGCAACTTCGTTGCATGGGGTATAATTATATTACTTATTGTATCTTTGAAAAATATCCAATAAAGAAAACTTACCAATGACCATTCAACTGTGAAAGTGAATGATTGATTTTTTGTGTTTAACATAACTTTCAGCACTGTTGGCTATAATGTAGAGGCCAGTTTTTATGGGTCATGAAAGCCGGAGAAAACCACCAAATGCAAGTGGAGGTTGGTGTAATAAATTAAGAAAGTAAACTTACCAATAATTCTGGTGGTCCATCTTCAGCATCCTCTGCTGACTGCTCTTCTCCTATTTTACTGTTAATATAAATTAATGTGTTCCGTTAAAACTATACATAGTCAATTTTTAAACAATCGTGTTATCTTAAACAAAATGCTTACAAATGTATAAATGATTTCCATGATAGAAGACTATATGTCAATTCCATAGGATAGATGATAGACTCTCATTTCTAATTTTTTTGTTAATTTCACACATTCACAATGGTGAGGTGGGAATGAGAGCTGTTTCTTGATATGCTTACGGTCAAGGTCATCCAATTACTTTTGTCTTCACTAATATACCATGGATAACTTTTGTTGTTCATCATTTTTTCATTTATTTAGTTTTAATCAAGTTCTATCGTTAAGGAAATATTAAGCTTCTCAATGATCAAAATTAGTGTTTGACAAACTGCTATATATCCAATGAAATTTTTCCGATAAAGTGTGTGGTTCAATTTTTTTGAATTTTTTTTATTTTTGTCAAAGGGTCATAGTAAATACTTTGTCAAAATTTTATGAAAATTAAACGAGCCAAATTAATTTTAGTCAAGGTGTTTGGTACCACCTTGAGAAATAATAACTACTGATATCAAAAACATTTAGCTAAACAAGATTTTAAAGTATTTTAAGGATAACACAAATAATGCATAAATAATTTTGCTCTTTCCATTAGCTCTTCATTGTCAATGTATATAAATGTCCATCCTATGGAATTAGCAAATAGATTCTTTAAGTAAACCGGTTCAGGATACAATGTAATTTTAGAACAAGAATACATGTGTTGTCGTGCTAAGCATACCCCATTCATAGTTGAAAGTATCTGAAAACAGGAAGCAGGTGTCCAACAGTTCCTGAAGGCACACACACGTTCCAACTCATTACTGTTAGGCTGCTTTTAAAATCATTCTATTCAGTATTACTTGAGAAAAACATGACTAAAATTGTTAGTTCATTCATCATAATGAATAAACTGCTTCGCTGAGCGCAGCTGGATACGCCCGCAAAGGTCTAACCCTGAACAGTTGGGGCAAAAATGGACACAATATTCAAGCTTGATACAGGTCTGAATTTGGATTGTAATTAAATATTTGACATACATCTATTATAGGTTTCTGAATTAATGTAGTCAAAGAACTTGAAGTTGGTTATATGAATTGAATTTATATTCAATTAAAGATTTCTTGCTGTTGTGCAATACACTGTGCTGTTGCCCAATACTTAGTAAATCTGTTGTCAGACTAAAAACAAAAAAAATTATAAAATTCTAAAGGGAGCTTACATCAATAGATATAAACAGTTCACCAAAGTTTCATACGAATTGCTGAAAGCATTTTTGAGTTTTTGTCTGAAAACTGGAAAATCCCCCCTTTTTTAATGAATAAACCCCATAATTCGGAAATGTAAAATCTAAAAATTATAAAATTCTAAAGGGAGCTTACATCAATAGATATCAACAATTCATCAAAGTTTCATGAGAACTGCTGAAAGCATTTTTGAGTTATTGTCCGAAAACTGGAAAATCCCCCTTTTTTTCATGAATAAAACCCCATAACTCGGAAACGTAAAATCTAAAATTTATAAAAATCCTAAGGGAGCTCATGTCAATAGATATAAACAATTAACCAAAATTTCTTGCAAGTTGGTGAAAGCATTCTTGAGTTATAGTCCGAAAACTGGAAAATCCCCCTTTTTTTAATGAATAAAACCCCATAACTCGGAAACGTAATATCTAAAATTTATAAAAAACGAAAGGGAGCTCATGTCAATAGATATAAACAATTAACCAAAATTTCTTGCAAGTTGGTGAAAGCATTCTTGAGTTAATGTCCGAAAACTGGAAAATCCCCCTTTTTTTAATGAATAAAACCCCATAACTCGGAAACGTAATATCTAAAATTTATAAAAAACGAAAGGGAGCTCACGTCAATAGATATAAACAATTCACCAAAGTTTTAAGCAAATTGGTTAAAGCATTTTTGAGTTAATGTCCGACATGTTGACGACGGACGGACGGACAGACGGACGTACAACGGTATACCATAATACGTCCCGTAAACGGGCGTATAAAAATTCAAAATTTCAGCAAAACAGGAACATCTGTGTCCGACCGATCTGAAAAGTGTTCATGGGTCACAACTCGTCACTATCAAGCACCTGACCAAATATAAAGTCAATCTGTTTTGTAGTTCCGGAGAAAAGTGTGACCGAAATATTTCTTAGACGAACGGACTGACAGACAGGGAAATGCAATATGGCCCCAACTATAAGGGTCAAGAGCTACAACAAATAAGTAAAAATACCACAAACCTAAGATCCCATACATGGAGTCTTCTATCTGTTCCACTGGAGGCTAGAATTGTCTCATTATGTGGGGACCATTGAACCTGTTATTAAATACAATATTTTTATTCATGAGTAAACAGGTTTAAGTCAAATGCAGCTAAATCCTTACATCTATTTTTTATCAAATCTTATTCGGACTTTTATTTTTTTTAAACATCCAGTGCGATAACTCAGGTTCTCCCTTCATGTGCCTCTCTTAATATCGATAAAAGTTACTTACAGTTCTTATGTAATCATGTGAAATATAAGTTGAACATAAAGTCTCACTCGTACATTTTTGTCGAGTTTCAAGTTTGATTGATTAATTGATTGATTGGTGATTGCTTTACGCTGCATCAAGTTTCAAGTTTGAGGTTTTAATGCAGTTACATTTACCTGGACATAAAATTATCCAAAACTTCAATTATTTCATGGAAATAACTTTTTTTTAAATTTGGAATATTTAAGGTTAGAGGGTGAGTGGTATTAATCGTCCAACATGATCTTTCAACAATTTTTAAGGACAAATACATGTTGAAGTGATTTGACAATAGAAGACGTTCGTTTCACTGTACAAAATTGTTGAAAAATAATTTCTTAATCATGTTATGACAGTATAATGATAGACTACCCAATTTTCCAGGCAATTAATTGATTTTGAATTCAAAGTTTTCTTGGCCAGGAATTCAGAATGTTGTCAGAATCATCTTCAAAGGTCAAGCAATAATACTTACCTGGAATATTTCATCTTTATGCGACTCAAATGAATGTAACTTCAACTTTAAATTCCGCAAATCCCACAATGCAACAGTCTACAAAACATAGATGGTTATCAGTCATTAACTTTTTGTAGAACTGTTATTATTATTTAATAATTCACTGATATTTCATTCTATATAGAAATATATGTCTAACTGTCTAGGAAAGAAATACAATCAAATTATTTCTTTTTAATAAACGAGATACAAAATTTTGCTTTTCAATATAGTAAAACACTTTATTCTCATTAAATAATTTTTATAAGTATTTTCTGATTTCAATTTTTATTTTCTCAATTTTAAAATCTGTTTTCAAATGGTATTCTAATGATTTTAAAGGCTTTGAAAACATTTGACCAATTTCCTTGTCTTCCCAGGATACATTTCTTTACCACATTGTCCTCTAAATATAAAATTCAGGTGATGTTGTATGATTGCCAATGAGACAAATCTCCAGGAGAAAAAACAATAGAACAAGGATATACAAAACCACTGCAGGTCACTGTACAGCTTCATATGATCAGTAATAAACTACTTCGCTGAACGCAGCTGGATACGCCCGCAGAGGTCCAACCCTGAACAGTTGGGGGCAAAAATGGACACAATATTCAAGCTTGATACAGGTCTGAATTTGGATTGTAATTAAATATTTGACATATTATAGGTTTCTGAATAAATGTAGTCAAAGAACTTGAAATTGGTTATATGAATTTAATTTATATTCAATTAAAGATTTCTTGCTGTTGTGCAATACACTGTGCTGTTGCGCAATACTTAGTAAATCTGTTGTCAGACTATAAACAAATGAAGTTCAATTAATTCTCAATGTCATATTAGAAATTTATGAAAATCAAAAAGGAGCTGACATCAATAGATATAAACAATTCACATAAGTTTCATGAGAATTGCTGACAGCATTTTTGAGTTATTGTCCGAAAACTGGAAAATCCCCCCTTTTTTAATGAATAAAACCCCATAACTCAGAAATGTAAAATGTAAAATTTATAAAATTCTAAAGGGAGCTTACTTAAATAGATATAAAAAATTCACCATAGTTTCATAAGAACTGCTGAAAGCATTTTTGAGTTATTGTCCGAAAACTGGAAAATCCCCCTTTTTTTCATGAATAAAACCCCATAACTCGGAAACGTAAAATCTAAAATTTATAAAAATCGAAAGGGAGCTCATGTCAATAGATATAAACAATTCACCACAATTTCTTGCAAGTTGGTGAAAGCATTCTTGAGTTATTGTCCGAAAACTGAAAAATCCCCCTTTTTTTAATGAATAAAACCCCAGAACTCAGAAACGTAAAATTTAAACTTTATAAAAAACGAAAGGGAGCTCACGTCAATAGATATAAACAATTTACCAAAGTTTATACAAGTTGGTTAAAGCATTTTTGAGTTAATGTCCTACATGTTGACGACGGACGGACAGAGGTATACCATAATACGTCCCGTAAACGGGCGTATAAAAAGCATATTTAACTTACTTTATCTGCAGAACCTGTGGCAAGGATATATTCACTATAAGGATTAAATGACAAGCAGTTGACTTCAGCTGTGTGGGCATCCACTGTGTGACTGGGTTTAGATGTGCTTTTAGATCTGGTATCCCAACTGAAAAGAATCATATAAATATATAAAAGTAAAAATTATATTACAGCATGGCATATAATTGGTCAAGCCTTGAATATCTATTATGGTTTTCAACATTGATCCATTAATTATAGCAAAAAACAAGTCCTTCGTCAAGATACAACCCCCACATAATATAGGTGTAATATTGCAAAAAATTATAGTTTTGAATAAAACAGGGCATAACTAATTGACTGAAATGTATATTATAACAATTTTATAGTCAATTTTATATCGACTATCAGAACAAAACTACACACGTCCTTCGAAAAAATGTGGTGGTTTGAACAATCTGAAAAATCCAGAAAATCATGAACAGGCTACCGTAAATTGGAAATTTTTTGCAATGTTTTTATTATTGCAAATATTGCGACAAGACAAATTGCGCTATGCAAAAATGGAAACTCGCATTTTCAATTTTGGTAGCCTTTTTTGTATGCAACAATTCCTGAAATCACCATTATTAATTTCACATTGTTCAACAATTGATATAATAAAGGAACTCAAAAACTTATCAATTCACAGTCTTCTAGTTCAAAGATGTGGAACAGTAGAAAAGGACTTTCAATATTCCCATTCAACCAAAACATCTAAAGGATATACAACCATTTGATGATCTACAACCCCATGTCCACATTTAAAGCTTTCTTTCCTTCCTTTCTACATTCATTTTAATGGTTATATATTACTGATATATATTAAAACTTACATCAGCAATTTTTGATCATCTGCTACTGAACCAAAAAGACTTTCATGTAATAAGTGCCAAGCTACATCCTATAAAGATAAAATATAATTTATTACTCCACAACATGCTATGAAATGTTTATACTAAAAATTACCAATTTCTCAAACACAATCTTTAAGCATCTACGATAATGCAGTTTTCATAATAAAAGTCTGAGCTTCTGCTTTCAGCAGATATTTAATGTTTCTCGTTTTCTATGCACTTTAACATGTTAAAACTTGGTTGATCAATGTAATCCAGAAATATCAGGTAGACTCAAAACTTCTGATGTCAAATATATGCAAAGGAGCTGTTTCAGTGTCTTGTCCTAGATGTATGTGTAAAATAGATAAAAGAGTGTAACACTATATGATGAAAGTCTAACAGAGGCAAGAAATAACAATTTTTGCAAAGAAACCTAAAATCCCTTAATTCAAAACAAGTTGCTTGTGAGGATGCCTGTCAATTACTATGCAAGACAATGTTTTTTTTTGTCATTGTTTCGTATAAATAAGTAGTTTCTATGTGCATATACTAGATAACTGAAGGATATGAGTTGGATCAAGTCTTGACAAAAATGGTATTTGCCCCTTAGTTCACTAATCACCCTGTATTCAGCAGTAAAAGCAAAAACCAGTCAGTTGGGATCAGATATAGTGTGTTCAGTTAGGGTGATATGTTTTCCTGCAGATAACCTTGTTAACTAGCTATTCAAATTCTTGCTCAGGTTGTGGGTCTTAAACAAAGCGGGATTCATAATAATATCACATGTTCTGGTCCTGAATATGCATGATATAGTTACCATTTAACATTAAACAGCGACTAATCCATTTATATATTTTAGATATATTTTTATATTCTATAAACATACTTCTTTGTATCTATTCTAACATATTTATTAGTTACTTACTTCAACCACTGAAGTGTGTCCTGTAAAAATTGTCTGTGCATCAACTAATTTTGTATCTCGAGGTGTGGCATTAATGTCCCATAAACAAATTGTCTGAAATGTATAAACAGGTAGAAGATATAACACTTATCATAACAAGAATATTTACCAAACATTTAGACAGACCTTTGTTGTTGGCAATCATAATTTGTTGTCAGTTTGGTTGGTCAGCCAATTACAATATAAAAATAAAGAGATGTGGTATGATTGCCAATGAGACAACTACCCATCAAAGACCAAATGAAAAGTCCTTTTTTTCATGTTTTTACCTGACACTCTCTATTCACTTATACAATCTCACTTTTCTAAATTTATCTTCATCAAACCTTAACATTTGATTGCCAGGGATGTAAAAATACATAGCCATATTAGGAGGTATATGACCAAAGCAGACCTACAAAGAATAGCAAAAATGTATTTGTCAACTTTGCCCGAGGGAGTTGGAACCTTGTGTTTTTATTTTTTTAAATATCTTATCATTATTAATGTAGGAAACTGGAGTGGTTAGGTACTCTCATATTTTTAAAACTTGTGACACTTTTATCTTAGAGATAATTTCTATGCTTCATGCTGGAAGTTTCACTGTGACTTTGAGAAGAAGAATAGTAATTTAAATGCTGGCCCTTTAGACTTGGTTTTGTCAAGTGTGTGTAATAATTTTGGGTTATGAATTTATACACCACATTCTTCCATTTCCATTGCCAAGAAATTGACAAACTGCAATACACCTTAAATATCTCCATTTGTCTGCAATTACTGGAAATCACAAATGTTTCTGTAAAATTTTGATATCACAAAAGAAAATGTCTTAGACCATAATGCAAGAGTGAATGTTGTATGACGTCAATAGTTCCAAGTGTCACAAAATCTTGGGTAGAGTGTAGCAGATTCCCAAATAGCAAAAAGGTCTATATAGATCTAAATTCCCATTGTCCATAATGCCATTTGATCTGCATGATTGTTCTCATTAAAACACAAAAATAAATACTTAAAAGAGTACACTTTTTATATACCAATTATAGTATATGTGGAAATCTTGCTTTTATAGAATTCATGTAACTAGATATAGACGATATCTATATAAAGCGGACATTTTTATATTGTTTTTTTTTCTTAAAATTATATAAACTTACATGGTCATCTGATGCACTGAGTAAATGTCCATTTAAATTGGGGTTCCATGACAAACCATACCTATAATCATATAAATTACACAATTAATGAAGGTCAAATAAAAAATTTCAGATTTAAAATATTCAATGGACTGAAATAACTAAGATGAAATAACAGGAAACAAAGATATATTTCTGAGGCCTATGGGCTGTTCCCTTAAAAAATACATGGTAGTGAAAATGTCATCGAAATTCTAAAATTAGGGAGGGGGGGGGTTTGAACTTGCAGAACTGGTTGAATATCTATAACTTAGAACATTGTTAACTTATCACAAGTTTTTGGTGTACACTTTTAAATATTACCCATAATACATTAGATTCTGAAAGAGAGGGGAATGGTATCAAAGGGATGTTCAAACTCAAACGTCGAAACTAACTGACAATGTCATGGCAAAAAACGATAAAACAACGAATAGACAAATAAAACATCTTTTTTTCCTCATTAAGTTGGAAAACTGATTATACAAAAAAACTTTTAGTCCATTTCGCTGAACTAGTATACATCATTGATTAGGGACCAGCTGAAGCCGGCCTCCGTGATGCAGGATTTTTTTTTTGCAGACCAATTGGTGGCCTTGGGTTGTTTTCTGCACTGGTTGGGTTGTCGTCTCTTTGACACATTTCTCGTTTCATTCTCAATTCTATGATGAACACTTTCAGCAAAATGAAAGTGAACATTAGAGTCGTCTTACCCTTCTTTTTGGTGACCTTTTAATCTCAATTCAGGATTGCACTCTCCACTGGGATCTACAAAACAAAGTTAAAACATAGCTTATTAAACTATATTATCAATAAACTGCTTGACATGGCCATCAATAGGATTTAAATAATGTCCACCTCATGGCAATATGTGTGTATTCAGAGAAGAGGTGGAAATATAGCTAACAATCCAGTGACAATGGGTTTTCTATTGCATTTGCACAGTCTTTACCCCGAAAAAATCATCCAGGTCCTTTTTAAATATATGTATAAAACTATCTTTGTCAATGTTATTCCTATCACAAAATATTAAAACTCCAAAAAATGTCCCCCTTTTCAAGAGACCATTGATTATACGTTTTCCCTTCTTTCTTCACGAAAGTTTTTGAATGAACTTGACTTTTTTCCTTAATACCAAGACATCAATGAATTGTATCTTCTTGCAATTATAACAAAATTTCCTATGGGCTTGAAAGGTAAAAACCTAATTTTTTTCTTTAATCAACAAAATTAATACATATGAATTTACTGAATGAATTGGACAGCATTGTCAAATATCTAGAAACTGCTGGAACATGTTTCTTTGGCTACAAGTACATTACAAACCTGGTTTTGATGGATGCTTTGTGTAGTCAAAAACCAAGACATCGCTGGACGGCGTCTTTGTGGCTATAATACAAGGATTCTGTGGCATATATCTGGCTCTGTTCACCTCACCTTCATGGTTTATTTTTATTTCTATTTCTATTTTACCACTTACAGAACCAAATCCACCAAATTCTGAAAAAATATAATAAACATTTTAATGTCCGACATTAGATAATTCTGTATACACTATTGCAATGCAATTGATGTATTTGGCTTTTGAATTCGAAGCACAGTAACATGTCTCAATTAAAACCTCAAACAAGAAAGCAGACATTGCCATGCTAATAACCCCCCACTCGTAATTCAAGGAATCAATAAACAGGAAGTAGGTGTGTGACAGGTAAGAAAGGCTGCAATCAACTCATCAATACTAAGTTGAAACCAAATTTGAAGTCATTCTGTCCAAAAGTACTTGAGAAAATTGTGGTGGAAATATTTGTTGGACGAATGGATAACGTGAATGCAATATAACATCATTTGAGTAGGGATATAGTAATAAAAAGATGAAAATCTGTCAATATTTTAAAACACCTATCACTCTGAAATATCAAGAGTATATTCTATACTAATTCAGGGGTATACACATTTCACTATTGTTACCCTTGTTCACCCGAGATCATCCTGTTTCTCAGTGATTCACCCACAACAGCCAGATTATTTTCTTCTACGTTAATCACATTGTGTGTACTTTACTTATCTTTCACAATACCCAAGCGGCTCTGTAGTATTCACCAACCAATCACTTGCCACTCCATGTCATGCAACCAATCATCAATCACTATTTATACAAGTATAACATGTTTTTGCAATAACTAAATCAACAGTGACTTATAGTTGCTTATATCCACATCCATATTATTTGGACTCGTGAATAGCTGTACTCATCAGAGATCATACCACATCTCCTTATTTTATGAAGCTTTATCATGCATATTGTGCGTGTATAAATTTTCAATTGCTTCCAGACCAAGCAGTGCTCATACAAAATGCAAGACCCAAATCCAATACTGCAATAACAGTCTACTGTTCTCTTAAAATAGTTACCTCCCTTTTCACTGTCATAATGTGATGCATCAAACTGTGCGTTGTCGTTGGGTAGCTGTACACTGGCTATGAGTAAGTGATTCTGTTCGTCTGAGCTGTAAAAGTAAAGGCCAAGGTACCGCCACATTTTTTTTAACTTAAAAGGTCTTGTTAAATTTGAAGAAAAATGCCAAAAATTAATTCAAAACACTTGAAAAACATGAAATTGATTAAATTAATTAATCTTAAAAGATTAGGCAGGGTAAAAAGATTAAACTAAACTGAACAGGAATGAACAGAAAAGCTGAACAAATAAATTAGGCAAAATTAAAACTATGATACCCTCTCCATAATGGATTTCTATATCTTTTTTATCCATTTTATTTTCATTCTTTTTTTAATGTGGATATTTTTTACCTTGTCCTTTAAGTGAAAGAAAAAGAGAAAAAGAAATCATTAATATTTGTTTTTCATTATAATCAATAAATTTCTAAGTGGTTTATAATCAAGTCCTAAAGACGAGTCAATAAACCACTCTATATAGGACAGCATGCATTCATTAATTATTATAGTGTTAATTAAATGTACCAGCACAAGTCTCATATGATTCCACCAGGGAGGGGTTTACCATAAACAGAAAATAAAATCTACACTAACAAATATCTGAAAAAGAGAAACAGGTATTAATGATAATCTGATCCCATTCTTTATTACAGAATTTCCAATTCAATATTTCACTGCCATCCTACAAACAATAAATTATTTGATGGGCACCAAATAATATTAGCCCCAGTATAAGTTATATGGTTTACTACTGACCCTCTGCTGATCCTTAGAGGGTTAGTAAAATCCATAGGGGGGTATAGCGAAATCATATAGCGAATTTATCGAAAACAGGATTTTCCCTGCTAAGTTTTGTATAAAAATAAACAATGAAATAAAATAACAATAATAGTAGATGTGACATCATGATACCACTATGAAAGCACCATCGAAAATGGTAGATGGCAAAATACACCACAAGAACAGAGAAAGTGCCAATTGTGCAAAGTTGCTATCAGTGACGAATACCACTATTCAATGGAATGCAACAGTTTACTGACAGATAGAAAACTACTAATTGACAGGAAATACTTATCGAACTGTAATGTTTTAATACTACCATGAATCAAATACAGCAATCAAACATTAGAAAATTGTGCCAATTTATTAGAATTATAAATGACAAACTGTTTTGTCAACTTATGTACAACGCACTGTAATGTAAAATAATATGTTTTTCTGCATACCTTTGTACAACTCAGGTGATACCAGAATAAAATGATATATACAAAGAACACTATCCATCCAAAAATGTGAAAATGCACAACTGAACATTTGCAATTTTACTCAACACTCAATAATATAGTAAACAGCTGCACGGAAACACAAGCTACATCGGTCTTTCATGTTTAAATTGTTGCATCAATAAAATTCTATATATGTATTGAAGACGGCATTAAAGAGAAGTCAGTAAAACTACCCTGCTTTAGTTTACCTTAAATGAGGTTATAAAATTGGGAATCATTTTGAAACAATTCAAGATTTTTACAGAATAACTTCTCTTCTGAAAATTCTTCTCGCCTGAACGCTTTAACACAAATTTATGTAAAAAATTATGTTCTCTATTTAAATGCAACATCAATGCACTACCAAATAAGTTCACACAAATGACATCATAATCATCACTCCATGCAAGTAGAATATTTTGAAAACCAATGATTTAAGTTGTTTAAAAATTGGTTATATGTTAACACGGCTGAAATACATTTATATTTTATAATTAAGAATTTTTTTTTTTTAACAAAAACGTCAAAATTATTATTGAATACTATGTTGTGACATAATCATCAATTTCAAAGACTCTAAGACGGTTTGCCTTTCTTGGACAATGCTCTTGACACCATTAAATATTTACGCCATTATACTTACGTGTGTGTTCCTAAAATTAATCTGTGAAGAGAATAATCTTTTCCTTCTGGTCTGAAAAAAAGAGGAAAAAATAAATTTTAATTTCCAAGGCTATAAAAATGTACTTATGCATGTATACAGGGTAAATCTATATGTAGATACAAATCAGCAGGATAAACAAACGAAATTCTTTATGGAAAGTCTGTAACTGTTGAAAATTGAGTTGCTATAAGAACCATACAAAACAGACCAAAATTCAACTTTTATTTCGTATTTATTACGTATGGATCAAAGTCTTAATACATGTACATGTATATGAGCACTTGCATAAGATCAATTTCTATCAGACACAGCTCAATTGTTAACTGATGTTCAAATCTGGTAAATTAATTTAAAAGAGACAAATCTAGGTAACAAACAATAAAATGCTCCGCAGGGCGCAGCTTGATACGACCGCAGAGGTCGAACCCTGAACAGTTGGGGGAAGTATGGACACAACATTCAAGCTTGATACAGCTTTGGATTTGGATTGTGATTAAATATTTGACACAGCATAGGTTTCTAACACAGATTGAATGTGGTCTCAGAACTTAAAAATTTTAAATTGGACATTCACCTATTATGGTCCAATATCCAAAATCTAAATACATGGTTAGATTCAGCATATCAAAGAACCCCAAGAATTCAATTTTTGATGAAATCAAACAAAGTTTAATTTTGGACCCTTTTGACCTCAATGTGGACAAAGTTGATAACGGGGCCCAAAAATCAAAAATCTAAATACATGGTTAGATTCAGCATATCAAAGAACCCCATATATTCAATTTTTGTTGAAATCAAACAAAGTTTAATTTTGGACCCCGATTTGGACCAACTTGAAAACTGGGCCCATAATCAAAAATCTAAATACATGTTTAGATTCAGCATATCAAAGAACCCTAAGAATTCAATTTTTGTTAAAATCAAACTAAGTTTAATTTTGGACCCTTTGGACCTTAATGTAGACCAATTTGAAAACGGAACCAAAAATTAAGAATCTAAATACACGGTTAGATTCGGCATATCAAAGAACCCCAATAATTCAATTTTTGATGAAATCAAACAAAGTTTAATTTTGGACCCTTTTGACCTCAATGCGGACAAAGTTGATAACGGGGCCCAAAAATCAAAAATCTAAATACATGGTTAGATTCAGCATATCAAAGAACCCCATATATTCAATTTTTGTTGAAATCAAACAAAGTTTAATTTTGGACCCCGATTTGGACCAACTTGAAAACTGGGCCCATAATCAAAAATCTAAATACATGTTTAGATTCAGCATATCAAAGAACCCTAAGAATTCAATTTTTGTTAAAATCAAACTAAGTTTAATTTTGGACCCTTTGGACCTTAATGTAGACCAATTTGAAAACGGAACCAAAATTTAAGAATCTAAATACACAGTTAGATTCGGCATATCAAAGAACCCCAATAATTCAATTTTTGATGAAATCAAACAAAGTTTAATTTTGGACCCTTTGGACCTCAATGTGGACCAATTTAAAAACGGGGCCCAAAATCCAAAAACTAAATACACGGTTAGATTCAGCATATTAAAGAACCCCATGAAATCAAGAATAAAACCCCATTGAAATTGGTCAAGAAATAAGCAATTTATAGGAAGTATCTTCTTTTACACAATCCTGTGCTATTAAATATTTCTTGCTATTGCGCAATACTGTACAATTGACAATTTCTTGCTATTGCGCAATATTGTGCTATTGGATATTTCTTGCTATTGCGCAATACTGTGCAATTGAAGATTTCTTGCTATTGCGCAATACTGTGCAATTGAAGATTTCTTGCTATTGTGCAATACTGTGCAATTGAAAATTTCTTGCTATTGCACAATACTTATTATATAATAATTTACACATCCTGTTTGGTGTGTATCTCCTACCATATCATTATTATTTGATTTTAAATATAAATCAGAAATAACCAACTTAAAATGGAAAATTTTAAAAGAAACAAATAAAATGCTCCGCAGGGCGCAGCTTGATACGACCGCAGAGGTCGAACCCTGAACAGTTGGGGCAAGTATGGACACAACATTCAAGCTTGATACAGCTTTGCATTTGGATTGTGATTAAATATTTGACACAGCATAGGTTTCTGACACAGAATGAATGTGGTCTAAGAACTTCAAAATTTTAAATTGGACATTCACCTATTATGGTCCAATATCCAAAATCTAAATACATGGTTAGATTCAGCATATCAAAGAACCCCAAGAATTCAATTTTTGATGAAATCAAACAAAGTTTAATTTTGGACCCTTTTGACCTCAATGTGGACAAAGTTGAAAACGCGGCCCAAAAATCAAAAATCTAAATACATGGTTAGATTCAGCATATCAAAGAACCCCATATATTCAATTTTTGTTGAAATCAAACAAAGTTTAATTTTGGACCCCGATTTGGACCAACTTGAAAACTGGGCCCATAATCAAAAATCTAAATACATGTTTAGATTCAGCATATCAAAGAACCCTAAGAATTCAATTTTTGTTAAAATCAAACTAATTTAATTTTGGACCCTTTGGACCTTAATGTAGACCAATTTGAAAACGGAACCAAAAATTAAGAATCTAAATACATGGTTAGATTCGGCATATCAAAGAACCCCAATAATTCAATTTTTGATGAAATCAAACAAAGTTTAATTTTGGACCCTTTGGACCTCAATTTGAACCAATTTAAAAACGGGGCCCAAAATCCAAAAACTAAATACACGGTTAGATTCAGCATATTAAAGAAACCCAAGAATTCAAGAATAAAACCCCATTGAAATTGGTCAAGAAATAAGCAATTTATACGAAGTATCTTCTTTTGCACAATACTGTGCAATTAAATATTTCTTGCTATTGCGCAATACTGTACAATTGACAATTTCTTGCTATTGCGCAATATTGTGCTATTGGATATTTCTTGCTATTGCGCAATACTGTGCAATTGAAGATTTCTTGCTATTGCGCAATACTGTGCAATTGAAGATTTCTTGCTATTGTGCAATACTGCGCAATTGAAAATTTCTTGCTATTGCACAATACTTATTATATAATAATTTACACATCCTGTTTGGTGTGTATCTCCTACCATATCATTATTATTTGCTTTTAAATATAAATCAGAAATAACCAACTTAAAATGGAAAATTTTAAAAGAAAAAAAAAATGAAAAAAAAAAAAATCCCCCCCCCACAAATATTTTGAACCCCCTTATGATTCATCACCCCCAAACTCAATCCCAGCCTTCCCTTTGTGGAATGGTACCTTGCAGTACAATTTCAGAGAGATCCATACACTTGAACACAAGTTATTGTCTGGAAACTAGAAAAATGTGTTTTTTGGCCCCTTTTTGGCCCCAAATTCCTAAACGTTTAGAGCAATTACCCCCAAACTCAAACCCAGCTTTCCCTTTGTGATATGGAACCTTGTAGTACAATTTCAAAAAGATCCATACACTTACACACAAGTTATTGTCCTGAAACTAGAAAAATGCTTGTTTTTTGCCCCTTTTTGGCCCCTAATTCCTAAAATATTGAGGCAATTACCCCCATCATCAATCCCAGCCTTCCCTTTGTGGTATGGTACCTCGCAGTACAATTTCAGAGAGATCCATACACTTGAACACAAGTTATTGTCTGGAAACTAGAAAAATGCTTATTTTTGGCCCCTTTTTGGCCCCCAATTCCTAAACGTTTCAGCAAATTACCCCCAAACTCAATTCCAGCTTTCCCTTTGTGACATGGAACCTTGTAGTACAATTTCAGAAAGATCCATACACTTACACACAAGTTATTGTTATGAAACTAGAAAAATGCTTGTTTTTTGCCCCTTTTTTGGCCCCTAATTCCTAAAATTTTGAGGCAATTACCCCCAAAATCAATCCCAGCATTCCTTTTGTGATATGGAACCTTGTGGTACAATGTCAGAGAGATCCATACACTAACACACAAGTTATGTCTGGAAGTTACAAAAATGCTTATTTTTGGCCCCTTTTTCCTTTACTGTTGGTACCATAACCCCCAAAAACAATCCCAACCTTCCTTTTGTGGTATTGAACCTTGTGGTAAAATTTCATAGAGATCCATCCACTTAAACTAAAGTTAGAGTGCGAAAACCAATGTGTCTTCGGACGACGGTGGACGACGCCAGACGAAGACGACGCCAACGTCATACCAATATACGACCACAAAATTTTTTTTGCGGTCGTATAAAAAGGAAATAAAAGAAAAAAAAGGAAAAAAAAATAAATCCCCCCCCCCAAAATTTTTTGAACCCCCATTATGATTCATCACCCCCAAACTGAATCCCAGCCTTCCCTTTGTGTTATGGTACCTTGCAGTACAATTTCAGAGAGATCCATACACTTGAACACAAGTTATTGTTTGGAAACTAGAAAAAAATGTGTTTTTTGGCCCCTTTTTGGCCCCAAATTCCTAAACGTTTAGGGCAATTACCCCCAAACTCAAACCCAGCTTTCCCTTTGTGATATGGAACCTTGTAGTACAATTTCAGAAAGATCCATACACTTACACACAAGTTATTGTCATGAAACTAGAAAAATGCTTGTTTTTTGCCCCTTTTTTGGCCCCTAATTCCTAAAATTTGGAGGCAATTACCCCCAAAATCAATCCCAGCATTCCTTTAGTGATATGGAACCTTGTGGTACAATGTCAGAGAGATCCATACACTAACACACAAGTTATGTCTGGAAGTTACAAAAATGCTTATTTTTGGCCCCTTTTTGGCCCCTAATTCCTTTACTGTTATTACCATAACCCCCAAAATCAATCCCAACCTTCCTTTTGTGGTATTGAACCTTGTGGTAAAATTTCATAAAGATCCATTCACTTAAACTAAAGTTAGAGTGCGAAAACCAATGTGTCTTAGGACGACGACGACGACGACGACGACGCCAACGTCATACCAATATACGACCACAAAAATTTTTTTGCGGTCGTATAAAAACTGAGGGAATTCACTTGCATGAACTCCAAAAGGAGGGAGAAAGTGTGCATCGACATATTTATAGTTCTATTAATAAGTTTGTGTGTTGGTGTTTAGTGCCACTTTCGGCTCCATTGGCCTAATCAGTTTTTAAAGACGGAGGAAGCTGGAGATCACAACAGAACCACATGCATCAGCAGAAAACCAAGCATTCATTATAAATTAAGATCAGAGTAATAAGAGCCTTGCAGAGAGCAGGGTTTTAAAACGTAACCTCTGAGTTAACAGGCTAATGATCATTGTATTATATCAAGATCAGAGTCAAATGTCCCTCACAGCAAGCAGGGTTCAAATTCGCTAACCTAGACTTAGCAGGTTGATGATCACTGTATATAGACTACCTAGGTCCCTAGAATATTATGAAAATCTTACCTTGTGACATCAGGTAACCATTGTGCTGTAAGACTGGGCCATTCTAAAGCATGTGTCATTACCAAATCGTACAAAAAAGGGGTGTTTTTCTTCCATATTTTATATTCTTCGTTGATAACTCTTTCTTCTACAGCATCATCAAAGCCTTCTAAAATATAAACAGTTTTGTTTGTAGACACTCAAAAAGAGGATCAAAACTGATAATTGTTTAAGTGATTGCCTATTACATCTAATGTCACAAATTGTAATTGTATTTGCATGTGATTATTTACTCTTAATTGTTTTATTTAGTTTTTAATCGAAATTTATGCTATCTCATTGATATATATATACCCTACTCCTCAGTCCTTTCATATTTTGGCAGGTTCAGCCCTGGATGCAAAATGTTCATTTTGTTCCCTGTTCATATATAAATTTCAGTTATCTATTTATTTGTATAGAGTCAAAGCACAGAATATGTCAAATAAATCATAATATGATTTTTAAAAAATCTATACTCAAATAAAATGTTTTAAATTAAAATGAAAATAACAAAAATATTAATTTTCATGCATTCAAAGTTCTATCAAGAATAAACAGTTGCACATATATATTCAAAAGACTTGGAACTAGTTGAAAATGATGGATTTTGAATCAGAGGAGATGCATGTTCCCACACATTTCCTATGTCACAATGCTTATATGTTATGTTATGCATATGTAGCAGGGCTCACACTACTCTAGAATCATAGGGAGAAGTGACTTCTCTTTTTGAATCTGAGAGGGAGAAGTGGTGAGATTTGAAAGAGAAGTGCTCATTTGCTCGCAGCGCTGCAATGTTTGGTTTTTACTATAATACAAAGAGCCATATGTATCTTATTTTTTTTATATTGTTCAATTTGTACCTTGGTATACAATTAAAGTAACAGTTCAAATTCAAAGTTGTTTAATTTTATCATATCTAGTTGCACAATCATATTAGTTCTCGTCAGAAAAAAACAATTAAATATCTGGCAATAATAAAAAAAGATTTTTTTTTATATCAAAAAGGAAAAGAAAGTTGTTATATCAATTAAAATTCAATTAAAAACTACTCTGTTATCATATTAATGAAATTAAGTATTTCTCATTAAAAAGATATTTAAATTTAACAGTTTTATTTAACACAGTTAAGCTTGGACATAATATAATTATACTAGTGTAATAGTCCCAGAGTTGAGCAACTTTAATTTATAAATTGAAACAATGGATATACATGGAAATATATACATTAATCAAGAAGATCTAACCAAACGTATGTTAATGCTTGTGGAATGCGTAATTTTTCCTTTTGGGATTAAATTATCTTCTGTCAGCTGTGCCATTCATGCGTCCGTGGTCATTATCGCAAGAATCCGGATTTCCGTCATAGCTGGTCCGTTTCCGATAAAATCCCGACTCTGATCCATAGTTGAACAATAATTTGCTTAAAAATTTACAAAAATAAACGATGTTTGACACGCTATTTGGAAGGGAATATGACGTTTTTAATGCAATATAAGGATAACCAATTTACTTCAGGCAAATTTCATCACATTCTAATAAAGTAACAAGCTTATTTTGCCAAAAGTTAGAATGATTTGATGTACGCTCTCAGTAACAAGTACCGGAAGTGATAAAAAAATTGTCTTTATGAAAATAACATGCAACCAACTTTAAAATCATTGCTTTAACCTCTTTCCTAAAGAAAATAAATCGTTTATGTCTTTAAATTTCTTTATTTTCAAATGAAAAATTGCTGTTTCATCGACTTGGTAAATGTTGAATATTGCCGATGACGAAAGCAACTGAAAGCAAGTATCGTTAACAACAGGGTGTCTAGATTTCGCTTTTGACGGTCGGGAAAAGCGAAGTGACGGACGGTAAAGCGACTTTGTCGCCCCAGTCGCCTGCTAGAGTGAGCCCTGTGTAGTAAGAACCAATTCTCTGACATCATTTACGCCAAGGTCAATTGGTGTAGATTCTTTCATAAAATAAAAGAAGAATGTGTCTGAGGACATGAATGTTCACCCTCAAGCTTGCTTATAATAACTTGTTAGACTGCAGAAACAAAAATATATGCAATTTTCCAAATTATAAAGGGGCATAACTCTAGAACAGTGACTCACTGCCCTAATTCAAACTCTGTATAAGTTTTGGTTCTTAGCATTGTAAATGAGTTTCATGATATTTGCATGAGGAAAGTTTAAGACGGAAACAAAAAAATTATTTCAAGTTATCAGACTACACGAAATTCGTCAAACCATCAGACAAATCCAGTGAATAATGGATCAGTCTGGTAAAATTTTGTTGAATTCCAGGCCGAATGGCCGCTGTTGTTTATCATCCAGTTTAGTTTTTTTTCATTATCGTATTTCAGGTAGAATACTACCTCCAATGTATTTTCAGAGGACAAGAAAAGATAACTCTAATATCCTTGATCTCCTTTGTTGACAAACGCCTTCAGAAAAGGAAAACATGTGTTGGTATGTTAACATATTTCTAAGCGTGATTCAAGTGTTTTTAAGGCTTTGAAACACTAATAAATACCAAATATTTAAACTGCTGGGAAGAATTATAATTTCCGTTTGTAATAATCCTAAATAAAATGTTCTTTCATTCAAAAGTCATGAAAATAGAATAAAAGACAACGTAAACAAACCAACAAGTGTTTTCCTATTAGAGTTATCTTTTCTTGTTTTTCATGACGTCATGACAAGATTTAATATGACCAAACATAATAGGCGGAGAATATATACAAAAGGAAATAATTAGATAATAGTGTCAAGGAAATGAATATTCAAACATAGATCGGTGCGTCATATCCTAGAAAAATATCTAACGAAACGAATTATATACATTGACAAGCTATGCACAGACAATAATCAATAAATTTTTGGGAAATAAGTGCGTCATGAACCTGGTTTGCAATTCCGAACATTTGAAATAGGAAAAATCCGTAGCTCTATGGTCCACAGATAGTCAAAAACTATCATAAGGACCTAAGAGTAAGAGCTACGGTTCCGTCGCTATGCTGAATGTATGCCATTGTGTAATACTAGTCACTGGACATTCATCATCCATCAGAAAATGTAAGGTAGGACCCGATAGCTATGGTTCCGCAACTTATACAAATTACTGTCGAGAGAACTTGATTTCGACAGGGACTTTGAGGTCACCTCCCATCTTTGATAAAATTTTGGAGACCGGTAATTTCCCCCTTTTTTGTTTCCTTGTGTCCACGGTAGTTGCAGTCTCAATTAATGACAGAAAAAAATAAACGACTACTGGAAAGCATAATAAAAATGGTTCAGTTAAGGCCTCTGACAGACAATCTTTACCACCGTCTTTTTCTGTCATTTTCTTTCTAAGTGTTGATCTTTCGGCACAAAGACTCATGCGCATCAATGGCGCCAAATTTTTAATAATTTACTGCGATTCATTTTATTGTAAAAAAAATAAAAATAGAAAGAATTTTGAAGTTTTTACTGATAACTATTACATTATGATAAGTATTTTTTTCTTTTTCATTTCAATATGATTATATAGATAGGTTATGTCGAAATCCAAGTAAATAACGACAATATCGAAATATATTAAATTGATGCGCAACAGATGATTATTTGAATTATTTTTATATTAATTTCCAAATTGATCGTTTTGCCTCTAAATATTATATGCTTAACTTTGTAACATTTAAAAACATTTTATTTATACCATATCATTTCTAATTATGTGAAGTGTGTATCACACTTGTAATAAATTTCCAACATGGTGGATAATCGTTGAAAACTTCCTGACTAAGTCTGTTTCACAAAATCTACTTAATTGTAGACAACTGACACTGTTAACATTTTAACATAGTACATATATGTGTTTATTCTGGCATGGAAGGGCTCAAACTAAGCCAGCAAGAACAAAGAAATTATGGGGAGTTATTTCAATTATGTGATGTTGATGGGACTGGCAGGATAACTGGGATAAAAGCATCTGAATTATTTCTGTCATCTGGTTTAGGACAGGATGCACTGTTGCAAGTAAATATACAATAGTATAGAATGTTTGCTGATACATTTAGATAAAGATGTTGCTAGGAACTTAAAACCTGCTATATCCTAATTGTGTGACAAACATGATCTCATATGGTCAAGATTCACATAGTCATAGGATACCCAGTCTGGTAATTCTAATGCATCAAATCTTCCAGGCCCCAACGTATTCTAGCTCTATTAAAATAAGAATAAGGAAGTTCGGTGTGATTGCCTAGTAAGCAGTCACAACTCTCAGAGTTCGCGAAAACTTATTTTGACCCGTCGGTCATGGGACCGACAAAGCATGATTATTTGTCAGTCCTACAAAATTTTAGCCAGTCCTACAAAATCTCTCTATTTTATCCTGAAAAAAAATTGATAACATATTTTATCGAAAAATAACTTTATTAATATTAGTTTTATTCTTCGCACCCACAGGCAAATTAACAATGAAAGACCAGTTCAGGTCTTCTGATTGTTCTTATTTAAAGTCATCTTCACTATCAATTTCATCATCTGAATCACTTTCTCGGCTGTTACAGTATTTCTTTGCTCCATTGTAGGGTTCAATCGCCGATTGTTTGCCAGGGATGGCTCTATGGACAAATTAAGTAGGCCACGTGTAGATCGCCGTTTTGGTTTGTTTATAATAAATCCGTAAACCATTACCGGAAATTGGCAGCGGATACATCTGATAACCGATGTAAACACTTATTGGAAACAGTTGCAGTACATCTAATAACCGATGTAAAAAAGTGCCGAAATATGCACTACAACGGCCGTTTTTACATCGGTCATTGGGACCGGCACTAGCCTTCAAAATACTGGTCCGAGCCTCATTTTGACTGACAGGACCGACAGGACCGACCATTTTCGTGAACTCTGAACTCTCTTAGTGTCTAATTATATTTGCCTACAAAAGATAATTATAAGAATTAAACATGTCAAATGGTAATTTCCATTACTACATTAACACTGTCTACAGGTCACCATACAGACTCCATAAATTAGCGATCTTGACAAGCTTAAAAAGGCCCTTTGTGAATCAGAGTTAAAATGAATGAAAGAAATTGAAGTTCAAAAACATCAAAGTCAACAAAATAAATTGAAACAATGTCAGATTTTAGCTGTGTAGCTCTTGGACTTGAAATCAATAAATGGTATGCAGGTGCCATATGTGTGGTCTGTCTCTGAGGCTTCTGTCCAGCATATATATATATATCTGTTATCCTTAACTTTATTTTTATTGTTCAATGATATGACCACTTTAAGAAAAATTTTTTTTATCATATATTTATTTCAGTTTTTGTGGTCAGGTCCGTTTCTCAGATACATTTTGTACTTTAAGTAATAGAATATATACATGTAGGCCACCTATTTTGAGTTTATCGAATGATTGAGAAGTGCACTTTTTGGTCTAACATTGTTCAACTGACATGACCTAATTTTTCTGGTTCATTGGTCAATTTTAAGTAATTATAGAATTAACTCACTACTGGCACAGTGGCAGTAAGTGTACCAAAGTTACATGTATTGTTAGGTTTCTGATTTTGTTTTCCAATTTGTGCAGAACCATGTTTTAATTATGTATTTAGGATAACACAATGGCATATTACACATTGATTCCTATAAATGGACAGTTTTTCTCTTTATTTGACACTGATGAAACAGCAAAATCTATTACAATACATAACTTAGCATACTGTTCCTGTACATGTATATATATGTATAATGATGATGCTTATGTAAGAACCAATATTATTTTACTAATGTATTCTTTCAAATTCTGCATAAGTGCATGAAAAGCTATAAAGTGCCCCTTTTCCTTACTCAATTTAAATGCTTAAGTATTAGCACCCTGTCCCTTTAAAATTGTGGCTTGAATACTGAAGTAATATGTCATATGTGTTCTGTTTCTGAATGGCAGTGCAGTGTTCATATTTGTATGAGAGGGTTTACCAGACCATGACCTCATATTCATGGCTTAAATTTTGTTAGAAGGTGCACATACGGTCAGGGGTAATACTTATACAAGTGTATTTTATCTACTGGTACATGTAAATTATTTTAATGGTATAGCTATATCCCTTAGACATTCAGTTTTTTTTTACTTACATTTGTACACAAGTAAAAAAGTCATATTTTCTTCTTTTCTTGGATTTCTCTTGACTACTTTTCTTGTATAGAGTGCTTAATTGTCTGTTCTTTGCAGATGTCTTTACTAATCAAATAAGTATAATTTCATGGACAATGAAAAGCTCATTTGTCTGTTATCTTCAAAATATTGCACATTTACAAGCCTCCAGGTAGCAATTTTTGAAAGTCTTGCACAGTTACTTAACATCTTTGCGCAATTGATTTCTTTGTTGAAATAGTGAGATGAAAGGTTAAACTCTAATTAAAAAATATTAGCAAACCAGAGAAAATTTGTTTCAGGAATGTTTTTATCTCCCAAAACTTAAGAATTTTTGGGGTTGTATAACATGTATAATAAAACTACTTATACAAGTAAATTTTTGGAGAAGATTAAGGGGAGATTATTCAAACCTTGAAAAGAAAATATGAATGTTACAAATTTACTTATAAAAGTATATAATAACTTGCATCTTAATGTAAATAAAAATTACTTGTATAAGTATTACCCCTGACTGACATAAAAGTTCAAGGGATACTACTGTAAAAAGGATATAGCATTGTATTGTTTGGCTTCTCAGTTTTTATAAGTGATAAGTCTACTATAGAATGTATATATATAGATCCTTGTATTGTTTATATAATAAACATGGTAAAAATTGCCAGAAGTTCTCAATATCTTCATGTTTTTCCTGTCTTTATAAGGTTCAACAAAATGTACTTGTCACCTTAGTGACCTTAGCTTTAACATGTTTAATTCTGTACTGTAGCTATAAAAAAAATCTGTAAAAACCAATTTAAAATAATTCTAAACAATATTAATTCATTCTACTGTTTGTCAACATTAATAAATTGTTCCTGTTTATTATAGCACAAGAATAGTTTAAATGTTAGGGTTTCATTAATTAGTCCCCTACCGACTAAGTCGAAGGGGACTTAAGGTTTGCACTCCCCACCGTCCGTCTGTCCATCCGTCAGTCCAGCAAATCAGTTTTCCACACTTTTTTTCTTTGTGCTTGAAGATATTAATTTCAAATATGGTATATACTTTTATCATGACAAGTTACAGATCAAGTCGAATTATGTTCCCGTCTGATGATTTTGTGCAGAGTTATGGTCCTTGGACTTAGAAAATTCACTCAAATAATCAGTTTTCTGCACTTTTTTTTGTCATGCTTGAAGATATTGATTTAATAATTGGTATATAGTTTAAAAATTTTATCATGACAAGTGACAGATCAAATTCGAATTTTTGTTCTGGTCTGATGATTTTGTGCAGAGTTATGGTCCTTGGACTTAGAAATCCACTCAAATAATCAGTTTTCCACACTTTTTTTCGTCATGCTTGAAGATATTGACTTGATATTTGTTACATGTATATAGTTTACACCATGCAAAGCTATAGATCAAGTTAGCATTTTGTTCCAGTACAATGAATTCTTAACTGGTAGGGGACTATGTATTGCCATGCAATACTCTCAGAATGCTTGTTTTTTTTTAAGTTTTTTTTTTTTTTTGGAGGGGGTAGTTTTACAATTGTTGCCAAGAGAGATAGTAACTGCAGTTAGTATTCAGTGTTCCTCCCGCTTGACAATTTCCAGAGGATGAAGCACCAGCCTTTTATATTTGACACCCTAATTTTGTTCTCTTTCTTTGTTATCTTGTCACCCTGCTTCGGTTTTTATGAATCAGCCACTTTTGCTTATTTTACAATCAAAAACTTTCAATTATCGAAATATTGGAAAGTCAAAATCAATTTGAACAATTTATTGGCTTCACTTGACAGCTTTGGGATCAACAAAATGTTAATTAACTTTTGTTATCTCAATAAACAATAGAAGTGATGTATTTTTAAACAATCGAAACATAACCTGCAAGTACATGTAGGACATAATTTAAATTGTTAAGAGTGGCTTCTCTTGGCTTTCATTTTATTTATTATTTTGTCCCCAAGTAGTTTCTATGATCATAATTAGTACATGTAAGTCTAATTCAAAGATAAATATCAAAACTTGTCCTTGAATTAAATGCAAATTCTGGTATTATTTTTGCTTTTTAAAAAATGGTACAATTTGCAGATTTGATGAAAATGAATATGAATTCACCAAACAACATTGATGATACTAAGAAAAAAAGAATAAAGATAAATTTAATCTAGCTAAAGATATAGAAGTGTGAAATACCATAGATATGATAGCTAACTGCACACTCACTCAGATAAACTTAAACTTATCACTTAGATTTACAAAATGCACATTTGTACCTGTGACAATTTAAAAAGATAGGGATATAGGTAAAGTATAGGTTAGTTACATATATGCATATGAATAATCATGATAATGAGATCCTACCACTGAATCAAAGATGTTTTCAATTGTTCTTGATTTCACTTAGCTGTTTATTAGCAATAAATAATTAATTTGTTTAAGTTATGAACAATGACGAAAAAGTTTAAAGGATTAAAAAAACAAATTTGGAGTTATTGCCCTTAGACAACAAACAAAATATGTTCATCGCCAGACGCCAAGGGAACTTTGAAATGCACCAGGGGACCTTTGGACCTTTATTGATATCAACTTTGAAAATATACCAACAATTGCCCTGTAAAAGGCTGTTTGCTTGTAAATACTACATTAAGCGCATACAGTATCATACAGTTTTGGGGCCCTTTATAGCTTGCTGTTCCGTGGGAGCCAAGGCTCCATGTTAAAGGCCCTACTTTGACCTATAATTGTTTACTTTTTATACATTGTGACTTGGATTGATAGTTGTCTCATTGGCACTCATACCACATCTTCTTATTTATATTGATACCACATGTACAGTGGGTTTTTTTAGTCCCCTACCGACAAGGTTGGCAAAAAAGCGGTCAATACTAGTATTGACCAGGCCGGCGGTAAATACCGGTAAATACCGGCAAATACTGGCAAATACTGGTCAATACTGGCAAATACTGGTCAATTGAAATTTTGATAAGATATATCTATTAAATACAGTCCCTACCTGGTCAACTACAGGGTAAATGGACAAGTATATTCACAGGAGAGAAAGTCACTTATTTACTACATTGTAAAGGACAAAAACTCACAATTAATTAGTTAACAAGTTTTTGAATATGTAAGGGAAAATCCTTGAAATGAATTCATTGTAATGTTTATAAGATTGATAATGAACATGGTTAAATGAAGATTTATTAAATATTAATCCTACAAAGGATATTTCTTGGTACCATGAAGCCAGTCAAGAAAAAGACTATGGCAGCTTGTTTTCTTAACAGTAATTTCATCAAATGTAATAAAACAATGTCTTAAAAATTAGTCTTTTCTTAATCAAAGAAACAATTCTTTCAAAATTGCATTGTGACTTTCTGTCCTGTGATATTTAGCCCTACATTCAATAACTGTTAGTCATGAAAATATGAAAGTTTTCAAGTCAAAATTAGACTTTTTTAATGTTATCTTTTCTTATATAAATTGAAATTTTACATGAACACATCATGGACAGTGATTTTTAGAATAAAATTAAAGAAAAAGAAAAAGCAGCAGCCAAAGTATAGATCCTTCAAAATTTCCATTTTCTGTATTTAGTTTTAGAAGATATTTATCATGCAGTTGAATAGTCAGGAATAAAATAATTGTTTTAAATAGTCTTCAAAAATAACTTTTATGACTTTTTTCCTGTTATGTCAACATTTATTATGGGAGTTGTAATATTGAATAAACTTTTGACACCTGCTTGCCATATAATAGGCAATGCCCTGATAATCTAGTCACCTGTAATTCTATTTACCTGTTAAAATCAAACCTTTTCAAGAAAAAAATATATATATTTTATACATGTTGAAATAACTGATATAGCAATTTTATATCCATACCTAAACTATGTTATATCATTACCCATAAGAACTGAATAAGTCATTATTCATGCTAATAGTTGATAAAACATACCAATATCAATCCTTTTTATAAAAAGTTAAAATAATTTCCCCTATCAACTAAGATTTAACTAACATTGATAGTAAAATCTGTCAAAAGAACCATGAAAATTTCAATTGTCCAGTATTTGCCAGTATTGACCACTTGAGGAGTATTGACAGGGGCGGTAAATACCGGGGGTGGTATTTACCGCCCAACCTTGCCTACCGACAAAGTCGAAGGGGACTTTAGGTTCCCACTCCGTCCGTCTGTCTGTCCATCTGTCCGTCTGTCCATCCATCAGTCCGCCAAATTGGCTTTCCACACTTTTTTCTTCGTTCTTGAAGATATTGATTTGATATTTGATATATAGTTTTATCATGACAAGTTATTGGGCAAGTTCGAATTTTGTTCTGGTCTGATGATTTAGTCCAGAGTTATGGACCATAACTCTGGACCATATCTATTGTTAGAGTACTATATTTAACCATATTTCTGTACAAAGGGAGATAACTCATTTTTTAAAAGACATTCTTTGTTAAATTATTTGAAGAATGTTTTGGCAGGTTTGTTTGTTATTTAGTATAAACTAATTTTCTGAATGCTATATATATAAAAAAAATTATGAAGAGAAATCCTTAAATTAGATAATAATCTATTTTTATTAATGTATATATTTCAAAACATTACATTGTGTAGATAAAAGTTGTTGACATTTTTATAGATAAGTTACAAATCTATATTAGTTTGTGACAAATGAAAGAAAAAATATTTGGAACTATTATTTATATTTGATTATAATTTGAAAATAGATATACACTGTATTTCATCATATCTAATTTTAGAGAACTATTAATCATATCTAATATTTTTTTTCACTCATATAATCAGTTTTCCACACTGTTTTTAGCTATAGTCATGCTCGAAGATATTGACATGATATTTACTTTTTGTTTACACCATGCTATAAACAAGTTAGCATTTTGTTCCAGTAAAATGAATTTTTACCCAGTAGGGGACTGTATTGCCATGCAATACTCCCAGAATGCGTGTTTTTACCAAAATTTGCATACAAGAAATTTTTACCTGATTGATTGAAATATGTAAAACAAAATATACGTTTTGGCTATATTTAGAGATGATAAACAATAAATTGGGTTGGAATTCGAGATAGTTAATCGAAATTTATTTGTTGTTTTTCCTTCTTGATCTTGGTTATTCAACATATCGAACAGAAATGAATTTTGACCACCAACTGTGCTTTATATTATTCCCAAGCCTACAGCTAGCTAAACATGTTAAATCTGAAAGCAGGCCATTAAAGAGCAACAAACGAGTATCAAATTAAGTTTACACAGTTATAAGCATGCTACATACACATGATACAGCTACATACACATGATACAGCTACATACACATGATACAGATATATGTTTGTTTGACCATTTCAGATATCAGAACTCTGTGGTGCCAAAAGACTTGGACATTTTGGAAGGAGTCAGTTTTATATTGCTTTAAAGTTAATAGCAGCAGCACAACAGGGAATGCCTTTGAAATTAGATAGCTTAAACTCTGGTGAGTTTCATTTAGTTAATCATGTTAATGCAGCAATTATAAAGATCACAGAATTTAATACCCCATTCAATGGTGGTGTTGTGGGTAACGTGCTCACCCTGACCCAGAATGGTAAGGGTGTTTCAGGTCAATGGATTGATTTTCAATCAGGTCAAACTATTAGCATTAGGATGAGTATTTACTGCTTCACCACCAAGCACACGGATTTGGGAGCAAAGATGGATAGACTTTGTTTCTCACTAATATATTTAGAAAGAGTGACATATCTTCCTAAAGTTTCTGCCACTTTTACCTTGTTAGTTAGAACTTAAATTTTTCGATAGTAAGCAGTGTAAATTCATATCTGATTTAGAAGTTATCAGTTGGTACATGGTATATTATGTAATACTTGTCACTGGCCATTGCCGCCCTTCAGCATCCATTAATCAGGAAATACTGGAAATAAGGTTTAGTTACTATTTAGTCTGTGATAAACAACATTAACAATGGTTTATACCAAGTAATAGACATTTCATGATATATAGTCACTTGGTACAATATTTTGTGGCACTTTTTTTTTTTTTTCACTATGAAAATTAGTATCCTCATTCTCAACGGACATATATACATGTAGTGTGTATTTATGCTTCCTCATATTCAAAATGAGCCCCCCTCATCAGCATGGGTCTAACTGCCAGACAGGAGAAGTTCTGGTTACCATATACAATGTACTGTCATGGTTAAGGTGGCTTGATCCATTCAGTAACAAATATGATAAGTAAAAATAAAATTATAAAATTAATGAGAATTTCTTTTAAAAAAACTGTAACCTCTCCATTTATAAATAAATGAAAATTAACTGGAGTTTGGTGCTACATGTACATATGATGGCTTAAGGGGGCACCCAACACTTTGACTAAAATAGATTTGGCTTGTTTAATTTTCAAAAAATTTTGATAAAATGATAAATCTGAACTGTTGACAAAAATATGAAAATTTCCAGAAAATTGAACCACACAATATACAGGAATAATTTCATTGGATTTATAGCAGTTTGACAAATTCTAAATTTGATCATTGAGAAGCTTATTTCTCTTTATGATTAGTATGTGATTAAAAAGTTCAGCAAATTTTTAAAGAGTTAACTCCCTTAGGTGTTTTGAACCTCCTTAATCAATCCCTGCCTTAAGGAATGGCTTGTATTATTATGAGTGAAATGAGGAGCAAATGTCAAAGTGCAGAATACAACCATATTCCCTATTCATCTTTGACTTGAGTTATGAGTTTGTTTGTCCCTTTGGAACCTTATTACTTTTTTGCTAAATTAATGATTTGGAGACCCTCCACACAGATTATTTTATTTTAGTTTCAGTTGGCATACTGTTTTGGGTCATATGCAGGGCACAATGCTGTCACAAAAGTTCCAGTTGAGTGCTATAACATATGCCGTATGGAAATTCTATAGAAATATACCTTAAAGCAAAAAGATATTCTTAATTCTGATTGATTGTAGAACAAATTCTGATTGATTGTAGAAAAGTCTTTACTATCAACCAGTAGTCCCAAGCCCGAGGCTTGTAAACTTCCTGGTAGGCCTGTTAAAATTAGTCTTACAGGCCTATAGAATTTATACAAGAAATTCTGAAAAATGGGGTGTGAGCCTGTGGTCCAAAAAATTTTACTGTGAAGACTGTTAGAATGAACTGAAAATTTCTATAATGAGAAAATCCTTAAATTTATGATTTTAGCCCCTGAATGATACTGGCTCTATACATTTTTTTTTGGCCCTGATGCCACCAGAGGGGGCATTAAGTATTACCCTTGTCCATCTGTATGTACAAATGTACATCCCAAAATTGGTTTCTGTTCTCTAACTTTAGTTTGTCTCTACCAAATGTTATAAAACTTATACACAATGCTTATTACCACAAAACACAGATCATATCTTAAAGTTGAATTTGGATAGAGTCACTTTTACCGTTCTAGAGTTATGCCCCTTCATAACGATTATATAAAAGTGGGGTCATCATCTGTGTCCCATGGACACATTCTCCATTTATTGTAAATAAGATTATCCCTACATAAGTTTTACATCTTCCCCTGTACATTATATGTTTCTTGTCAACATGTTTGAAAGAATAATGAGATGGCCTTCAAGGTAGAAATTGATCAAGCAATCTTACATCATAAATTATTTAATCTGAACTGAGATGAGAAAATATCAGCTGTATAATTAATTATGAAGGAAGTATGGAAAACAAATCGGGTAATTATATGCATAGCCCTAACAAGCAGTGATGAGTAGATGGATTGTTAAATAAACACCTGTTCATAAAAAATAATACTTTTAAGAACAGTTGATGTTTTAATTGGTCCTAAGTGGTTTTATCTGGAAAACAATCCAGTTTCACAATTACTGTAAACATGTAAACATGGTAGATAGGCTGTATAGACAGGGGAGATCCAGGATTTTTGAAAAGGGGGGGGGGGGGGGTTGTAATTCATGAAAACTGAAAAAAATCTTGGACAATTTTATGCTAAAAAATTATGTGTATTCCAATCAAAGGGTGCATACGCCCTCTATATCCACCGCTGATTGATACTAGTTTCTTAAAAAATTATACACTTTTAGGGAATTGTAAGCTAAAATTATAACTGCTGAAAAGAATCAAACATTTTATAAAAGCAATCCATTTACCAGTAAATGTAGCAACAAAAGAAATACTATAAGATCTGTCTTGTTTAATTGCCTTATTTATTTGATATTGTCCCTATCTCAATAACGGATATCATCCCATCACTGTGATCAACACTTTAGTATCAGCAGCTAAAAATCAATGCATTGACCAAATCTTTCTGTGGTCAAATGGTTTTCATAATCAATTTGCGTGTAAGAAGTTTGACATTTTATCATATAAAGAGATATTTACATATTTTTACATATGATTGGTGTAGATGAACATGATCAATGGAAAGATCATTGAATTATTTTGTGTAGTGTATATCATGGAAAATAGCAACCTGTACTTATTGGTGGTTTACGAACCTGGAATTTAAGAAATTTTATAAATGTTTGGTTTTAAAAAGGGGGGATGATTAGTATATAACTTTTATACACATGTATAACATATGGTAATTCTTTAGGTTTTAAAAAATTTCCACAAGAAATAAGACACTTATTAAAGAGTCCCTTATACGTTGGACCAGATCCCTTATATATAAAATAGTCCCCTGTGCATTGGACCAGACCCCTATATAAAATACTCATCTTTTTTTAAAACAAAATATTTTTGCATACGGCTGGTGTAGATCAATACATTCAGAGGCAGAACCAGGAATTTCAGAAATTAATTAAATAATAAAAGAAAGACAAAGGATATGGGGTATCCAACCATGACGTCAAAATCAGTACTAGCACAGCAAAAAACACAAAAAGCAAAGGAACAGCACTTTTATATTGCTGTTTTTTTCATCTCAAAGTCACAGTGAGGCAAATTTTTGTTAATTTTCATAAGGGTGTATGGCTTAGGCCCCAGACTATGACCATAACCATGATAACACCAAAACTATATAGACTAAATACTTATGTTAAAAGATAAACAATAACAGTTGATGCTGAGAGTACAACATATACATTGTCATTACTCAGTAATACAATCTGATGAAAAACAGAAATTTATTAATTGAGCTGTTATTTGATACCAAAAAAAATACACTTTGATTTAAAGTCCCATTTCAATTTGTAAATTTCTTTAAATACCTAGATAAACCCAATTCTTGCATTATTTTCATGTAGATCCAATCGTTAATTTTAGTTGTTAAAAGGCCTGAGGGAATAGTATCAAATTTTTTTATATAGATATAATACACCCTATTGGTGGCTTTCATTACAGCAGATACATATAGATTATCGATAGTTTTTCCAACGAGAAGGTGTTTCTCAGCTACAAAGTACAATCTCATTGAAGGGCGAGAGCCCTGAGGTGAGATGTGGATGAGAAATAACCTAGAGTTTGAAAGACCATTGATAATTTTTTTAATCGCTATTTTGCCTATGGTGTCGTTAATGTTTACATTGACAAAGTAACGTGCCCTCTTAATTTTTGGCACTCATACCACATCTTCTTATTTCTAATAGTCGATATTATATCAAATTTGATATTTTCCTTTCATCATTTTAATTTCAAGGATCCAATTTTTAGGCTAAAATATATAAGGGTCTAATGGATTACTATATATATATAACCTTTTTCACTTGTTTTTTTTTAACTAATTTGGCTGACATGATGATCTAATCATCTCATGCCAACACATTTTTAACCCGGTTTAATTGAAATGGCTGAGAGTTTACTGAACTACACTGTCTACCTTTATTAATAATACATTTTTATACATTTAAACACCAACCAATCCTTTGGCTATTGTAATGTCACATTATAGACTAAATATTTCTCTTGATGAAAGTCAATAGCTGGTGGCTTAAAAATATTTTAGTCTGTTAAAATTATCTACATTGTTCAGTTGTATGGTTGAGGAATAACTTTACATACTTAAAACATGAAGATTAATTATTGTTTCTTCTTGTATTAGATTTTTGACTCTTTATGGTCTAAAGATTTTATCTAGCATATATCTGTTGTCCTTGACCTCATATTCATGGTTCATTGGTGATCCCTAAGTTTTTGTTATGCCCCTGTGGCAGCAGAGGGGGCACTAAGTGTTACTCTTGTACGTAAGTCCCAAAATTAGTTTCCGTTCTCCAGCTTTAGTTCGCCTCAACCAAATGTAATGAAACTTATACACAATGCTTATTACCACAAAACACAGATTAACTTTGAATTTGGGTAGCATCACTTGTACAGTTCTCTAGTTATGTCCCTTTATAACGTTATATACAAGCAGAGGCATCATCTGTGTCCAATGGACACATTCTCCATTTATTTAAATTAGGTTTGTTCCTTGGATTCCATGAGCATGATAAACAATAGGTAAAATATAATTTGTGTATAGAATGATTGTTAGATGTACATGTCTGCCTGGCATGAGCATGTTGATTTTCCACTTAATTTGTGATAATTATTGTTTAGAAACCATCACTTAAATACTTATTATTTTTCTCTATATCATTTCAGGAAAAGAAATGCCATTACCAAAGTTTACAAGGTTACCAGAGCAAGGTACAGTCTTATAATTTTCCCCTTTGAAAAAAGCATTGAGGTTTTGACAGTGTCAAGCAAATTTTTACCCTTGTCCTTGTTACTTTAGTTGCCTCAACCAAATGTTTTGAAACTTATACACAATGCTTATTACTTCAAAATACAGATCCAGTTTGAATTTTGGTGGTGTCACTTTAACTGTTCTAAAGTTATATATATGACCTTTTACAAATGGAAAAATTGCTGAATTTTTATACGACCGCAAACAAATTTTTGTGGTCGTATATTGGTATGACGTTGGCGTCGTCGTCGTCCGGCATCGTCCGAAGACACATTGGTTTTCGCACTCTAACTTTAGTTTAAGTGAATGGATCTCTATGAAATTTTACCACAAGGTTCAATACCACAAAAGGAAGGTTGGGATTGATTTTGGGGGTTATGGTACCAACAGTAAAGGAATTAGGGGCCAAAAAGGGGCCAAAAATTAGCATTTTTATACGACCGCAAAAAAATTTTGTGGTCGTATATTGGTATGACGTTGTCGTCGTCGTCGTCGTCGTCCGAAGACACATTGGTTTTCGCACTCTAACTTTAGTTAAAGTGAATGGATCTCTTTGAAATTTTACCATAAGGTTCAATACCACAAAAGGAAGGGGGGGATTGATTTTGGGGGTTATGGTTCCAACAGTTAAGGAATTAGGGGCCACAAAGGGGCCAAAAATAAGCATTTTCTAGTTTACAGACAATAACTGTGGAACGGTGTATGGATCTCTCTGAAATTATACTACAAGTTTCCATTCCACAAAGGGATGGTAAGGATTTGCTTTGGGGGGTTATGGCTCAAACCATTTAGGAATTAGGGGCAAAAAAGGGGGAAAAACAAGGTTGTCCTGGTTAATGGACAAATACTTTAGAACAAAACATAATTTAAAGCAGTGTAAGGGAGATAAATCAAATACATCATTGCAATTATCTCCCTTACACTGCTTTTAAATTATGAATAAAGTAATGGTTAATGAACAATTAAGATAATTTAAAACAGTGTAAGGGAGGTAATCCAAATACACTGCTTTTAAATTATGTTTAAAGAAATGCATATTTATAAAGGAAGACCAGTAAAAATATCTGCAAATGTTGCATCTTTTTTTTTTACAAAAAAATCCATATGAAAGATTTGACACTATATTTTAAATTCTATTATAAAATAGATTAAGTTAGCACTATGATAAATTTAAATGGGTACTTATGGTTGCAAATTCCATTGGAAATTTGATTGAGATTATGACCATATCTTGAGGGAAAGAATTTTTTGGGGGAAAAAAGGGGGGGGGGGGGGTAAAAAGAAATTGTGGGGGGTCAATTTTTTCTCATTTCAGATTTCAGAAATTAAAAAGAATTATTCTTCAAATATTATTTTTTTTTCAAATTTCAAATATTGAAAAATTTCAAGAAGTAATCTTTAATTGCACAGTATGGCGCATTAGATTTTTAAAATCTTTGACCACATTTATTTATTTATTATGCCGAATCTAACCGTGTATTTAGATTTTTAATTTTGGGTCCAGTTTTCAAATTGGTCTACATTAAGGTCCAAAGGGTCCAAAATTCAACTTAGTTTGATTTTAACAAAAATTGAATTCTTGGGGTTCTTTGATATGCTGAATCTAAACACGTATTTAGATTTTAGATTTTTGGCCCAGTTTTCAAGTTGGTCCAAATTGGGGTCCAAAATTAAACTTTGTTTGATTTCAACAAAAATTGAATATATGAGGTTCTTTGATATGCTGAATCTAACCATGTATTTAGATTTTTTATTTGTGGGCCCGCTATCAAATTGGTTCATATTGAGGTCAAAAGGGTCCAAAATTAAACTTTTGTTTGATTTCATCAAAAATTGAATTGTTGGGGTTCTTTGATATGACAAATCTAACCGTGTATTTAGATTTTTAATTTTGGGTCCAGTTTTTTAAATTGGTCTACATTAAGGTCCAAAGGGTCCAAAATTAAACTTAGTTTGATTTTAACAAAAATTGAATTCTTGGGGTTCTTTGATATGCTGAATCTAAACATGTGTTTAGATTTTTGATTATGGGCCCAGTTTTCAAGTTGGTCCAAGTTGGGGTCCAAAATTAAACTTTGTTTGATTTCAACAAAAATTGAATATATGGGGTTCTTTGATATGCTGAATCTAACTATGTATTTTGATTTTGGACATTGGACCATAATAGGTAAATCAAAAAAATTCAAGTTCTTAGACCACATTCTTTCTGTGTCAGAAACGTATGCTGTGTCAAATATTTAATCACAATCCAAATTCAGAGCTGTATCAAGCTTGAATGTTGTGTCCATACTTGCCCCAACTATTCAGGGTTCGACCTCTGCGGTCGTATCAAGCTGTGCCCAGCGAAGCATTTTATTGTAACTTCCAGACATAACTTGTGTGTTAGTGTATGAATCTCTCTGACATTGTACCACAAGGTTCCATATCACAAAAGGAATGCTGGGATTGATTTTGGGGGTATTTGCCTCAAAATTTTAGGAATTAGGCCTAGGGGCCAAAAAAGGGGCAAAAAACAAGCATTTTTCTAGTTTCATGACAATAACTTGTGTGTAAGTGTATGGATCTTTCTGAAATTGTACTACAAGGTTCCATATCACAAAGGAAAAGCTGGAATTGAGTTTGGGTGTAATTGCCGAAACGTTTAGGAATAAGGGGCCAAAAATAAGCATTTTTCTAGTTTCCAGACAATAACTTGTGTTCAAGTGTATGGATCTCTCTGAAATTGTACTGCATGGTACCATACCACAAAGGGAAGGCTGGGATTGATGATGGGGGTAATTGCCTCAATATTTTAGGAATTAGGGGCCAAAAGTGGGCAAAAAACAAGCATTTTTCTAGTTTCAGGACAATAACTTGTGTGTAAGTGTATGGAACTTTCTGAAATTGTACTACAAGGTTCCATATCACAAAGGGAAAGCTGGGTTTGAGTTTGGGGGTAATTGCCCTAAACGTTTAGGAATTTGGGGCCAAAAAGGGGCCAAAAAACACATTTTTCTAGTTTCCAGACAATAACTTGTGTTCAAGTGTATGAATCTCTGAAATTGTACTGCAAGGTACCATACCACAAAGGGAAGGCTGGGATGGAGTTTGGGGGTGATGAATCATAAGGGGGTTCAAAAAATTGGGGGGGGGATTTTTATTTTTTTCCTTTTTTTTTCTTTTTTTCCTTTTTTTTTTCTTTTAAAATTTTCCATTTTAAGTTGGTTATTTCTGATTTATATTTAAAAGCAAATAATAATGATATGGTAGGAGATACACACCAAACAAGATATGTAAATTATTATATAATAAGTATTGTGCAATAGCAAGAAATTTTCAATTGCACAGTATTGCACAATAGCAAGAAATCTTCAATTGCACAATATTGCGCAATAGCAAGAAATATCCAATAGCACAATATTGCGCAATAGCAAGAAATTGTCAATTGTACAGTATTGGGCAATAGCAAGAAATATTTAATTGCACAGTATTGTGCAAAAGAAGATACTTCGTATAAATTGCTTATTTCTTGACCAATTTCAATGGGGTTTTATTCTTGAATTCTTGGGGTTCTTTAATATGCTGAATCTAACCGTGTATTTAATTTTTGGATTTTGGGCCCCGTTTTTAAATTGGTCCACATTGAGGTCCAAAGGGTCCAAAATTAAACTTTGTTTGATTTCATCAAAAATTGAATTCTTGGGGTTCTTTGATATGCTGAATCTAACCATGTATTTAGATTTTGGATATTGGACCATAATAGGTGAATGTCCAATTTAAAATTTTTAAGTTCTTAGAACACATTCATTCTGTGTTTGAAACCTATGCTGTGTCAAATATTTAATCACAATCCAAATGCAAAGCTGTATCAAGCTTGAATGTTGTGTCCATACTTGCCCCAACTGTTCAGGGTTCGACCTCTGCGGTCGTATCAATCTGCACTCTGCGGAGCATTTTATTCGTTTCTGTTCTCTAACTTAAGTTTGCCTCTACCAAATGTTATGAAACTTATACACAATACTTATTACCACAAAACACAGATCAAGTACAAATTTGGGTAGCGTCAGGTTTACCATTCTTCAGTTATGTACCTTTATAGCTTATTATGATATGCAAGCGGGGGCATCATCTGTGTCCCATGGACACATTCTCCCATTTATTTTTTTTTATTCTGGTTAGATATACTTAGCTTACAAATACACAAGTAAAGAAGATTAATACATGAACAAAGTATTTTTATCTTTGAATGCTATTGTTAGTTCTAACATAATCGATCATTTTTAAAATCATCACAATGGTTATTGAAATTATGTGTCTTTCTAGCCTTTCAGTGTATTAATAGTTTGTGAGTTATTCCTCATTTTATCAATGCAAAGTTTTACACTTACATCTGTGTTTAAGCAGCTTCAAGTGAGAATATATTTTGAATGGTATTAAAGGTCTTTCAAAAATTAGATCACACTGGCCTACAATGAATACATGAGTGATTACAGTTAGCTATTGATATAGGTAGGTTCAGCTTGTAATTTGACTTCTGTTGATTCCTGTAGCTGTTTCTTAGTAAAAATAAACTGGCAACATTGGGGTCGTAGAGTGCGAAGGTCATCTGTTTTAAAAACAATTAAAGAGCTTTTGCCATCTGCTTTTAGGGAGGTGGAGGGACATTATTTTTATTTTTAACAGAGTAACAACTGACTTGTCTTCCTTTTTAGCTCACCTGACCTGAAAGGTCAAGTGAGCTTTTCTCATCACTTTGCGTCCGTCGTCCGTCGTCCTGCGTCCGTCGTCCGTCGTCCGTAAACTTTTACAAAAATCTTCTCCTCTGAAACTACTGGGCCAAATTTAACCAAACTTGGCCACAATCATCATTGGGGTATCTAGTTTTAAAAATGTGTGGCGTGACCCGGTCAACCAACCAAGATGGCCGCCACGGCTAAAAATAGAACATAGGGGTAAAATGCAGTTTTTAGCTTATAACTCAAAAACCAAAGCATTAAGAGCAAATCTGACATGGGGTAAAATTGTTCATCAGGTCAAGATCTATCTGCCCTGAAATTTTCAGATGAATCGGACAACCCGTTATTGGGTTGCTGCCCCTGAATTGGTAATTTTAAGGAAATTTTGCTGTTTTTGGTTATTATCTTGAATATTATTATAGATAGAGATAAACTGTAAACAGCAATAATGTTCAGCAAAGTAAGATTTACAAATAAGTCAATATAACCGAAATGGTCAGTTGACCCCTTTAGGAGTAATTGCCCTTTATAGTCAATTTTTAACCATTTTTCGTAAATCTTAGTAATCTTTTACAAAAATCTTCTCCTCTGAAACAACTGGGCCAAATTAAACCAAACTTGGCCACAATCATCATTGGGGTATCTAGTTTAAAAAATGTGTGGCGTGACCCGGCCAACCAACCAAGATGGCCGCCACAGCTAAAAATAAAACATAGGGGTAAAATGCAGTTTTTGGCTTATAACTCAAAAACCAAAGCATTTAAAGCAAATCTGACATGAAGTAAAATTGTTTATCAGGTCAAGATCTATCTGCCCTGAAATTTTCAGATGAATCGAACAACCTGTTGTTGGGTTGCTGCCCCTGAATTGGCAATTTTAAGGAAATTTTGCTGTTTTTGGTTATTATCTTGAATATTATTATAGATAGAGATAAACTGTAAACAGCAATAATGTTCAGCAAAGTAAGATTAACAAATAAGTCAACATGACTGAAATGGTCAGTTGACCCCTTTAGGAGTTATTGCCCTTTATAGTCAATTTTTAACAATTTTTCGTAAATCTTAGTAATCTTTTACAAAAATCTTCTCCTCTGAAAATCCGTGGCCAAATTAAACCAAACTTGGCCACAATCATCATTTGGTTATCTAGTTTTAAAAATGTGTGGCGTGACCTGGTCAACCAACCAAGATGGCCGCCACGGCTAAAAATAGAACATAAGGGTAAAATTCAGTTTTTGGCTTTTAACTCAAAAACCAAAGCATTTAAAGCAAATCTGACATGAAGTAAAATTGTTTATCAGGTCAAGATCTATCTGCCCTGAAATTTTCAGATGAATCGGACAACCCGTTATTGGGTTGCTGCCCCTGAATTGGTAATTTTAAGGAAATTTTGCTGTTTTTGGTTATTATCTTGAATATTATTATAGATAGAGATAAACTGTAAACAGTAATAATGTTCAGCAAAGTAAGATTTACAAATAAGTCAATATAACCGAAATGGTCAGTTGACCAATTTAGGAGTAATTGCCCTTTATAGTCAATTTTTAACCATTTTTCGTAAATCTTAGTAATCTTTTACAAAAATCTTCTCCTCTGAAACAACTGGGCCAAATTAAACCAAACTTGGCCACAATCATCATTTGGTTATTTAGTTTTGAAAATGTGTGGCGTGACCTGGTCAACCAACCAAGATGGCCGCCACGGCTAAAAATAGAACATAGGGGTAAAATTCAGTTTTTGGCTTTTAACTCAAAAACCAAATCATTTAAAGCAAATCTGACATGAAGTAAAATTGTTTATCAGGTCAAGATCTATCTGCCCTGAAATTTTCAGATGAATCGGACAACCCGTTGTTGGGTTGCTGCCCCTGAATTGGTAATTTTAAGGTGATTTTGCTGTTTTTGGTTATTATCTTGAATATTATTATAGATAGAGATAAACTGTAAAAAACAATAAATGTCGGCAAAGTAAGATCTACAAATAAGTCAACATGACCGAAATTGTCAGTTGACCCCTTTAGGAGTTATTGCCCTTTATAGTCAATTTTTAACCATTTTTTCGAAAATCTTAGTAATCTTTTACAAAAATCTTCTCCTCTGAAACTACTGGGCCAAGTTAATTATAGATAGAGATAATTGTAAGCAGGAAAAATGTTCAGTAAATTAAGATGTACAAACACATCACCATCACCAAAACACAATTTTGTCATGAATCCATCTGCGTCCTTTGTTTAATATTCACATAGACCAAGGTGAGCGACACAGGCTCTTTAGAGCCTCTAGTTTTTTATCTTTAACACATGTTTGGTACATTTAAAGTACCTTCACGTGCTTACTCATTTCAGTTACATAAATATATAATAGATGTTTGGACACTTTTACTTTATATTTGTCAGAAGTCTTCTCTAATTGATGTTCTTAAACAGACAATTCTGGGAGAACTAATTGATGTACTTAAACAGACAATTCTGGGAGAACTAATTGGTTCGTTTAGCCTTTTCCTAAAAGGAATTTTGCCTATCACTCTTAGCTTCTTTTCTAATAAAAAAAATGGCTACTTTATTTGCAAGAAAATTGTAATAAGGATGTCTATGCTGTAATGAAACTGATCAGAAAGAGAATATAATGTTACATACATTCGATATTTAGTCAGCCTTGAAATGAACAAAATGCTATTAACATATGATTGTCAATTGTGTTACATTTAGTGAAAAATATGATTATAATTAAATGTAGATTCCAGGGAAATATAGATTTTTGTTTGGTAATAGGCCTGGCTAGTAGATTATATAACAGAGGTCAATTTAGCATTAAATTGAATTTGAAAGAAGGCTATTTCAACATTTAAGTCAATTTTCATGATTAAAGGAATAGATAGTTTTGTTTGCTTTTTCTCCAATGATTTTCTTAAAAGACATTTAATTACATGAATCAAAATTGATAAATCCTTGTGCATGTCTGATGAAGATAATTACAATTTGTAATACATAATACAAATAGTTCATAAGATGAAAATAACTGCTGTGGATTCATTATTATTCATTGGATACTAAATTTCGTTGATTTTGCCGTTACTTGGGAAGTTCCGGAACCACGAATTCTAATGTACAACGAATTACAAATTTTCTATAAGAATGTATGCAGACTTTGGCAAAACCACGAAATCAAATATCCACGAAAATGCTAGTTTTCCTCAATCCACGAAAATTGGTACCCACGAAAATAAATGAATTCACAGTATATAAATAGTGGAGCAGAAAATGTCTACCCTTTTCAAGCACCTGGCTTAACAAGAATGATTGATTGTTGGTTTCTGCTTAGTAAATGTCTAGTGGCAATTATTTCATGCATATTCAGAACAAGAAATAAATGTACAATAAGAAGCCAAATGGGAAGCCTATGTCATTTGGTATGGGCAGAAATTTTACTACCACCAGTAAATTTGAGTATGTTGGTTATTAGAGGCAAAAATGTTGCCAGACAACAGGCCATCTATGGACCCTTTACAGAATTGTTCCAAGGATTTTAAGGAGCAGAGATCTTTGCACTCCCCTACAGAGTTCTTGGGAGTTAACATCAACATTCTGACTGGATGTTATTGTGTATTTGTATGTCCCATACAACCAAAAGGTTGGACAGGTGTTATTCAGGGTTGACTATATTTCTATATTCCAGTAAACCCTTAGGTCTATGATTTTACATGTTGCTTAGTATTTCGATTTCTATGTAAGATTCTGTGGAATAGTACAATGTTTAGGATAGTTGGTGGACATTTATATTGTTTTCTGGTCTGTGCATTCTGGCAGTCTTCGCACTCAACTGCAGGCCCACCAGCCCAGGCTAGTAAACATGCTGTCGGGCCTGAAAAAATCATCTCTACAAGCCAATAGAATCTAACTAAAATTTTCATAAAATTCAGCTTCGGGCTTGTAGATTCAAAGGTTTATCGTGAAGACTGGTCTGGTATCAGGTTTAGATTTTTGGTTAAGGTAGTTTACCATGAAGTTGTAGTCACATCAACTTGAAACTTAGTACACATGTTCATTACGATGAGAACTTCAAAATGATGAGATCCTTATGAAAAATTTATCTAATGTTTAATAATGTAATTATTTTCAAACTAATGTTAAAACTTTTTTTCTTGTAGAAAATATGGGAGCCTCCTATAATTCCCAAACAGATGGAGTTCCTATAGAAAGGTATGCAAGTCTATTGAGTAATCTGATTGATAATTAGAATTAACTCAGTATTTTACTGAAAAGTAAATTGATTATTACCAGATAGTAAAATGATTTTTAAATGACATTTAATGAAACAATTTCCCTATTACAATGGTTTAATCTACTCAATTAAAACACAAAAGCTGCTTATTTCAAAATTTAACGATTTATATCTTAAAAGTATTTTTAAAATGATTTTAGCACATATTGACATCATTTTGTTTCTTTACTATGTTTATTGGATTTCTACACTATCAAAACATGATGGTACATGTAAGTGGTGATGGGTTTTGGTCATTTGTTAGAGTGCCCATGGATAAATCACTGTTCTTCAACTAATTACTGACAAACTTTTTCACATACCATTAGATTAAGATCACTTTGTCTCTTTTTCAAGTAACTAACCCCTACCGAGGAGGCAACAGACTAAAGTGACCTCCACAAATAGATTTTTTCCCATTGGTCCAACTACCGATGTAAATCATTTTGCCACAAAGGGTCTGATTATGACTATATGGTAATAAACAGCTGACTTGTTCTCATATATAAGTATCAATAAAATTGAGAATGGAAATATATACTAACCTGTGAAAAATATATGAATTATCTGCAGCCTTCAACAATGAGTAAAATTCATACCTTATACTCAGCTGTAAAAGGCCCTGACATGACAAGTGAGAAACAATTCAAATGAAAAAACCAACAGCCTGATTTATGACAAAACAATTTAAACAAAACAAAATATGATATACAGCAACAAAAGACAGGCTCCTGACTTGGAACAGGCACAGGTGTCAGGGTTAAATGTGTGTGATCACACAACCCTTTTCTTAGGAAATAAAAGGTTTTCTTTTCATTTATTTTTCGTCTCAAAAAAAGATTTATTGTCATCTCAAAACAAAAGTGATCATTTTCTTATGAAATCAGTTAAATTGCTACAAATTGAACTATTATTCAAGGTCAGTTGAAATGATGGCTTGGAAAGTCAAATATGGTTGTAGAAAAAATAAAAAAAGAAAGCTTTTCTGAACTCTATATTTGCTATATGAATTTTGCAATAAATGCCTTAAGTCTTTTTAAGTATATGTATGTCCAAATGAACTTACACCCAAATTGCTGCTTAAACTAAAAACCTGTGGAAAGTGAACTCTTTTATTTAGAATGAATATAATATTAAAACTAAAACTATGTAAACCAAAAATTAGTATGATCTTGACGATTTATTTTTGCTAATATTGCAAAATTAAAACCTAAAAACTTTCCCCTTGCATAAATTTTAGAAGATCAGAACTGGGGCAAAAAAACACAAAAATAAAACAAACAGATTATGCCTTAGAAATCACCAAAATGTTTAACCTTAATAAAATAAAACTGGCATTGGAAGCAGTACCTCATTCAGAGTGAAGCCATTTGAAATGGTATGGAATGTCCGGTGAGGTGTTGTCCATTTTGGAAAAGATACTGACAATTCATTATTAACTTTTACTTTCACTTTCATTTTAACGTTGTCAAACCAATAGTTGTGATGTTACATCTTGTTAACCTTTTTGTAACCCCATATGGCATGATCTGTCATTGTTATTTTTTCTTGTATTTAGATCTGGTCAGGCGATTCCCTTACAGCAACACCCTCCTGCTGGTCAACTCCCACCCCCTCCAGTTACACGGAAAACACATACTCGAAGAGATTCTGGTCAACAAAGGGCATTAGTTGATAGGGACCCTGGACCACCTGTACCACCTGGACCATTACCTGCCCAGCAACAGACTCAACAATCGGTTACTCAGGTAAAATATCAGTAAACAACAAACAGATCAAGTTTGTTTTTGTATTCCTTGGGTAAAATCAAGTACTAAGTAACAACTGAATTTCCTCTGGTTTTGGCAATCCTGAGAACTGGAAACTATTGTTTGAAAAAAAATATATCTTTTTTAATGTTAAATTTCAAAAATTTAAGTTATTAATGCTAATGTATGAATTATTATTGTGATATGTTGCTTACAAATATTGATATTAAGATTTAAAATGCAAAACCAATCGAAACAAAAGACAATGAGAGCAACATATGATCTTCAACAATAGACAGGTGTCTGTAAAATATGTCAAACTCTGTATTACTCTGAATCTATACAAGTAGTGTGTAACTGTGTGTGTAATTTTTATGTAAGATGTACACTTATACATGATATTTAATAAAAAATTATTTAGAGGCTTTTGTAACTATTAATTTTAACATCTGTGTATTGATTTTCTTTTTCAGACACATACTAGAGAAGAATCTCCGTTAAATCCTAGATCACCAACTCAAAAAACATCTCCTCCCCCTCCATCATCCCCACCCACTCATCAGCCAAGCATTCCAACCGTTTCCATCACAAATCAGGTCAATCCACAGAAGCCAACACAAGGAACAGCTCCCCATCACGGAAGTTTTAATTCAATAAATTCAACGCATGAGGTTGGCTGGGCATCGTTTGAAGATGAGGAAAGTCATGGTTAGTATGTGTTAATACGACCTGAAAATAGGTACTGTAAATTCAGAAATTATTGCGTGCATTTATTATTGCGATTTTTTCATTTTAGACTAAAATGCGATTTTAATTTTTGCGATATTGAGAAAAATACTGTTTAATTCATATATAAAATTTCAAAATGTGAGTTTAAATTATTGCGAATATAACCCTGTCATATTTTTCGCAATAATAAAAACATTGCAATAATTTCTGAATTTACAGTATACTGTAACCCTTCCTTAAAGAAGAATACAACTTATTGAGTTGTAAAGGGTCAAGCTAAGGTCAAGGATTAAGGTCAGGACCATGTCAACATAATACAGGGTAACCCACTTTGTTGAAATTCAGCAGATTTTATGTATTTCTTTCATTATAAAAAAGGATGACCTCATTTATTTTTTTGGGGTTAAAGTTCAAGGGTTTAGGTACAAACAAAATGTTATAGACTTATCTAAACCATTTTGTTAATCTTCATCAAATTTATAATTTAATGCCAATTGAGAGAACTACAGTCGGTCAAGTTCTGCGGTCAAGGGTACTTCAGAACCTTGCCATCACAAAAAAGAGTTTACCATTTGGTTATGGCATAAAAAGATGATAACCAAATTCAGTTTCAAGGTAAAATTTCAAAAGTAAATATAAAACATTGTCAGCATGAAACAGGCTTTAATACCCTTTTGTTAATTTACATTAAAATTTTTAACTGAATACCCATGGAGAGGTTTTTAGGTCAAGGTCAAGATCAAAACTTTCAATATGATACAGGCTCAACCATAGATCAATAACTGTCATATTTTGTATGCATAATGTTGATATTGATGTTTTCTGATTCTACGGTTAGGGTAAGTTCTTGGGGTTTTATTTTTGGTTTTTCTTGTCCCTGATTCCTATTTTCCTTAAAGATCAAATTTACACAATTTTTTCTTATTCATGTAATTAACAAAAAATAAATCCTTTCGTCAATTTTTCATTTTACAGCATATAAAAGAATACATGAGTTACATGACCCTTTAGCACTGTTCATATTCCTGTATTCATGGTAAAATAATAACAGATGGATTATAGCAGAAGATTTATGAGTGAAAAATAAGTCTTCAAAATAATCATTATTTTGTTGGTTTTTCTTATTTTAGGTTTATTAGGAACTGGTCCAAAGAAATATAATTTAGAGCCCCCTGGGTTTGACTCATCATCCATTAGTTCAGACCCAGAGAGTGTTGATGATGTTTGGGCCATCAGTGACGAACAAAAAGAATATTACATCAAACAATTCCAGAGCATGCAACCAGACTTAAACGGGGTTATAATAGGTAAGACTACTGGAACAATAGGGGGGGGGGAGTGTTAGGTAAGCCAAGCAGACTGTCCAGTAGCAAATATTTCATACATATATATAGGACTAGAACATAATAAAACAATAAATCAAATAAGTAGATGATGCCAAATGGATTTAATGGGGTCAATGGCCACAATTATTGTATGCCACTAGGAAAAAATGGTATATAACCGAAATTTTATATTTCTATTGCAAAATGACCTGAAAGCAAAGATCTGTCAAAACATTAGAAAAATGACCTACTATAACCTTACTGATCCTGATGATTAAGGATATTAACTATTTAATTCTAATTTCCCCAAATGTATATGTACTACAGCTTTAACATAAAAACTTCAGCCATTTTATTACCAGAAAACCATTTTTAGAATTTTGTATTGAGATTAGGAACTGTAGTTTTTGTCTCACCTGCAACGAAAGTTGCGGAAAACGTGACATAGGGATTGCTTTTCTGGCGATGATGGCATCAACAATTGTTAAGTTTTCTGCTTAAGTTAGTTTGATAGGAACTACTTGTGATAGATGATTGATATTTAATACAAGGTTGCATTACTATCAGTACATATCAGTTTGACGACTATTTAGAGTCCCTGCCCCTAGGTCATGGTCCAGAAACTTTGAATTAATTAGCACATTTCAATGTTAAGTTTTCTGCTTAAGTTAGTTTGATAGGATCTACTTGTGATAGATCAATTATATTTGTATGAAGGTGCATAACTCTCAGTTCATATCAGTCTGACAACTATTTCAAGGCCCTGTCCCCTAAGTCATGGTCCAGTGACTTTGAATTAATTAGCAATTTTCAATGTTAAGTTTTCTGCTTATTCAATTTGATAAGAACTACTTGTGATAGATAATGATATTTTGTATAAGGTTGCATTACTATCAGTACATATTAGTTTGATGATTATCTTCAGGCCCTGCCCACTAGATAATGGGGCATTAAGTTTAACCCTTGTCCGTCTGTACATACGTACATCCCAAAATTGGTTTCTGTTCTCTAACTTGAGTTTGCCTCAACCAAATGTTATGAAACTTATGCACAATGCTTATTACCACAAAACACAGATCAAGTTTGAATTTTGGTGGCGTCACTTTAACCGTTCTAGAGTTATGGCCCTTTATAAATGGAAAAATTGCAAAATTTTTAGTGTCCGTTCTCTAACTTATTAAAGTTTGCCTCAACCAAATGTTATGAAACTTATAAAAAAATTCCTATTACCACAAAACACAGATCAAGTTTGAATTTTGGTGGCGTCACTTTAACCGTTCTAGAGTTATGCCCCTTTAGAAATGGAAAAATTGCAAAATTTTTAGTTTCCGTTCTCTAACTTAAGTTTGCATCAACCAAATGTTATGAAACTTATAAACAATGCTTATTACCACAAAACACAGATCAAGTTTGATTTTAGTGGCGTCAATTTAACCGTTCTAGAGTTATGCTCCTTTATAAATGGAAAAATTGCAAAATTTTTATTTTCTTCTAAATATCAAAGTAATTTTTAAAATTGGAGTTATATTCCTTTGTCCATGATTATAGTTGAATCAACTACAATCAATGCTTTATACAATGCAATGTTTAATTTTGACTTCCACTGATAAAACACAGATCAAGTTTAATTTGGGTAGTATCACTTGAACCATTATTGAGTTATGCCCCTTTATAAATCGAAAGATTGCAAAATTTTTAGTTTCCATCCTGTAACTTAAGTTTGCCCCAACCAAACATTATGAAACCGATACACAATATTCATTATCACAAAACTAAGATCAAGTACAAATTTTTTGTTTCTGTTTTCTGACTTTAGTTTGCCTCAACAAAATGTTATGAAACTTATACACAATGCTTATTACTACATAATACAGATTAAGTATGAAATTTGGTGGCTACACTTTCACCATTCTTGAGTTGTGTCCCTTTATAAACATAAAAATTGCTGAATTTTTCGTTTTCTGTTCTCTAACTTTAGTTTGTCTCAACCAAATGTTATAAAACTTATACACAACGGTTCTAGAGTTATGCGTGTTTACAAATAGAAAAATTGCTGAATTTTTAGTTTCTGTTCTCTTAAGTTAGCCTCAACTAAATGTTATGAGACTTACACACAATGCTTATTACCACAAAACTCAGATTTTACCGTTCTTCAGTTATGTCCCTTTTTAACTATTATAATATGCAAGCAGGGGCATCATCTGTGTCCACATGTGGACACTATCCACATTTATTTAAATTTTTATCTTGGTCCATAGCATATGTCTTAATGACAATAAAGACAATGCAATATGAAATTAGTTACTTTTAACAATACAAGTTTTGTTGTTTGTGTTAAATAATAATTGTGTATATGCCTAATTCTCTTGGAAATATCAGTTTTGTCAACATAATATATTTTCGATTAAAATATCCATACTTATCTGACAAAATTAGCTTATTGTCCAAAATAACTGAAAAAATGTGACCCAAAAATTCACCAAATTTTTTTTATGCTAAAAATAATGGATTTTTGGTACCAAAATAATTGTTAAATAAAGTTTTTTTTAAATATCATTATTTCTGAAATTTTATTTTTACAATTAAACATATACTCATTTCAGTGTTAAAATATTCCAGTAAACTGTTATCATGATTATAAGATGCAAGTAAAAGTACAAGACACACCATTGCCAGAATAAACTGATGGATTTGTAAACAATTGTTTTTCCAAAACACTACACAGAAAAAACTTAAGCTTAAAAGCTTAAGTAGCATTAGCAAAGAAAAAAGAAAAATAAATGGAATGAACTAAGGTTCTCCAGAAGTGACATTGAAATGTTCAAATCTGATAGTTGATAAATATCAAAGTGGATTGTTTTTGCATAATTATATTAAATATTTTAGGTGGAGTTGCAAAAGAATTTTTCGAGAAGTCCAAATTACCGGTCAGAGAATTGTCACAGATCTGGTAAGATATATTGTTTTGGCAAATAACTAGATCAAAAGAACAAGGATGTAAAGGTCAATGGCCTTCCTTTACTTTAGGGGTCCCAACATTACTGTTAAAAAATGAAAGGTCCCACAATATATAGTAAAATTGAGAATGGAAATGGAGAATATGTCAAAGAGACAACAACCCGACCAAAGAGCAGATAACAGTGTATTTAAAATGCATTGTGCCGTTGTTTTATTATATATTCTGTTGTATTGATTATTTATAAAGTATTGGCTTGTATATAGGTTGTCGGACCCCTATAGTAAAAGAAGGCATTATAGAACTCTTTTACTTTAGGGGTCCTCTTTTTACTTTAGGGGTCCCAAATTTTCAGCAGCCCAGTACTTTCATCCATTTTACTTAATATTAATAAATAATATCTATACAACAAAAATCAAATAAAAGAATGTGAGGAAATAAAATTTAATACTTACAACAGGTAGAGAAGTAAATATTTTATATTATTACAAAAAAAGTACTATTATGGACCGGGACCTCTATAAAGTAAAATCCAAAATTGTCAGGACCCCTAAAGTAAAAGAAGGCCAGGTAAATAGATATGCAAAAGATACCAAAGGGACATTCAAACTCATTAGTCGAAAATAAACTGACAATGCCATGGCTAAAAGTGAAAAACTATCAAAAGACAAACAGTATGCAAAACACAACATAGAAAACTAAAGACAGCAACAGAATGAACAGGAACCTGACCAAAAACTGGGGGTGATTTACGGTGCTATGGAAGGGTGAACACATGTGACACGTGTCGTGTTGCTCATGTCAGTACAAAGCTGGTGATGAGTGTAATTCGGTAGATCGCATTGGAGGAAAAGAGGGCATGCTTGTGGTTTTGGCAATTGGAACATATCCGTTGTCGTCTGTCATTCTCATATTCCATTGTGGTCAATCAAAGCTCATAAAATCATAATGTATTTCATGTATGGACATTTGACAAGTCATCAAAGCAGAATGACTTTGATATGAGAATAGTATGATAAATGGAGTTAACATAGAATAATTAGATAAAATTGCACAGATCTTTTTATGAAATTACTGTACATAAACATGATGAATACTCTGAAATAAATTTCAGCCATAGGCAAAAAAAAAGTGTGTTTCCAGGTGTGATCGGAAAAAAGCTCTTCCTTAAGCACGTCCCATAATTGTCTGGGTCTAATTAGTGCTATTTGTTAAAGCATTTTTGTGACCATGAATGATAGTAAACAAATGGCAAAGTAATGACTAGTGTGCTCGCAGTTCCATTGATGAAACTATAAACCTGATGATTGTTTCACACATTTAAAGCCATTCAAACAATGGTTCAAAGAACTTCATTGGGAAATCAATGGGAAAAAAGTATTGAGAGAAAAAAAATCCTGATCTACCAGCCCTATTTTTTGGGGGGCATGCATCTGACAACACATCTATTTGGGGTTTTTATGCCCCCACCGTAGCGGAGGGGGCCTAAAGTTTTACCCTTGTCCGTCTGTACGTCCCTCCGTCCGTACATCCCAAAGTTGGTATCCGTTCTCTAACTTTAGTTTGCCTCAACCAAATGTTATGAAACTTATACACAATGCTTATTACCACTAAATACAGATCAAGTTTGAATTTTGGTGGCGTCACTTTTACCGTTCTAGAGTTATGCTCCTTGACAAATGGAAAAATTGCTAAATTTTTCATTTCCGTTCTCTAACTTAAGTTTGTCTCAACCAAATGTTATAAAGCTTATACACAATGCTAATTTCCACAATATACAGATCAAGTTTGAATTTTGGTGCCGTCACTTTTACTGTTCTAGAGTTATGCCCTTTACAAATGGAAAAATTGTTAAAATTTTCTTTTGTTTTTTTTCTAAATATCGTCATTTTTTTTAAATTGGAGTTAACTTCCTTTGACCATGATTATAGTTGAATCAACTACAATCAATGCTTTATACAATGCAATGTTTAATTTTGGCTTCCACTGATAAATTAAAGCAGTTTTTACCCTTCATTTCTAAAAATATTTTAAAGTCTTCTTTGAAAATTGGGGTTATCTTTCTTTGTGCATAATGGTAGTTGAATCAACTACAACCAATGCTTTATACAAAGCAATATTCAATTTTACTTCCTGCTGATAAATGAAAGTAATCTTTACCATTCAGTGCTTACAAGCACTTTGATTACCATTCTAGGGTTATGCCCCTTTACAAATGAAAAAATTGCTTTTTTTTTCATTTCCATTCTCTAACTTGAGTTTGTCTTAAAGGGAAAATTCGCGATTTTTTACTTATCATCTTATTATGTTCATAATACCATTAAAAACATATTCACCAAGTTTTATCTGGATATGAAGAAAATTGGGAATTATTAATTCTATTTATTCAAACTTCCTGACTTATGTGACGTAGTTTAAGTCTTTTTGCATGCCGGGAGTGGATTAATCTCATTTAAAGTCTTGTTCGTTAATCATCTAATAACGCGATTTAAAGCGCATCAACGACTTTTGGTGTAGCTATTAACCAACTAACAATTCAGAAAGAAAAGTGATCAGCCGTGCATTTTTTTAAATTAAAATTTACGATTTATATTTTAAGGATTTCTGATATGATTATAGTAATAAAAGCAAATCATACAATAGAATTTTTTTATGATTTTTTTTTCGACGGATATTTTGAACAACATATATAACTGATAGTATATAGAAATTCACGTTTGTATTCTCCCCTATTACTTCAGTCGAGGATTTGTCTTACTATACAAATCCTTGCTTCAGTCTAGTACTGTGTAAATACAATGCATGTGTATTATGCTGACACCACCTGGTAAAGGCGTGGTTAAATTCACGGTAATTAAAAGATTAGCATTATGTAATTTTAATCCTTTGATCTTCACTAGAGTGGTGTTTGTCCTCAAGGGTTCACCGTTGCAGGTATGAGACAGATTTTTTTTAATTATTAAGGGAGGAATATGGTGGCAAAATACCTTAATCGCCGTTATATATATATTTTTTTAACATTTTGCATTTGCTCAGTTTTTAAATAAATAGGTGAGTATTTTGTTGTAACATCGAAATTCTGAATCACTTTTAATAAAATAATTATATAAATATTATAAATGGCCCACGAAAACGAGCGTATAAATCAAAACAGTGCTATTTTAAATTATCATCGGTAACCTTGAATATTTAAATGTGCAGAGAAAATTATCAGTTACAAAAATATAGTTTTGTCGTCCAAAGCGATCTTCATTTACCTAATCAGGAATGACAACGTATTTATATAATTCTTTAGCTATTTGACCAACGATGTTTTAAAAAATTAGCAGAATTAATCTAACGTCAACTTTCCTTTTTTAAATGGAGACAGAACGTCGAAATCAATTTTCACTGTGCTTGATATCTTGTACCTTTGTAAGACTTATCATTCATTCATAAACCCACTCTAAACCAGAAACATATATACGTCTGTTTAAACTGACAAGAAAACTCCTAAAGCGGACAAGCAGTATATTCTGTAAATTTCTGAGATTTAATGCAAAGAAATAAAAAAAATCCCGAAATGAATTTGATCTTGGAAAATATTCACATCCTCATTCGGTCTGAAAAAAAGATACGAATTTGGTATACAGAACAAGCAGAAGTGTGAATGTTATAAAACCTAATTGTTATATCAGAAACCATTATAAATATGAACATGTATACGTAAGACCTCATGGGACGTCACCTAACCACATTCAGGTAATATACAAGTAGCTGTTATACCCGGAAATGTCAAGGTTAATCATAGATAGATAGACATGACCTCAGACCAACCAACCCCCCCCCCCCCCCCCCCTTGTCGTTAAATAGAGATCTAGTGTATACATGTCTCTGCGTTAACTTATAAAAATAACAGGAAATAATAAACTTGAAATAGATTTATGATGAATACTTTGCAACTGCGACACCCCTTTTTTATCACAACGTACATGCATGCATTTAAATGATTGTCCGTTACATGCGATTTAGAATGACAATCGTACGTACAATCCTATAGTTCATGGTGAGTCCTTTTCTATCTGATATGCGACTTTTCGTATTTATATTTTCTCTTATATTACCGGTACTGTCATTTAATATCTAATGCAATATTAAGAGTGGTTAAATCCCCTACAAGCTAACTAAATAAATAAATCAACCCTCTAGCTGACCAGACGTTAATACAACTACCATCAGTCTATCCGGAGTGAAGTTTCTTTATTTCTTCAAATAGGCTTTTGGGGATCATTAGTGCACGTCCAGTGGCATGTATATATAACATGCATGTCGGACCAGGAAAATGTGATGATGACGAATTTCTTAAACTGTTCGAAATAATCTTATTGAAATATAAATCTGTGATTTTACTATGTCTATAGCTTCGATGAACCAAAGCAAGTTAGATATCGACCTGTATTTAAATCAGATTGGTTCTGGATGTTTCTCTCGTATATTCAATATACTTGTATGATATTAGTTCTATATTGCGACTATCCATAGTTCCGTATTAAACCTTCCATCTAGGCGTATAAACCAATGATCGACAAGTGCCGCACATTTTGTTAAATCAATATTTGTATGTTTCAAAATGTCCATAATTATTGACAACGAGTATATACTTACATTTTCCCCAATTTACCCTTGGAAAATGTGTAAATAGATTTTTATTTCATCAAATCCTTTTTTTTTTAAATTATTTAAATTTTCATAAATATCATTCTTTACACCAAAAATGTTATTTATAAACAAGCGTATGAGTTTAGCAATGACTAGTATATCACTATCGGATACGCTATACAAAGTTGTATATTACACCTGAAAGATTCAAAATGGAAGTTACATGTTATCGGCCGTGTACACTGATCAATACCCCCAGAAAAGAAGTGATGCACGAACTTTGTTTTATGTAATTGTGTAATAACAGTTTTAAAGCCCGACAGGAAATCGCTTGAATACCTGTACGTGTCACCTCACAATACCTCTGGGAACAATTCCTTTAGCCATTCTGGTGATCAGATAAGGAAAGGTTCGAATTTATTTTAAAAAGTTTATTACATAAAACAATTATGAACAAACTAGATTTTCAAAAACAATTTTACACGGAACACTTATTTATAACTTTGACTTTTTAACTAATTTCAATTTCTTGTTTTAAATACTTTGTAAACAAAACAGTTTCAAAACGACAGACCATACTATTAGTACTAGTTATTTAAAAAATAATATATATAAAATTACATTTTCCGTATCAAGTTAGTTAGGAAAGGTTGCACAACCATGTCTATCATAATCTTTTTTGTGACCCGGGTAACTGTTTATGCTTTCCTTGTCGGATAAAACAACCGTACGCTTGACAAGATATCGACACTCAATTACGGCTACGTTAGGTTACTGCTTGTTTTGGTCCTTTGTGGTTTATAGATATATCGTGGTCAATATTCGGGGAGGATGTCAAAATGGCCGCATGCGGAGAATTGATACTCTAAATTTAAAATCGATGTTGATCTCTTAACTTGCAGAATAAAACTTTAATATCTATGAATTTGTGCTTTTTTATACATAATGAACAGAATATGAATTTTTCATTTTTTTGCGAAGTTTCCCTTTAACTAAATGTAATTTCTAAAAATATCAATGTCATTATTCAAGTAATTTTTAAAATTGGAGTTATCTTCCTTTGTCCATGATTATAGTTGAATCAACTACAATCAATGCTTTATACAATGCAATGTTTAATTTTGCCTTCCACTGATAAAACACAGATCAAGTTGAATTTGGGTATTGTCATTTAACCATTATTGAGTTATGCCCCTTTATAAATCGAACGATTATAAAATTTTTAGTTTCCATTCTGTAACTTAAGTTTGCCCCAAGCAAACATTATGAAACCTATACACAATATTCTAACCTCAAAACTAAGATAATGTACAATTTTTTTGTTTCCGTTCTCTAACTTTAGTTTGCCTCAACCAAATGTTATGAAACTTATACACAATGCTTATTACTATATAATACAGATTAAGTACGAAACTTGGTGGCGACACTTTTACCATTCTTGAGTTATATCCCTTTATAAACATAAAAATTGCTGAATTTTTCGTTTCCGTTCTCTAACTTTAGTTTGTCTCAACCAAATGTTATAAAACTTGTACACAACGGTTCTAAAGTTATGCGGGTTTACAAATAGAAAAATTGCTGAATTTTTAGTTTCTGTTCTCTACTTAAGTTGGCCTCAACCAAATGTTATGAGACTTTTACACAATTCTTATTAACACAAAACTCAGATCAAGTTCAAATTTGGGTAGCGTCACTTTTACCGTTCTTCAGTTATGTCCCTTTATAACTATATGATATGTAAGCAGGGGCATCATCTGTGTCCACATGTGGACACAATCCACATTTATTTTATTAAGTCTCCCAAACGAAGTTTGGGAAGACTTATTGTTTTTGCTCAGTTCTTATTATTATTATGTCACCCGATCGACAATGTCGGGTGACATTTTGCTTTTCCTCTGTTTCTTTTTCCCTATTATTATTATTATTATTATTTTTCTTCCACCTAATTTTGTCCACCCGCTTTCTCAGAGCCAAAGCTACCAATCCGAATGATGGTTCACTATAACAAGGAACCCTGACTTTCCAGTTGCAGTGCAACTTTGGAACTAAAAGATGGCTGCCATCACCATGGAAACTGAAAAATGGTGAAAAAATATAATTTTGGAGTTCGCTGAATTATTTGAGAATGCTTAAGCTTAAAATCTTTAGATTTTAATACAATGTAGGTGCCCACTATATACTGGTTTGGGATGATTTTGGCAATCATTGGAACTGCTATGTTGCCATGGATACTACACCAAAAATTTCAAAAATATCGAAATGCTCCAAATTTAATAAAACTTCACAGTAACGATGAGCAACATTGGTAGATAAAGAATTTGGCGTTGGAATATCGAAAATGTCTGCCGTTACCATGGAAACAATGCAAAACAGGTCAAAATGCTCAAAAAACCTTAAAGTGGCATTTACTTTCTTAATATGGTAGGTCAAATCCATTGAAATTTTGATGGTATGTTCCCTCCCATGTACCAATGTGGTATCTGCCAATAAATTTTTGGAATGGTCTCTGTAACCATAGGAACCATCTAAAATGTCAAAAATTTCAAAAATTTCAAAATGCACCAAAATTGATGAAACTTAATATGATTGTTGACTGGCAAGTCTGGATGAGACTTTTGACTTTGGAATTTCCAAAATGGCCACCGTTGCCATGGAAACTGCAAAAATGTCAAAAATTTTCAAAATGCTTTCAAATTAATGAAACTTGATAGGATTGTTAACTGGCAAGTAAAGATGACACTTTTGACTTTGAAATTTTCAAAATGGCTGCCGTTGCCATGGAAATCGCAAAAATGTGAATTTTTTTAAAATGCTCTGAATGTACTGAAAATTTACAGAAAGATGTACATGCATATATGTGCATTCACTAAATTTTTTGAAATGGCTGCCGCTTAGTGGCAATGGGGGAAGGGTGACATCCGCTATTGCTTGCAATGGCAATTCTAGTTATTATTATTCTTCCTCTTCCTCTTCCGCCGCTTTTAAATTTGAACTTGTCCGCACCCGTTCTCCAAAACCGCTTGTCAGATTAACTTAGGGTTTCACAATATGTTAGACTAACATGTCTAGTGGTGCAATTAGGGTTTTGTTTGTGCAATGGGGTTTATAAAGGGGTACTTTGAGGGGCAAAAAGAAAAGATGGTTTTACTATAGAACCCTATGGGATTTTATTTTTTAAAATTTTCAAATGATTATAAATTGAAAACCGTTTGTGATAGACACAATCTTTTTAATTGAAAATGTTCTAAATGATAAAACCCATTAAATGAAAAACAGGGTTAGTCCCCAGTCCCCAGTCACCTCCACCCCCTGCCATTTAAGAAAGTTCTAATACCTTGTAAGTGGTCAAGATCCCCACCCCTAAACCATATATATTCTGGTTTGTCATGCTAAGATGGTTTGAATGATATACAGGGTTAGTCCCCAGGGGTCATCCTGACCCCCTGCCATTTGAGAAAGTTCTAATATCTTGTAAATGGTCGAGATCCCCACCCCTAAACCATATATATTCTGGTTTGTCATGATAAAGCAAATCAAATGAAATACAGGGTTAGTCCCCAGGGGTAACCCCCACCCCCTGCCATTTAAGAAAGTTCTAATACCTTGTAAGTGGTCAAGATCCCCACCCCTAAACCATATATATTCTGGTTTGTCATGCTAAGATGGTTTGAATGATATACAGGGTTAGTCCCCAGGGGTCAACCCAACCCCCTGCCATTTGAGAAAGTTCTAATATCTTGTAAATGGTCAAGATCCCCACCCCTAAACCATATATATTCTGGTTTGTCATGCTAAGATGGTTTGAATGATATACAGGGTTAGTCCCCAGGGGTCATCCCGACCCCCTGCCATTTGAGAAAGTTCTAATATTTTGTAAATGGTCGAGATCCCCACCCCTAAACCATATATATTCTGGTTTGTCATGCCAAGATGATTTGAATGATATACAGGGTTAGTCCCCAGGCATCACTTATGCATATAACTTTACTGGACCAAACCAATTTTCACTGGACTTTGCCCAGTGTCAGGCGACCCTGGGAATTACGAATTATGGTAGCTTCATTTGGGAGACTTCGTAACAGCATCCTGTTACAATCATTTCTTGTTTTTTTTTGCCTTACCGAAAAAAGACACAGCGAAATTGGCATAGCATTTGCACATAGGTTACGATACATGTGTATTTACCTGGGAGGTATATTATAACAGCCATTATTATGTACATCTCTGAGTCTATTCTATGTATAGATATATTGAGAATTTTATCACTGTGTTGTTTACAAAGCGAAAGAAGCATGTCATATTAGAATTTGAAATATAATGAACTTTTCTGCATAAAGAGGAAAACGGTTATAAGTCTGATATTGAATCATATTTATATACAACACTGGCCATGTACAAAACATTGAATAACTTTGAAGATGGTGAAAACTAGTCAAAACTATGCAATGGTGTAGTAGACATTCCCAATCGGTTACTTGGGTCAAAGTTTAAGCAAATACTATTTGTATGATATATATGTACCAGGTGTTTATATTGTTATCTCATTCATTTATGCACAATTACATCAACAGATTCTTGAACAAATATATGTGAACCATTTTTTCAATGAATTGATTTTTCTATAAAAATATTTCAACAACAAAAAAACTCCCATAATCAACAAGAAAATATTAAAATTAAATTTAAATCATCAAAATTACATCAAATTTCATTCAAAAATTGTACCAGGTATTTTTAAAAAGCTTTCTTGTAGTGTATGTTGAATCAGTTATTTTTTAATTACAGGAATTTAGCTGACATCAATAAAGATGGTGCTCTGTCATTAGAAGAGTTCTGTATCGCTATGCATCTGGTTGTGTTACGAAGACACGAAATAGAACTCCCAGAACGACTACCTCTCTCGTTGATGCCATACACAGCATTCACAGATGGTAAGATAAATAGACTTACCACAAATCTGAGAAATTCTTTTTACTTGCATGGAAACGAAGTTTTGTTAGGGCTATTCCATTAAAATGTATGTTGGAGGGTAGGAAGGGAAGTTTAATTATTGAATGTGGGTCATGGGTCTTTTTTCAGTATGTGTATAAAAAATGGTTCTTGGTTGTAGGGATATTTTGAAAGTCCCTTCCTACCCTCCCACATACATTTTAATTGAATAGCCCTTATAAAAATCTTAAGGTTTGGTATATCTGAAAATTCTGTTTTTGTTTACTTTGTCCCAAAACATGTGTGAGCTCTTGCCAGGTTGTTCTCCAAAGCAGTATATCATATTGCAGAATCATGCCATTGATTAAGATACAGGTGCTGTGTCCAAGCTTTTCCTATAAAACTTTGTTCTACTTTGCAGGATTTGGATATTGACATGATTGATGTGTAGTTTTGTGTACTTAAAGTTATGTTAAGTAAATTTCATATTTACATGTGTTGACTGTTGAGCTAAGCTTTTCAAGAATGTCTCTGTTGCTTGTAATGTAAATATACAGATTGTTTCAGCTGCAATATGATACACTAAGAAGGACAATCTAACTTCATATTTCTGCAATAAATGTTTTATCATGTTTATAATGTAAAACCAAAAATTTATAACAATACTATATTGACTTATTTCATCACTGCATTACATAAAAAAAAACTAAGTACGAGTTTCATTTGGAAAAAAAAAGCACCCTTAAATCTTGAAAAAAGTAAATAAAGAATATTTTTACAATTTTGTCATGTATTGTAGAAGAACCATTCAGTACAGACCTTCCCAAAGGAAGTACATTGAAGAGGGCCAATTCTCCTCAGTCAACATCACCACAAGCACAACAGCAGTGGGCACAGTCATTAATCCAAGAGTCCCCAAGGGTGCCCAGTGATATGTCATCACCTAATCAACCTGTACAGTTTGATTTCTCTAAACCAGTTCCTTCAGATCCAGTAAGTCAATCTTCTGGACCGGTTCCTTCAGATCCAGTTAGTCAATCTTCTGGACTGGTTCCTTCAGATCTAGTAAGCCATTTTTCTGGACTGGTTCCTTCAGATCCAGTAAGTATTTTTTCTGGAATGGTTCCTTCAAATCCAGTAAGTCATTTCTCCAAACTGGTTCCTTCGAATTCAGATCCAGTGAGTTATATTTCTGGTTGATTCCATCAGATCCAGTAAGCCATTTTTTTCTTGAATGGGTCCTACAGATTCAGTAAGTCATTTATTCATGGATTGATACAAATTTTATTACACAGCTCTGTCAAATATTAGCAATAATATTTAAAAACAAATGTTTAATTAATTGCATAGGTAACTTTACTTGGATTATGACCTTCAAGAATTTGTTTTGTAGGAAGCTGTCATTGTTCATCCTGTCCCTATGAGAGCGTCACCAGAAACATTAAAGAAAGATGGTAGGGAAAGGGTTAGGGCATACTCAGGTAGAGCTAATAGCATGCTTACTAACTTATCTTTTCTTGTTCATCATGGAATATCAAGTAAAATACCTTCATCGACCGTCACATGAATGTCACATGTTTAGTGAATTTGTGATTGTGTGTCACACTCTTTTTTTTATCAATATTAAACAATCTAAATATTATATGTGTCTGTTGAAAGTTCCAATTTTTCATTTAAAGTTAATCTTATCTTATAAAAGAAAAGTTTTATACTGCAACATTCAGTATCTGAAACAAATTTCAATAGAAGTACAAGTATTTGTAAATTTTAACAACTGATGGTAACCATGGTAACCTTACAGTGCTTTGAAATCACATGCATTTGTGTAGAGAAACGAATTAACTATGTAATATATACCATGATGCCAAGATCTTTTCTATTTATTAAGTTTTGGGTGACATTGCAATTGGGAGTTTCCAGTTTCTTTTTTTTCCCGACTGTGCAAGACCCTCATGGGTTGTCAAGGTCGTTAAAAACCCCCTTGTCGTCGTAGTTTATTCTTCACTTTACCAGCAATTAAGATAAACAAACACTTGAAATAGATTTTGTAAATCAAATTTTCCTGGACTCTCTGTTAGATTTCTAAAGAACCGGAAACTCTCAAATTAAGCTATGGTATTAATAGAGTGAAGTCAGTTTTATGTAGAGTAAAATATTAACACAGTCTATTTTTAACATTACTATGCCTTTAAAGACTTTTAAAATATTGGAATTATAGTTTAATGAATGAATATTTTCTATAATTATGACCTGATAAAATAGAAAATGATCAGTAAATTTCAACACATATGACAATGATCCAGGTTGTATTTTTTTTTAATTGTTTTTGTATTTTTTTGTAATTTCTTTTTTTGTGAATTATTGAGAAATGCAAAATATTTTTTTTCAATTTCAGTATATTTTTTAACATTTTCTTGTCTAAGACGCATTCAGAAACATAGTTTCATGTTTGTCACAAAAATTAAGTTAAGGGTATTCTTATCTTAACTGCATGTGTGAATGGCATGCATGGTTTATGATCATGTGTTATACTAGCATGTCAGAATACAGAATGTCTCTTCCATTTATCTATCCTCTTCAGCTTCTGCATCTTCAATATATCATATGCATGAATAGAAAAAACTTTCAACATTCCAGTATATACATATCCAGAATGTTAACTCGTACAAAATTGAACAAGTAACCTATACGGTAGAAATAGTGACATGTATACAAGTAAATTGAACGCAACACAATAGACACCTTAGTTACCTGCCCTAAATTACCTCCATGTAATTGCACAAAGGGAGATAATTTTTTAATTGTCTCCATTGATATCTTTTCTATATAAAAGGAGGATAATTATGTTTTTATTCTAATTCACAATTCACAATCTGTTAATAATTTAACTTAACTACTGAATATACATTAGGAGATAATTTGAATTGTCTCCCTTGAGCTCTTTACTGTTTATTATCAGTTGGAAGTACTTTCTAAGAATATGTCTGAAAATAAGATAGTTCTGTTTCAAAAGAATATATCAAAATTGTGGCTCATATCTCCTAATTAATCAATCCTTTTGTTAATAAAATAAGTAACAAACATATAAAAACTTTTTTTTGTATGTTAAACATGGAAGCCCTCTGCTTACAAAAATCAGCATCATCTTGAAAATAATTTAAATTTCAAATTTAATTTCATCACAACAAAACTTTGAGATATTAAAACTGAGTAAAAATGATTTTTTTTTTTTTTACATTTTAAACATGCTTAAATTATCTAGCATGTAATAATGTTGAATTGTTTGCATTTAGCATGACCATTATTGATTGACTTTTTATTTTCAAATATTTGAGATACAGTAAGTCTGAGATAAGTTTAATAGTATATACAACAGATTCTCTTGAATATTTTAATCAAGAATTTTAATCGTAACTCGTGACAAAAATTAATAACAAGATTTTCAAACCATACCATTTTCTCATGTGGTACTGCATAGAATAATTTGAATGTGAATCAAAAGGTGAATCTGTTGTATGTAGATATATTAGTGACATATAAATACAGATATACATTTATTTGTCTCTGTATAATTCTTTGTCATAGTATAAAGAACTAGAATATCTTGCATTGTATTTGCATTAAAATATTCTCTATTCGGAATTTATACAAACATTGATAGATTGTTGTAAACCTTACTTGTATTTGCATTAAAAATAATGTAATGTAAACTGGTAAGTCACAACTGTTTGCAATCCAATTGCTGTGGATACAGTGCAAGTTATTTATAGTACAGGCTTTTCTGATAGTATGGGGTTTGAAGGCACTCCGGGAAAATATTTACGAGTGGTGAATCTCAAGTTTAATGCACATTTAACCCATATCCTTTCTCTCTTTACAAATACTGTGGATTCAGTTTTATTATTGGGGTACCAGTTATTCTGGATTTAAATGTTCATTGAATTATAACTTTCTAATAGGCTTTAACCCATATCATCCGCTCTTTGTATAAACCGTGGATTCAGTATTATTATTGGGGTACCAGTTATCCTGGATTTAAATGTGCAACGAGTTATAACTTTTTAATAGGCTTTAACCCATATCCTTTCTCTCTTTGTATAAACTGTGGATTCAGTATTATTATTGGGGTACCAGTTATCCTGGATTTAAATGTTCAACGAGTTATAACTTTTTAATAGGCTTTAACCCATATCCTTTCTCTCTTTGTATAAACTGTGGATTCAGTATTATTATTGGGGTACCAGTTATCCTGGATTTAAATGTTCAACGAGTTATAACTTTTTAATAGGCTTTAACCTATATCCTTTCTCTCTTTGTATAAACTGTGGATTCAGTATTATTATTGGGGTACCAGTTATCCTGGATTTAAATGTTCAACGAGTTATAACTTTTTAATAGGCTTAAACCCATATCCTTTCACTCTTTGTATAAACTGTGGATTCAGTTTTATTATTGGGGTACCAGTTATCCTGGATTTAAATGTTCAACAAGTTTTAACTTTTTAATAGGCTTTAACCCATATCCTTTCGCTCTTTGTATAAACTGTGGATTCACTTTTATTATTGGGGTACCAGTTATCCTGGATTTAAATGTTCAACGAGTTATAACTTTTTAATAGGCTTTAACCCATATCCTTTCGTTCTTTGTATAAACTGTGGATTCACTTTTATTATTGGGGTACCAGTTATCCTGGATTTAAATGTTCAACGAGTTATAACTTTTTAATAGGCTTTAACCCATATCCTTTCACTCTTTGTATAAACTGTGGATTCAGTTTTATTATTGGGGTACCAGTTATCCTAGATTTAAATGTTCAACGAGTTATAACTTTTTAATAGGCTGTAATGCAATTTTTTCTCAAGCCAGGAAAATTCGATATCCACGAAAATTAAATCAATCCACAATATATAGTAAATAATTATTTTAAGAATAATTAGGTCAAAAATAACGACCATAACTCACTACTTCACTTTGCAGAGTGGAGTGCCTTTCAATCTGCTATACAACTTTTCCTAGAATAGTCAAATAGTAATGGCTGTTTGCATCAATGTTGCTTATGTTTACAGAGCCTGCACCTTTAGTAGACACCTCAATACCTGTACAGTCCTCGCCTAGTCCTCCAGCATCTGTTGAAACCAGAAATCTAGGTCCTTCTCCCATACCAAATAGACCAGCACCAGGTATACAGCAGTGTGTGTGGTTATCTCCCATGATTGATTTTTACTAATTACATTTGTATCTCCCCTTATAAATTGTCACAAGTGATGTCAATTGAAGGAAATGGTTACTGCCAGTCTCCCATTTTTAAACATCTTCGGAAAGTTGAAAATAAAAATTATGCCCTTATTTTGTTTTTTGTAATCCCAATGATCAAATTGTCTTGTTCTCTCTTTCAATTGTTTGTTTATTTGTTTTTTCCTTCATTTGTCTGCCTATCCCTGTTAGTTTTGTAAATTTTTATTTTGAAGTATCAGATCTAAGGAACTACTAGTGATAGACAAATGAATGATGTTATATAGTAGACACATCTTTGATAATAAGGTCTTTACAAAATATTGGTTATTTGATTTTTTTTTAAAGAATCATTTATTTCGGTTAATATATATGTTAGAGTCCAAATCTAGACAGATGAAATAGATAAAAGGGAACAGACATGCTTAAAAGTTTTGTAATGACCTCATTTTTTACTCTTTTTGTCATATTCACTGATAATTAATACAGATTTTCATTTAAATTAATGTTTTTTAACATTACTGAGTATGGCATAAATGAATTTGGAATGATGGTAGTAAAACAAATATTCAAAAGCATGCATATTTTTTTTAGTCAATTTTTTTAGCTTAAAGATTTTTGGAGACTGGCTGTTTCTTATGACCTCATATTATCTTTAATAAAAAATTTATCATTAACAATCACCAGAATTTAGTAACACATTATATATATATATATTTATGACCTTGCATTATAAGAAGCATTGCAGATGCACAGTTTCTTTCTGCTCATTTTTGTCGAAAAAGCAAGACATAGCGATCCTACATTCCGTCGGCGGTGTCGTCGTAGTCGGCGGCGGCGTCCACAAATATTCACTCTGTGGTTAAAGTTTTTGAAATTTTAATAACTTTCTTAAACTATCCTGGATTTCTACCAAACTTGGACAGAAGCTTGTTTATGATCATAAGATAGTATCCAGAATTATATTTTGTAAAAAAAAAAATCCAGTTTTTCCGTATTTTACTTATAAATGGACTTAGTTTTTCTGCCAGGAAACATTACATTCACTCTGTGGTTAAAGTTTTTAAAATTTTAATAACTTTCTTAAACTATCCTGGATTTGTACCAAACTTGGACAGAAGCTTGTTTATGATCATAAGATAGTATCCAGAATTAAATTTTGTAAAAAAAAAATCCTGTTTTTCCGTATTTTACTTATAAATGGACTTAGTTTTTCTGCCAGTTAACATGACATTCACTCTGTGGTTAAAGTTTTTAAAATTTTAATAACTTTCTTAAACTATCCTGGATTTCTACCAAACTTGGACAGAAGCAGGTTTATGATCATAAGATAGTATCCAGAAGTAAATTTGTAAAAAACAAAATTCCATTTTTTCCGTATTTAACTTATAAATGGACTTAGTTTTTCTGCCAGTTAACATTACATTCACTCTGTGGTTAAAGTTTTTAAAATTTTAATAACTTTCTTAAACTATCCTGGATTTGTACCAAACTTGGTTAGAAGCTTGTTTATGATCAAAAGCTAGTATCTTGAAGGAAATTTTTTAAAATTTTGAACCTGTTTATCATTATTTATACGACCGCAAAAAAATTTTTGTGGTCGTATATTGGTATGACGTTGGCGTCGTCGTCGTTGTCGTCGTCGTCGTCGTCTGGCGTCGTCCGAAGACACATTGGTTTTCGCACTCTAACTTTAGTTTAAGTGAATGGATCTCTATGAAATTTTACCACAAGGTTCAATACCACAAAAGGAAGGTTGGGATTGATTTTGATGGTTATGGTACCAACAGTAAAGGAATTAGGGGCCAAAAATAAGCATTTTTGTAACTTCCAGACATAACTTGTGTGTTAGTGTATGGATCTCTTTGACATTGTACCACAAGGTTCCATATCACAAAAGGAATGCTGGGATTGATTTTGGGGGTAATTGCCTCAAAATGTTAGGAATTAGGGGCCAAAAAAGGGGCAAAAAACAAGCATTTTTCTAGTTTCATGACAATAACTTGTGTGTAAGTGTATGGATCTTTCTGAAATTGTACTACAAGGTTCCATATCACAAAGGGAAAGCTGGGTTTGAGTTTGGGGGTAATTGCCCTAAACGTTTAGGAATTTGGGGCCAAAAAGGGACCAAAAAACACATTTTTCTAGTTTCCAGACAATAACTTGTGTTCAGGTGTATGGATCTCTCTGAAATTGTACTGCAAGGTACCATACCACAAAGGGAAGGTGAGGATTAAGTTTGGGGGTGATGAATCATAAGGGGGTTCAAAAAATTTGGGGGGGGATTTTTTTTTTTTTCCTTTTTTTTTTCTTTTAAAATTTTCCATTTTAAGTTGGTTGTTTCTGATTTATATTTAAAAGCAAATAATAATGATATGGTAGGAGATACACACCAAACAGGATGTGTAAATTATTATATAATAAGTATTGTGCAATAGCAAGAAATTTTCAATTGCACAGTATTGTACAATAGCAAGAAATCTTCAATTGCACAGTATTGCGCAATAGCAAGAAATCTTCAATTGCACAGTATTGCGCAATAGCAAGAAATATCCAATAGCACAATATTGCGCAATAGCAAGAAATTGTCAATTGTACAGTATTGCGCAATAGCAAGAAATATTTAATTGCACAGTATTGTGCAAAAGAAGATACTTCGTATAAATTGCTTATTTCTTGACCAATTTCAATGGGGTTTTATTCTTGAATTCTTGGGGTTCTTTAATATGCTGAATCTAACCGTGTATTTAGTTTTTGGATTTTGGGCCCCTTTTTAAATTGGTCCACATTGAGGCCCAAAGGGTCCAAAATTAAACTTTGTTTGATTTCATCAAAAATTGAATTATTTGGGTTCTTTGATATGCCGAATCTAACCGTGTATTTAGATTCTTAATTTTTGGTTCCGTTTTCAAATTGGTCTACATTAAGGTCCAAAGGGTCCAAAATAAAACTTAGTTTGATTTTAAGCAAAAATTGAATATATGGGGTTCTTTGATATGCTGAATCTAACCATGTATTTAGATTTTTGAATTTTTGGCCCCGTTATCAACTTTGTCCACATTGAGGTCAAAAAGGTCCAAAATTAAACTTTGTTTGATTTCATCAAAAATTGAATTCTTGGGGTTCTTTGATATGCTGAATCTAACCATGTATTTAGATTTTGGATATTAGACCATAATAGGTGAATGTCCAATTCAAAATTTTTAAGTTCTTAGACCACATTCATTCTGTGTCAGAAACCTATGCTGTGTCAAATATTTAATCACAATCCAAATGCAAAGCTGTATCAAGCTTGAATGTTGTGTCCATACTTGCCCCAACTGTTCAGGGTTCGACCTCTGCGGTCGTATCAAGCTGCGCCCTGCGGAGCATTTTATTTACTTATAAATGGACTTAGTTTTTCTTCCAGTTAACATTACATACAGTCTGCAGTTAAAGATTTAAAACATTTATTAGATTCATAAACTATCCTGGATTTTTACCAAATTGGGACAGAAGCTTCTTACAATCAAAAGATTGTATCGAAAGTAATATTGTTATTATTTTTTTTCCTCATTTTTGTTGAGCCTGCGATTAACAGCAAAAGTAGGCGAGACACTGGGTTCCGCAGAACCCTTACGAATTTTTTATATCACATGATTTACGACCCTGTTATACAATATCTATTGAATCTACACCGTAATATTTCAAAGTAATCTACCTACAATTACCAGCATTCATGTTAAGTGATGTTTGCCTGAATCATCCCGTGTTTTTATATAACTTCAGCATTTATGGAGCCTGTCAGAAAATTTACATAAAATTAATTTGAAAAAGGCACACATCATAAAAGAACATTGAAATATGAAAGTAGAGGAAACTTCATTAAGTCGGAAATGAAATCAGCAGTCATATACAAAATTGTCATTGCTGCATTGGCATTTTCAGAATCTAAAAGAATCATGGGAATATTATCAAAAGCGTACACCAAATTGTTTTGATTTGTTAACAGATTTCAACCAAATTGATATTCAATAATGGTATACCCTTATTTTGGTGTAGAAATCGTTAAATTACCCATAGTCTTTAAATTCTGAAATGGTGAATTAGATATGTGCATGTTTATGGAGCATGATCTGGAGATATGTTGTATATGTAACTAGGAAATGGTTAATTCCTGATGTTTTATATATACATGTATATACATGTACTGTCAAATTTAGTTTTGTATCATTGGATGCCAGTTTTATGGATTAATTGTAAAGTAAAAAAATATCAGTTAACTTCTAAATTATCAATCAATTAGTAAAGTGTATTGCATTATATATCAGTTTAAAACCAAAAAAAAACATAATGAAATTGATGAATTTTGATGGAATCGTAAAATCTGGCTTCAAGAGAAAAACTCCTGTTATATGTATAAATATAAGCATGCTTGTATATTTGTTGATATAAAGTTCTCATCTCAGTCTTTTTTACACACAGTTTACAAACATTAAGCTGAAAATGTGAAACCACTATGTAACTAATGAAAACAATTTTTTCTTAATATCCTTTTACTAAGTCTTAAACTAGTAAAATATGTGACAAGCTGTAAAATCCACTATACAGTATGCTTATCATGTGGCAATGTTGTTTTAAGTTCCAGGAACCGTAACTGGGTTATTAATTCCAGTTCAAGCCTCTAGTCAAGCTGATGGTATGGGACCGGAAGAACCCCCTGCCCCACCACCAAGACCCCCACAGCAACATGGTCGTAGTCTTTCTGTTGATCTCCAAGGTAGGTTCAAGTCATAGTTTATTTTTAAGACTCTCCCACAAAATTCTGACAACACCTAGATCTTCCCAGACATCCGCTAAAAATAGAAGATCAAAAAAGAACAACCATCAACAAAACAGTAAATAAAAATCTGAGCACCACAATCAATGATGTGTTTTCCAATGAATTGCCACCAATTCTCATGGTAGCATGTTCCCCTTGAGTTCCTAAGGGTATGGTTATGATTTTTGGTTGTCAAAGCACCATGACTCACACCTCATCTTTTTCACACATCCCATGAGGCATAATATTTCTCTGATCAAAGTAAACAAGCATGCAGCATTTAAGTGTAAGAGCAAAGATTGGTGAGCTTATAGTTAATCTTTCTCCATGTAGGGTGACATGTCTTCCTAGATGCTGTGAGCTAGCTTGTCAAAGATATTCCTCAGCATTCCAGTGAAGAACAATGATGGATTCATATTCATACACACATTATCATGTCCTGTCCGTAGTTAGTTCAATTATCAATTTTTAACATTACAGGCTCCCTAATGGTTTTAAAGACATGTATTTAAAAATTTATAAATAATCAAGTTTTGTGAAATGTTTTATTTTACATGATGTAGTGGTAAAAAAAATTTTAATTTTAAAATACTGTTGAACCTTGTGTTGAATTCGGTTGTGCGGAATTGATTGTTTAATTGAGGCATTTTGTCAGTCCTGGTAACTGACTGCCACGAAATACTGTAAATTCAGAAATGATGGAAAGGTTTTTAAAAATGTGAATATGCAAATGGGTGAGTATCACAATAATAAGTACTCGCATTCTGTTATCTGATGCATAGACTGGTTTGCAGATTTTCCTGAAATCCCAAAAATTAATCTTGCATTTTTGTCCTTTTTAGCTCACCTGACCTGAAAGGTCAAGTGAGCTTTTCTCATCACTTTGCGTCCGTCGTCCGTCGTCCTGCGTCCGTCGTCCTGCGTCCGTCGTCCGTCGTCCGTAAACTTTTACAAAAATCTTCTCCTCTGAAACTACTGGGCCAAATTTAACCAAACTTGGCCACAATCATCATTGGGGTATCTAGTTTTAAAAATGTGTGGCGTGACCCGGTCAACCAACCAAGATGGCCGCCACGGCTAAAAATAGAACATAGGGGTAAAATGCAGTTTTTAGCTTATAACTCAAAAACCAAAGCATTAAGAGCAAATCTGACATGGGGTAAAATTGTTCATCAGGTCAAGATCTATCTGCCCTGAAATTTTCAGATGAATCAGACAACCCGTTATTGGGTTGCTGCCCCTGAATTGGTAATTTTAAGGAAATTTTGCTGTTTTTGGTTATTATCTTGAATATTATTATAGATAGAGATAAACTGTAAACAGCAATAATGTTCAGCAAAGTAAGATTTACAAATAAGTCAATATAACCGAAATGGTCAGTTGACCCCTTTAGGAGTAATTGCCCTTTATAGTCAATTTTTAACCATTTTTCGTAAATCTTATACAAAAATCTTCTCCTCTAAAACAACTGGGCCAAATTAAACCAAACTTGGCCACAATCATCATTGGGGTATCTAGTTTAAAAAATGTGTGGCGTGACCCGGCCAACCAACCAAGATGGCCGCCACAGCTAAAAATAAAACATAGGGGTAAAATGCAGTTTTTGGCTTATAACTCAAAAACCAAAGCATTTAGAGCAAATCTGACATGAAGTAAAATTGTTTATCAGGTCAAGATCTATCTGCCCTGAAATATTCAGATGAATCAAACAACCTGTTGTTGGGTTGCTGCCCCTGAATTGGTAATTTTAAGGAAATTTTGCTGTTTTTGGTTATTATCTTGAATATTATTATAGATAGAGATAAACTGTAAACAGCAATAATGTTCAGCAAAGTAAGATTAACAAATAAGTCAACATGACTGAAATGGTCAGTTGACCCCTTTAGGAGTTATTGCCCTTTATAGTCAATTTTTAACAATTTTTCGTAAATCTTAGTAATCTTTTACAAAAATCTTCTCCTCTGAAACTCCGTGGCCAAATTAATTCAAACTTGGCCACAATCATCATTTGGTTATCTAGTTTTAAAAATGTGTGGCGTGACCTGGTCAACCAACCAAGATGGCCGCCACGGCTAAAAATAGAACATAGGGGTAAAATTCAGTTTTTGGCTTTTAACTCAAAAACCAAAGCATTTAAAGCAATTCTGACATGAAGTAAAATTGATTATCAGGTCAAAATCTATCTGCCCTGAAATTTTCAGATGAATCGGACAACCCGTTATTGGGTTGCTGCCCCTGAATTGGTAATTTTAAGGAAATTTTGCTGTTTTTGGTTATTATCTTGAATATTATTATAGATAGAGATAAACTGTAAACAGTAATAATGTTCAGCAAAGTAAGATTTACAAATAAGTCAATATCACCGAAATTGTCAGTTGACCCCTTTAGGAGTAATTGCCCTTTATAGTCAATTTTTAACCATTTTTCGTAAATCTTAGTAATCTTTTACAAAAATCTTCTCTTCTGAAACTACTGGGCCAAATTTAACCAAACTTGGCCACAATCATCATTGGGGTATCTAGTTTTAAAAATGTGTGGCGTGACCTGGTCAACCAACCAAGATGGCCGCCACGGCTAAAAATAGAACATAGGGGTAAAATTCAGTTTTTGGCTTTTAACTCAAAAACCAAATCATTTAAAGCAAATCTGACATGAAGTAAAATTGTTTATCAGGTCAAGATCTATCTGCCCTGAAATTTTCAGATGAATCGGACAACCCGTTGTTGGGTTGCTGCCCCTGAATTGGTAATTTTAAGGTGATTTTGCTGTTTTTGGTTATTATCTTGAATATTATTATAGATAGAGATAAACTGTAGAAAACAATAAATGTCGGCAAAGTAAGATCTACAAATAAGTCAACATGACCGAAATTGTCAGTTGACCCCTTTAGGAGTTATTGCCCTTTATAGTCAATTTTTAACCATTTTTTCGTAAATCTTAGTAATCTTTTACAAAAATCTTCTCCTCTGAAACTACTGGGCCAAGTTAATTATAGATAGAGATAATTGTAAGCAGGAAAAATGTTCAGTAAATTAAGATGTACAAACACATCACCATCACCAAAACACAATTTTGTCATGAATCCATCTGCGTCCTTTGTTTAATATTCACATAGACCAAGGTGAGCGACACAGGCTCTTTAGAGCCTCTAGTTTTCAAAAATCACAATAATATATTTGCGCAATAATTTCTTAATTTACAGTAGCCAATAGTGCTGAAAGTGGCATTAAACACCAATCAATAAATCAAAACCTTGGTTTAATCAAGAATATTTTGTAATCCCTTGAAGAAAACGCACATAGATTAATTCTGATGTGTTAATTTCGAAGAACAAGAAAAATTTTAAAGTTTGAAATACTGATTCATAAACTGAAATATAATTGCCTTAATGATTATTATATATGTTAGAAATGCCATTATTTGTTTGTAGGTCTTTCACAGCCACCAGCTGTTCCTCCCCGTGCTTCTCCTAAAGACGTAAGTCAAAACACTAATTTTCACAACAGAAAACTTTTTAAAAAGCTTGCTTTAGATGTTCATGCTCTGGAACCTTGTCAATAATTGTATTTTGTTATATCTTCAAAATTCTTCATAGATATAAGAAGATGTGGTATGAGTGCCAATGAGACAACTCTCCATTCAAGTCGCAATTTGTAAAAGTAAACCATTGTAGGTCAAAGTACGGCCTTCAACACAGAGCCTTGGCTCACACCGAACAGCAAGCTTTTCAGGGTCCCAAAAATGACTAGTGTAAAACCATTCAAACAGGAAAACCAACTGTCTAATCTGTATAAAAAACAAGAAAAGAGAAACGCTTATGAACCACATCTACAAACGACAACCACTGAACATTAGGTTCGTGTATATTGTCCTTGTAAGAATTTGGTGCTGACATATTTCATTTCTAAATGTTCCCGTTTTTTGCGCCTTGATTACCGTGGATTCATGATTATTTGTGGGATACCAATTTTTGTGTGGATTTCGTGGGTACACATGGTACACATGATACAGGGGAAATTTTATTTTCAACAAATTACAAATTTTCTATAGGCTTTTAGGCAGACTTTTGTAAAACCATGAAATCAAATATCCACAAAAATGCAAGTTTTTTTCAAATCACAAAAATTGGAACCCACAAAAATAAATGAATCCACAGTAAGTCATTGCTCCAACTCTTTTCTCCCTCTTATAATTACTAAGGCATCATATTTTTCTCCATTCAAGAAGTTGTCACCACTTTTTTCAGTAACTGTGAATCCTATCTAAATGATATTTGCATTAAGTAATTACTGAATTTCGTACTTTTTAATATGACTGTCTTAGTAGGGACTTTAACTGTCAGATTTAAGGCACAATTTTATATGTCACGAGCCAAATCAAGTATGCTTGGATCAAATATCTACAAACTTTACACTGTTGTTTGGATTGGTGTTCTTCAGACCTATTTAACTAGCTTCTGATAAGAAGCCTTCTTAATGTTCCATTTTCTTCAGGTATCAAAGCAATATGCACAAGATGGCCGTACCATGTGCTCTTGGCACAGATGCTTTTTTTTATACGGCTGTTTAAGGGACGTATTATGGTATACCGTTGTCCATCTGTTCGTCTGTCTATCAGTCTGTCCGCATGTCCGTCTGTCTGTCATCAACATGTTGGACAATAACTCAATAACGCTGTAACTAATTTGCATGAAACTTTGGTGAATTGTTAATATCTATAGACGTGAGCTCCCTTTTAATTTTTATAAATTTTAGATTTTACGTTTCCCAGTTATGGGGTGTTATTCATTAAAAAAAGGGGGATTTTCCAGTTTTCGGACAATAACTCAAAAACGCTTTCACCAATTTGCAACAAACTTTGGTTAATTGTTTATATCTATTGACGTAAGCTCCCTTTCGATTATTATAAATTTTAGATTTTATGTTTCCGAGTTATGGGATTTTATTCATAAAAAAGTGGCGATTTTCCAGTTTTCGGACAATAACTCAAAAGTGCTTTGAGCAGTTTTCATGAAACTTTAATGACTGGTTTATTATACGATCGCAAAAATTGAAAATTTTTTGGTCGTATATTGGTATGACGTTGGCGTCATCGTCGTCTTCGTCTGGCGTCGTCCGGCGTCGTCCGAAGACACATTGGTTTTCGCACTCTAACTTTAGTTTAAGTGAATGGATCTCCATGAAATTTGACCAAAAGGTTCAATACCACAAAAGGAAGGTTGGGATTGATTTTGGGGGTTATGGTACCAACAGTTAAGGAATTAGGGGCCAAAAAGGGGCCAAAAATAAGCATTTTTGTAACTTCCAGACAATAACTTGTGTGTAAGTGTATGGATCTCTCTGACATTGTACCACAAGGTTCCATATCACAAAGGGAAGGCTGTAATTGATTTTGGGGGTAATTGCCTGAAAATTTTAGGAATTAGGGGCCAAAAAAGGGGCAAAAAAGAAGCATTTTTCTAGTTTCATGACAATAACTTGTGTGTAAGTGTTTGGATATTTCTGAAATTGTACTACAAGGTTCCATATCACAAAGGGAAAGCTGGGTTTGAGTTTGGGGGTAATTGCCCGAAACGTTTAGGAATTGGGGGCCAAAAAGGGGCCAAAAATAAGCATTTTTCTAGTTTCCAGACAATAACTTGTGTTCAAGTGTATGGATCTCTCTGAAATTGTACTGCAAGGTACCATACCACAAAGGGAAGGCTGGGATTGAGTTTGGGGGTGATGAATCATAAGGGGGTTCAAAAAATTTGGGGGGGGGGGATTTTTTTTTTTTCTTTTTTTCCTTTTTTTTTTCTTTTAAAATTTTCCATTTTAAGTTGGTTATTTCTGATTAATATTTAAAAGCAAATAATAATGATATGGTAGGAGATACACACCAAACAGGATGTGTAAATTATTATATAATAAGTATTGTGCAATAGCAAGAAATTTTCAATTGCACAGTATTGCACAATTGCAAGAAATCTTCAATTGCACAGTATTGCGCAATAGCAAGAAATCTTCAATTGCACAGTATTGCGCAATAGCAAGAAATATCCAATAGCACAATATTGCACAATAGCAAGAAATTGTCAATTGTACAGTATTGCACAATAGCAAGAAATATTCAATTGCACAGTATTGTGCAAAAGAAGATACTTCGTATAAATTACTTATTCCTTGATCAATTTCAATGGGTTAATTCTTGAATTCTTGGGGTTCTTTAATATGCTGAATCTAACCGTGTATTAAGTTTTTGGATTTTGGGCCCCGTTTTTAAATTGGTCCACATTGAGGTCCAAAGGGTCCAAAATTTAACTTTGTTTGATTTCATCAAAAATTGAATTATTGGGGTTCTTTGATATGCCGAATCTAACCGTGTATTTAGATTCTTAATTTTTGGTTCCGTTTTCAAATTGGTCTACATTAAGGTCAAAAGGGTCCAAAATTAAACTTAGTTTGATTTTAACAAAAAATGAATTTTTAGGGTTCTTTGATATGCTGAATCTAAACATGTATTTAGATTTTTGATAATGGGCCCAGTTTTCAAGTTGGTCCAAATCGGGGTCCAAAATTAAACTTTGTTTGATTTCAACAAAAATTGAATATATGGGGTTCTTTGATATGCTGAATCTAACCATGTATTTAGATTTTTGATTTTTGGGCCCCGTTATCAACTTTGTCCACATTGAGGTCAAAAGGGTCCAAAATTAAACTTTGTTTGATTTCATCAAAAATTGAATTCTTGGGGTTCTTTGATATGCTGAATCTAACCATGTATTTAGATTTTTTATTTGTGGACCCGCTATCAAATTGGTTCATATTGAGGTCAAAAGGGTCCAAAATTAAACTTTGTATGATTTCATCAAAAATTGAATTATTGGGGTTCTTTGATATGCCAAATCTAACCGTGTATTTAGATTTTTAATTTTGGGTACCGTTTTTAAATTGGTCTACATTAAGGTCCAAAGGGTCCAAAATTAAACTTAGTTTGATTTTAACAAAAATTGAATTCTTGGGGTTCTTTGATATGCTGAATCTAAACATGTGTTTAGATTTTTGATTATGAGCCCAGTTTTCAAGTTTGTCCAAGTTGGGGTCCAAAATTAAACTTTGTTTGATTTCAACAAAAATTGAATATATGGGGTTCTTTGATATGCTGAATCTAAACATGTATTTAGATTTTAGATTTTTGGCCCAGTTTTCAAGTTGGTCCAAATTGGGGTCCAAAATTAAACTTTGTTTGATTTCAACAAAAATTGAATATATGGGGTTCTTTGATATGCTGAATCTTACCACGTATTTAGATTTTTTATTTGTGGGCCCGCTATCAAATTGGTTCATATTGAGGTCAAAAGGGTCCAAAATTAAACTTTGTTTGATTTCATCAAAAATTTAATTATTGGGGTTCTTTGATATGCCAAATCTAACCGTGTATTTAGATTTTTAATTTTGGGTCCCGTTTTTTAAATTGGTCTACATTAAGGTCCAAAGGGTCCAAAATTAAACTTAGTTTGATTTTAACAAAAATTGAATTTTTGGGGTTCTTTGATATGCTGAATCTAAACATGTGTTTAGATTTTTGATTATGGGACCAGTTTTCAAGTTTGTCCAAGTTGGGGTCCAAAATTAAACTTTGTTTGATTTCAACAAAAATTAAATATATGGGGTTCTTTGATATGCTGAATCTAAACATGTATTTAGATTTTAGATTTTTGGCCCAGTTTTCAAGTTGGTCCAAATTGGGGTCCAAAATTAAACTTTGTTTGATTTCAACAAAAATTGAATATATGGGGTTCTTTGATATGCTGAATCTTACCATGTATTTAGATTTTTTATTTTGTGGGCCCGCTATCAAATTGGTTCATATTGAGGTCAAAAGGGTCCAAAATTAAACTTTGTTTGATTTCATCAAAAATTGAATTATTGGGGTTCTTTGATATGCCAAATCTAACCATGTTTTTAGATTTTTAATTTTGGGTCCCTTTTTTAAATTGGTCTACATTAAGGTCCAAAGGGTCCAAAATTAAACTTAGTTTGATTTTAACAAAAATTGAATTCTTGGGGTACTTTGATATGCTGAATCTAAACATGTGTTTAGATTTTTGATTATGGGACCAGTTTTCAAGTTTGTCCAAGTTGGGGTCCAAAATTAAACTTTGTTTGATTTCAACAAAAATTGAATATATGGGGTTCTTTGATATGCTGAATCTAACCATGTATTTTGATTTTGGACATTGGACCATAATAGGTAAATTAAAAAAATTGAAGTTCTTAGACCACATTCTTTCTGTGTCAGAAACCTATGCTGTGTCAAATATTTAATCACAATCCAAATTCAGAGCTGTATCAAGCTTGAATGTTGTGTCCATACTTGCCCCAACTGTTCAGGGTTCGACCTCTGCGGTCGTATCAAGCTGCGCCCAGCGAAGCATTTTATATCTATTAAAATAACCTCCCTTTAGTTTTTTGATATGACATTGAGAAGTTATTGAACTTTATTCTTTGAAAAAGTGACGGGCGTATCATGCGCTCATGGCACAGCTGTTTTATTAATTAAGGTGTCATTCATAATTGTCAACCATATTCAGACATTGGGAGAGTGGATGATGCATACTATTGGGTGGGGGAGGGGTTGTTGTTGAAAAGTGTGGTTTTAGCACAAAAGGGAAAATGTTTGACAATTATTTATGATCCTTAAAAAAAGTTTTTCTTTGAAATGATTCCTATTTCATTTTAGAGTCCAGCTGTCAAAAGAGGAAATATGACTTTTAGTGCAATAGGTTCAGAAAAAATAAATAAATTCAATAAATTTGAGCCAATTCCTTCACAAGAGGCTCTCAACACCATGGTTCCTGCTGAGGTAAATAATCGTTTGTCTCAAAGTGATGGACTAGATAAACATAGGAGAGCTTACTCATTAGATTATAATAATTTGGTAAGTTTATTTTAACACAGGAGAGCTTACTCATTACAATTAATAGTATGACGAGATAAGCACACCTTTTCTTTTCTTCAAACAATTCTCATTAATTCAATAGACCATCAAAGATTTGAAAATGCAGCCACAATTCAATGTGATGGGTTTAACTTTGTTTTACAGCAGAGGTGAGAACAGGTCTGGTAACAGTCTATCTGTCTGAAACACATAGGAGATATATAGTTTGTGTCATCTACAACTCCAACAGTTTTCTCTCTACAATATTCAAACTATGCATAGTGAACAATCAAATATTGAAGATATGCCATTGAATTGTTTAATGTTAGATTTTCCATGTGCAGAACATGATAATATGAGATTTTATTTGATGGAAGAAATTAAGTGGCAATAAAATCTTTGCTCAGGAAGTTTCTAATGCTAGTATTTCTTAATTTTAAACAATATATCTTTGATTTCTTTTTTTATGCCTCGCTGTAGCGGAGGGGGCATTAAGTTTTACCCTTGTCCGTCTGTACGTCCAAAAGTTGGTTTCCGTTCTCTAACTTCAGTTTGCCTCAACCAATTTTTATGAAACTTATACACAATGCTTATTGCCAGATCAAGTTTGAATTTTGGTACCGTCACTTTAACCGTTCTAGAGTTATGCCCCTTTACAAATGGAAAAATTGCTGAATTTTCCGATTCCGTTCTCTAACTTTAGTTTGCCTCAACCAATTGTTTTGAAACTAATACACAATGCTTACTTCCACAAAATACAGATCAAGTTTGAATTTTGGTGGTGTCACTTTTACTGTTCTAGAGTTATGCCCCTTTACAAATGGAAAAAATTGTTGAATTTTTCGTTTCCGTTCTCTTTCTTAAGTTTGCCTCAACCAAATGTTATGAAACTTATACACAATACTTATTACCACAAAACTCAGATCAAGTACAAATTTGGGTAGCATCACTTTTACCGTTCTTCAGTTATGTCCCTTTATAACTTTATATGATATGCAAGCGGGGGCATCATCGGTGTCCCATGGACACATTCCCCATTTATTTTTGTCGAGCCTTCTACTTTTGTCGAAAAAGCGAGACATAGCGATCCTACATTCCGTCGGCGTCGTTGTCGTCGGCGGCGTCCACAAATATTCACTCTGTGGTTAAAGTTTTTAAAATTTTAATAACTTTCTTAAACTATCCTGGATTTCTACCAAACTTGGACAGAAGCTTGTTTATGATCATAAGATAATATTCAAAAGTAAATTGTGTAAAAAAAAAATTCCATTTTTTCCGTATTTTACTTATAAATGGACTTAGTTTTTCTCCCAAGAAACATTACATTCACTCTGTGGTTAAAGTTTTTGAAATTTTAATAACTTTCTTAAACTATCCTGGATTTCTACCAAACTTGGAAAGAAGCTTGTTTATGATCAAAAGATAGTATCCAGAAGTAAATTTTGTATAAAAAAAAATTCCATTTTTTCCGTATTTTACTTATAAATGGACTTAGTTTTTCTGCCATGAAACATTACATTCACTCTGTGGTTAAAGTTTTTGAAATTTTAATAACTTTCTTAAACTATCCTGGATTTCTACCAAACTTGAAAAGAAGCTTGTTTATGATCAAAAGATAGTATCCAGAAGAAAATTTTGTAAAAAAGTAAAAAAAAAATTCCATTTTTTCAGTATTTTACTTATAAATGGACTTATTTTTTCTTCCAGTTAACATTACATACAGTCTGCACTTGGGGTTTTTAAAACATTTATTAGATTCATAAACTATCCTGGATTTTTACCAAACTTGGACAGAAGCTACTTACAATCAAAAGATAGTATAGAGAGGAATATTTTTATTAATTTTTTTCCTCATTTTTGTTGAGGCTGCGATTAACAGCAAAAGTAGGCGAGACACTGGGTTCCGCGGAACCCTTACGAATTTTTTATCTATATATAAGAAATTTCTTAACTTATATTTGTTAGTTTTTAACCAACAGATATCTAATACTACTTGCTTCGCATCACGGTGCAGAGCTATTAGTTTCAGTTGATATACACGCCATCTTGAAATAATTACTTATCACATATAGAGTCTGATTGGTTGCTTTATGATGTGGCTGAGATACAGCAACAGCTATTGGCTTAAATGAGATAAAGAATTACTTTTCTCGTCTCAGGATAATAAATCAAATGCTGGAAAATTAACTATGTGTATTTCAGTTCCGATCAACTGTCATCAATTCATGTTCGTTTTATTATGCATATATTGCACATTAAAATTCAAATATCAATTATTAATACGTGTTTATTTGCTTTGTTAATCTGCAATATGCACGATTTGTTTTGCTAAACAATGTTCCTATACAATGTTTACAAAAATGCATTATCTGTATTTTATAACTTCTGCCAATCTAGGCACACCTCCAGAGTCGTGTCTATTTGTAAATGTTTTAATTTTCAACAAGTAAAGTGAACAAATTAATATTCCATGTCTAATACATCCATTTTATATCAATCAATACCTTAAAATACTAAATCAACAACCACATGCACACATATGACCATAAAGTAGGATAGAGCTAAGTAGTCCGCAGCTTTTTAGAAAGTTCAAACTTGTTGATTTTTTAATTTCAGGGACCAAGCAAAAGTGTAGGTGCTGAAGCTGGAGGTACGTCTTCAATAGTTTAGCTCACATGGACATCGGACATTTTGTTCAGCGCATGAGAAAAAAAAATTATCTAGTTTGTCATGTGATAGCATGCTTGCCTCATGTAAGGGAGGTTTTGGTTTCATCTACAGTTGTGTCAAAATTTAAGACTTAAATCAATATTGTTTGCTTCTATGCTCACCTCAGAGCATTAAGAATTTAAAGAACAAAGATTAGTTGTGGACAATAATGTGTCTTCATGTTAACTGCTTTCTTATCAGCTAGCAAATTAAAAAGAAAAGTCAGTGTGTCTTTTCAAAGTGGAAAATTTTACTTTTTTGTCAGGAAATTTGTTTTTAGAGGAAGTTTTCCAGTTTAGTTTTTTTGTGGGGGACCACTATTATCTGAAAAATTATGGGTTATTTTTATGATTTTCACAATCAGTTGTAACATGCTGTTGTTTGATTAAAAGCCTCATTTCATGATAAACAGATTTCGGATTATTTTACTTACAGATGCTAGTCTAGTGATACCTGGGTCCTCAGATACACAGGTAAGCCTGTCTGTTGTCAAGAATACTGCAAGTGGAGTATTCGCTAATTTTGTGATTAAGAAAAAAGTGGCAAAAATATGCCATCACATAATTTTAATCTTTCAGTTATACAATATTTAGGACCCAAAAAAAAAAGAGAAAATAAAACCTTGTGTGGGGTATAAGTCTGTGATACATCAGTGTGACATAAAAAAAATGTGAAAATAAAACCTTGTGTAGGGTATAAGTCCGTGATACATAAGTGTGACACAAAAAATTGTGACATTTAGAACCAGTCTGAATAATTATTACACCAGGGTTTTCTATATCACAAACTAGTGAAATCATTTACTAAATTTTATCATCGGTACAAGGACATCATTTGTAAATATAAATCAACATGCAGGCATCTTTAAATACGTTCAGGTATTTCACATCCAACCTTTTATGGTAATATTCTATACAAAGCACAAAAATTTAAATATTCACCTCAAAAGCTAACCAAATCTTTAAACAGTCTTATTCAAAAGGGATATAGTTATGATACTGTTGTCAGGTCATTAAAGATGGCACATTTTGGTTTTAATATTGATTCACTCATAGGGTCTTTGCATTGGAAATAAACACATTTATTCTAAAACCAGTTGTTGGCATGAAACGGGTTATGTTCTTCTCATATATTTTATGATACTAAACCCCTAACGGGACGGGTTTGTGCTTGATTTTCATATGATGAAGACATAATCTTTCAATCAGTTTAATTGAGGTCTGGAGCTGGCATGTCAGTAACTGCTAGTAGTCCTTTGTTAATTTATGTATCATTGTCATTTTGCTTAGTTTCTTTTGTTACCTATTCTGACTTTTAAACTGAGTTTTTCTGTGCTTATTGCTGTGTGTTTGTTTATTCTACATTGGCTAGAGGTATAGGGGGAGGGTTGAGATCTCAAAAAACATGTTTAACACCGCCACATTTTTGCGCCTGTCCCAAGTCAGGAGCCTCTGGCCTTTGTTAGTCTTGTATGTTTTTTTTTTTTTTTAATTTTAGTTCATTTATATGTTTTGGAGTTTAGTGTGATGTCCATTTTCATTGAACTAGTACACATGTTTGTTTAGGGGCCAGCTGAAGCCCACTTCCGGGTGCGGGATTTTCTCGCTGTGTTGAAAACCCATTGGTGGCCTTCAGCTGTTTTCTGCTCTTTGGTCGGGTTGTTGTCTCTTTGACACGTTCCCCGTTTCCATTCTCAATTTTATTTACAATAGACAAGTCCATATACCATATGTTAATACTTGATATGACCAACTGTGACTTGATTTGTTTTATTTTATATATTTACAGGCGATATCACCGACGGTGACTTGGGATGTACCTGAAGATCAGGAAGAAGGTGCTGGGGAAAAACAAAAATTACCCTATCGGTAAACACTTTTAAAGACACTTATACATATACTGTGAATTCATTTATTTTCGTTTGTACCAAAACAAAGGATATTGGGTATCCATCCATGAAACAAAATCAGTACATGCACAGCCAAAAAACACAAAAAGCAAAGAAACAGTGATTTTATTGCTGTTCTTCATCTCTAAATCACAGTGAGCAAAAAAACTCTCACTTCACTGCAAGTTTAAGATGGCCCCTCGAACCAGCATGAGCAGAATTCTTTGCCAAAATAATTTGGATAAACATTGTAAGAAGTAACACCACCAAATCAGCCCGGTCAGAAAAGAACATACTGGAAAGTTGAAAGCCATTTGTTGACCGGAAGTTGTTTACATTGTTCTCTTTTGGTTGATGATGATGGATTGGTGTTTAACATCCAGTGGCAAATATTACATGCATATCAGGACGAGAATATGCTAATTAGACATGAATATTATTCCTGATTTGCTGAGCAGGATATTGTGCTAGTTATCAAAGTGACAAGCCAGCAGGAAGACAGGTCACCATACCCACACACAATATTCTGACCAAGAGCAGACTTGTTTTTGCTGTTTCTCCTCCTATACAGTGTGTTCTTATTTGGACTTTAACGGAAATATAGATTCCACCACTGCAACAAGACAGTTAAATTTTAATATTTAAAGCGTGATGCTTGCCGAGCTTTTTAAATAATTAAAATTTAACTGTTGAGAGTGGAGAAATATCTTAATACACGAGTTATTGTGGTCGAATCTGTTTCTCTAATGATTTTTATACTCCCTTTTCAAAGATTTGCAGAAAGTTGTGTTCTTTATATGTGACGTCATCAATCATGGTCGCCTTTTTTCTTGACGTCACAATAGGAAATTCAGAAAAAAAACCAAGAAAATTTGACATCATAATTAAATTTCGACCAATCATTTGCAGAGAACAGATATTTCACTAGTGAGGAGAACATTTTTTTCACCATCGGTTGGGAAATGTGGAAAAAGTGAAAAAATTAGAGAAAGTCTGTTCATTGACAATCATACTTTATCTCCTTAATTTTAAAAGGACATTCCAAGTAAATCATTTTGTATGAAATAACCCCCCTTTGGTCTTATGGTACCATGCTTACCCTAAAGTGGAGAAGCTGGATCAAACCCAAGTATTCTTAGCAATGCAATTGGCATTTAAGCTTAGTAGCAGACCAATAAGATTTCAAAAATTGTGTCCAGCTTAAATGACAACTCTTCTAATACAGGATATTCATGGAGCTACTATTTCAAAATCTGACTGAGCATTTGTATTGAATAAAAGGAGATGTATATCAATGAGACACCAACCAAACAACATCTAGAGTTCTAGTACTATTCACATTCATATCAGAGTTCTTGAAATCTTTTTTTCCTGGTGGTCATTGGGACCACCAAGACTAAAAATCTGGTGGTCCTGTAATTTTACTTGAATTTATCAAACACCTATTAGTTACATGTAAGTCATTGATCAATACTATATTAACTCCATCCTAGTTTCTATGTTATATATTTGGTTGTTTTCAATTAAATTTTGAACTCTGCATTGTTCACTAATTTTTATACTTTGTCAGTTTGATTACATGTTTGTTTTATGTCTCATGCATTATACTACAATCATTACAGTGAAAAGTGCATTGAAATGATAGAAATAAAAGACTAAGTCTGATGTTTATTCATCAGCTTCAAATTTTGTAATACCATGCGGCAGCCATGATGACTTTTACGACTGGTTATTTTTCAAAAGTATTACCGTAATTTTGAGCTATGCAATTAAAGTTTGTTTACATTAGTAACCAGTTCAAAAGCTATCTGAATACCGACAAGATTTAAAATAAAAGAGAACAACCATCAAAATTTTGTCGGTCATCAGGACTGCCACTACACATGCAATTGTCGGTCCTAGCCTATTTTTGGCGGTCAGGACAGACGGGACCGACGGTTTTCGAGAAGTCTGTCATATCACATTAACACGTTTATATCAGAAACACATATGAAAGATTACGGTACCCACTTATCCATTCATTCGAAATTTCTGGGAAATATAATTTTATCATTTCCTGTTCTATTTTCAGACAAGTTAGTAGAGATAAAAAAGATCTACAGATGGCAATACGAACTCATAAAGAAAGAAATTCCATGTTAGAACGATTAAGTAGTGAATTAAATCAAGAATTACAAGAAGTTATGGAGCAAAGGATAGCATTAGAGATTCAGTTGGAACATTTGAGACCAGTTTACAGCTAGTAAACTGATACCTGGCACTGATTTTTAAACATATAGAACCAGTCAACAGCCATCATAGTATCAACTGGTACCCAAAAACTAGAAATGTTGGGGGACCAGTCTATAGCTATTATAGTGTGAACTGGGCCCCAGTTATGATGTGATATTTTAAACAGCGATCCCCATGTAGTCATTTATCAGTTAATTTATGAATTTGAAGCTTAGTTGTAAAACCATGATGCAGTTGTATAGATATCTGAGTGTCTAACTTGCCTATCAGCTGAAATTGAGGAAAATTGTATGTGAAATACCTGAAAAGTTGTTTCATACTTGTATCCCTAATTCATGCACTGTAAAGATTGAACATTTTTGTGAGGGTTTTTTTTTGTTTGCTGATTTCTCGATTGAAATTTAAATTGCAAAAATATCTCTTTGTTTGAGGATGATCATAAAGGATGATCAGAATCTAGGAGCAGATAATACAAGAATGAACTTCATAAATAAGTTTTAGTCCCAAGACTCTAAATCTTAAATGCACACAAATACTAAAGAATAACATTAGCTATGGTACATTATGGGGTTTATCTAGTCTTGTGTTTACACAAAAGATCAAACCATTTAGATAACAACTTATTGTATTAAATTTTAGACAATATCAAATAGTCTATAGAATGTGTCAAGCTTTTAATCCCAAAGGTCTAGAATGGATGTGTGTAGGAAAGGGCAATTTAAAATAAAGTCAGGAAATACAGACAAAATAATGGCCAAAAGAAAAACACTACTGGGAAAACTAAATATTGAGCAACATCAATCGCGTCAAAAGTGGGGAATGAACTCGTGTGCTGAAGGAGGGTCAGCAATTCGTGCTCCAATAATAACACCTGTTGTTTTAACTCTATAAGAATGATTCGGTTAAAATTTTTCAGTACTAAGCATCACATACCACTGGTATATTAGATTTGAGAATTGTGATGATTCAATAGATCAAGATTTGCATAATAATTTGTTGTTGGCAACGGAGCATTAAGTGTAACCCTTGACTGTCTATCCTTCCGTCTTTCCATCAGTCAATCCCATTTTCGTTTGTTTGAAGCTTGAGCGGGGGCATTCATGTCCTGTGTCTTCAGACACGTTCTTCTTTTATTTTTAACAATACATTTGGAGTTGAAATTGATTATAGTATGAAATTTATAGAATTTATGTCTATATTTATTCAAAGTGTATGTTTTAGACATACATGACATACATGACATAGGACTGTTCCATTAAAACATACGTGGTACCCAGGGGAGGCACATTGAAAATGGGATAACCACTCATAAAGGCAATTTATGAGCTTCTGTAATTCTTTCTCTTTTGCCTAATGTGGCATTAAGTCAACATGAATCAATCATCTTACACTTTCTCTGTATAAAAACAGCCACCCATGGACGAGATTTCAAAGTGCCTTCCCTTGGATGCATGTATGTTTTAATGGAACATCTACCTGTTTTCAGGTCTTAGCTAAGCTCTGTATGTGCATTGCAAGTAGTCATTCAATAATATCTGTAACCTACAAGAGGACAGATGTTCAAGCACTTTGAATTTTTATTATGAGATTCCAAGTTCAAATTATTTTAATATGTTTTGAAACATCTTCAAATGTTCTTATTTTTAGCTGTTTATCAAGGCATTCACTGAATTGGTAGTAGATACATGTCAAATATCTATTATATTTCTCATACTTGTTTGGTGCTTTTAGCTGTAAAATCCTGTTTATAAACAACTCAAGTATAATTTCCCTATCCTGTCTCATCTTAAAAGTATGATTAAGAATTACTCTTGACCTCCAAAGGGAAAGTTCATTGGAGATTAAAACCATGTGACACAGGTATGGGTTAAACCTCCTGCAAACATTTGTCATTTAACCTAAATTTTAGGCTTCATTGATTTATAATGAGTTTAATCTTCCTTTTCTCAGAAACTTATTGCCCAATTTTGGTGCTCCTTTTGTAGAAGTTAAATTCCACTTAATAACTGTCTTTTGAGGATGAGGCAAACTTTCTAATTGTTGATTTTCTGTGTTAAAGTAAGAACCATAAATCTTTTACATTTGTTTCTAGCTATATGATAGAAAATAGAAGTAAGCCTTTACCAATTAAGGTGAAAAAGGTTGAATAATACCTTGGTAATGAAGCTTTTACTCTGTCTAAGCTGTCACCTTTGGTTTGTTTCAATTGAGATTTTTTACTACAATTTACTCTGTTTGTCTGTGCTGTTACCTATTTTTCTTTTCTCCTACCGTCCCGCTTTAATTGCTTGAAAGATTTGGCTTTGCTGTTACTCTGCCAATTTTTCTGCTCACAGGAAATATTTTTGGCTGTGAGGGTTTGTTTTTACGAGTTAATTAAAACATGTATGAAGCATTATATCAATTTGAAAGTAGGCAATTTATTGATGGCATTAATGGTGCATTATACACTAAATCTATAAATACCATTGAAAGTTCCTATCTGATGACAGAATGAACTTATAATCTTTTGATTCTTGCAATAGTTCCGAATTGATTGAGTTTATGTGAAATTGATTTTGAGCCATGTGAAATCAATAAATGGTACACACAAGGTCAATTAGTTAAATATGTGAAATCATTTAACAGTACACACAAGGTCATTCAGTTTAGAATGTGCAATCCATATACAGTACACATAAGGTCATTCATTTTAACCTGTGAATTCAATGAACAGTTCACACAAGGTAAAACATGTGAAATCAATAAACAGTACACACAAGGTGAATCTATTGAACAAGTGAAATCAATAAACAGTACACACAAGGTGAATCTATTGAACAAGTGAAATCAATGAACAGTTCACACAAGGTAAAACATGTGAAATCAAGAAACAGTACACACAAGGTGAATCTATTGAACAAGTGAAATCAATGAACAGTTCACACAAGGTAAAACATGTGAAATCAATAAACAGTACACACAAGGTGAATCTATTGAACATGTGAAATCAATGAACAGTTCACACAAGGAAAAACTTGTGAAATCAACAAGCAGTACACACAAGGTGAATCTGTAAACAAGTGAATTCATTAAACAGTACATACAAGGTCATTTAGTAAAACAAGTGAAATCAATAAACAGTACACACGAGGTACTGCAGTAAAACAAGTGAAATAAAAAAACAGTACACACAAGGTGTGTCGCCATGTTGCAGGTCTAAGTGCATAAATTCCGTATAAATCAATCAAATTGAACTTGTTATACCTACTGCTAGACTTTAGAAAAAGTGTTGGTTTAGACTTTCGAAATTTATCACTAGGATCTAGTAAGGGTCTCTTATTAGACTTTTGTGAATCACATGTTTCAATTTGATTAGTCGAATGAAAAAATTAACAATTAATACCTTCAAAATGACGACCAAGGGAAATTACTCAAACTCAAACTACTTCATTGGAAACCTATCTATAGATAGAACACCTGTCAGTTACTTATGGAAATTGAAACTCATCTAATCTAAACATTGGAAAAGTTGTGAAAAATATAGCTGGAAAGCAAAAAATTATCTAATCTGTCGATTGAGAAAAAGTTGTGAGAAGTATCACTGTAATCAGATTGTGAATTTTTTATGGTATTTTTAAACATGGTGTAAAAGATATATATCATTCCTATTTAGCATTTTTGTGTAACAATTATACATTTTTCAGTAAGATATTGTATGTCTAAACATGTCTGTACTGTTACAATTGTTTCAAATGGAAGAACAATTTTTTCCATTCTGATTTGGTTGCGGATCAAGGGTTCATTGAGGGTGTAACCCTTTAATCGACAAAAAATTTAAAACATAATTTTTTTCACAATATATATATATAACTTTTTAGTATAAAATCATTCAAAAAATTAAGTTAAGTATATATTTACTTAACAGGAATTTACCCCCCCCCCCCTCCCCCCCCCCCTTTTTTTTCAAAAATTCTGGATCTCTTAGTGATATTGTTTCATTAACCTTAATAAGAAAAAGATCGATAAATGGCATAGAGAACCACCAAAATAATTTTATGAAGCTTGACTGTTTACCTGGCATATTTTAACATTATTTCAATATTTGTTAACTTTATGTTCTATAGAATTGACTATGATTTGGTAACAATATATATTATAGGGCATTATAAGTTATAATTTTAATATTGTATTGTAGTACATTTCTGCAAGCCATTTCAATGCAAATGTAAATATAAAGCAAAGGAAAGTGTATGAAAAGGACAATTTTTGTCCCATTGGATTCAGAAATAAATAGAATTAAAAATCTTCGAAATACCAGTAATGTATGTAGGATGTTCAGAAGACATTGTTCTGTCAGATATCATATATAATATATAAAATTTATCTTGTTTATTTTCTGTAAGTAATAACTACAAAAAAAAAAACCAGAATTGCCTCATTTTGAAATCTTAATATTCATATTTAAATATGATTGATTGATTGATTGTTTGTTGTTTAACACCACTTTCAACACTATCCTGAAAAAAGTTATTTGAAAGACATGATTTATACAAGTACTACTATTTTTTATCTTAAGGAGTTAAATACTGGTTAAATACTAGTTAAATACTGGTTAAAATAGTGGTTAAATGCTGGTTAAAGTAGTGGTTAAATACTGGTTAAATACCCACTTTTTTCGTATGCAGAAAAAGTGAACATTCTTACCTGATGGTAAGGTGACAATTGTTGGTTTTATTCTGGTTATGGCAATAGAAATATAAACACTGCCAATATGACGGATCACTGTGGATTCATCCATTAAAAACTGGTACCTTACTAAAAATGATGTATTATGAATCCAGTCTATAATCAGGTTTTACCAATGAGGAAATTTATACTAGTAAGTGGTAGCTTAGAATGTGTTTCCAATTAGTTAATTGATAAAAAGAGTGTCAAGTTTTTTGCAAATTTATTCATATGAATTTTACATTATGGCTCCTTGGATGTTTTAGATCCAAATAATCAAATGAATCCACAGGAATAAAGATCCTGATTGGCACAGACTCATATGTCTGTAATACGTGTTGTTAGTTTTCTTACATTAATTTTTAATGATTGGCAGTAACAATTTTGTGTGTTTGTCTGTTTTGTTGTTTATTGCCCCCATTAAATGAGATATGAAGTTAGGAATGAAGTTGCTCAAAATACCTGTCAACCAGGTCCAACACATATTTGGATAAGAAGAATGTATTTGTCTTATGTCTATTATATATGAAGGATGGACGAACATTCTAAATTCAGCTTACACCAGGTATACAGTTTTACTTTGTTATTTGTAAACGTGAGAACTTTAAGCTGTAAGATTTTTTTAGTTTTTGCAAGTCATGAATTAAGATTTTTGGGGTATTTTTCAATGGGACAGCAACCCTCATCACAGTAAAACCAAAACAGATAAGCCATGGTTGTTGTTTATTTGAAGTGTAGGGGTATGATCAATATGTAGATCGTTAAATTTGTTCAATCAGAATTAGATAGTATAATATGAAATTTGTACTCTTGTTCACAACCCTGTAGTCTGCATCATAATTGTAAAATTTACCATCAGTTTTTATTTATTTTCCACACTTTCATCATTTCAAGGTTAAAAGTAACTTTTACTTCATACTTAATTTCGATTTATTGCAGTTTCATGTTTACAATTCCAAATACCTTACTTATCATATGGTGTATGCATGTATATTTATATAGTGAGCATTTAGCTAAATATCACTGGCAAATTTATATATACAGGGTAAATTTAGACTGGTACCTAGACAAAATGCAGAAGGACTTGGTACCAGGATGAAGCCTCCGTTTTGTGATTTTGCGTGCTGTAAAATGAATAAAAAATGCTATGTTGGGGCATGGTGTACAATATTGTTATGGGGATTTTAACGGGGCATATTGATTGATACAAATATTGTTAATTCTGTATTTATATACTGTACAACAGCTATCATGGTCAACAATAAAATATGCTTATATTGACTGCTTTGTATTTCTTGACATTTTCTTTCAACAATTAATCCCCTTCTTCCTTCAAATGCTGTTTTTGGCTAGAAGTGCAAGTCTTGTGTAAAGTATTGAGCAGTTGGGTATTGACAATAGTATACTAGTACATGTGATGTTCAAACTACAGCCTTCAAACTATCTAGTATGTATGTTTATACATTGAAGATTTGCACCTCACTTTGGTACACATTTTAGAAAAAAATTGCAGATTTCCCAGATTTTAAAACAGAAAACTGTTTTCAACAACATGCTCACTGAAGGGTAGCCACTGTGTGCAATCAGCTCCCATTACAATGTTCAAGCCTTGATTAATTTACATTGAACGTGAGCTCTCTTGCCTAAACACCTGAAGAATATTGTGCTTTTTTCATCTCAAAATTCTCTGGAGACTGTAGTTTTCTATAGAAATTAGCATACCAGTAGATACTGCCTTTACCTACTAGGAAATAGATTCTTCTTAAAGCAACAAATATTAGTGGTATTACCATATTTACATGGCTTATCGAATTACTACCATTAAATATTGCAACTAGAACCACAAGGATGACTTGGGTTACAATGCTTACCTTTATTGCTACTGCTAAGTAGTGGTGGCTCATCTGTTTTGCTGTGTGTGGTGTTTAAATTCACAATCAGATGTTTTGCTGTGTGTGGTGTTTAAATTCACAATCAGATGTTTTGCTGTGTGTGGTGTTTAAATTCACAATCAGATGTTTTGCTGAATGTGGTGTTTAAATTCACAATCAGATGTTTTGCTGTGTGTGGTGTTTGAATTCACAATCAGATGTTTTGCTGTGTGTTGTGTTAAATTCACAATCAGATGTTTTGCTGTGTGTTGTGTTAAATTCACAATCAGATGTTTTGCTGTGTGTTGTGTTAAATTCACAATCAGATGTTTTGCTGTGTGTTGTGTTAAATTCACAATCAGATGTTTTGCTGTGTGTTGTGTTAAATTCACAATCAGATGTTTTGCTGAATGTGGTGTTTAAATTCACAATCAGATGTTTTGCTGTGTGTTGTGTTAAATTCACAATCAGATGTTTTGCTGTGTGTGGTGTTTAAATTCACAATCAGATGTTTTGCTGAATGTGGTGTTTAAATTCACAATCAGATGTTTTGCTGTGTGTGGTGTTTGAATTCACAATCAGATGTTTTGCTATGTGTGGTGTTTAAATTCACATTCAGATGTTTTGCTGTGTGTGGTGTTTAAATGAACACAATAAGATACAGTTAGAATGGCGACATCGAATCTGATACCTGTTTTGAAAGTACAAGGCGGACCTGCTTATTGTTAGGCTGTTAGTTTCCAGTCACAGTTCAAAATTTCCAACTTCCATCCAGATAGACTCACTTTGCAGTACCCACTATTTTACGAATTGTTAGCTCACATTGCCAAGTAAGCCATGTGAGATATTGCAATCACCAATCAAATGTCTACCTGCTGTTCATCTCTACCATCAAAATATGAAATGCAAAAGTACAAATTGATAATCGATAATTGCAAAGAGGTCGAATAATAAAATGATTTTGTTTTTGCCAAGTGAGCAATTCAGGCTCCTATGAGCCTCTAGTTTAATTTGTTCTATTCCTGAAGTGCGTGAATAAATTTACACTTGTTAAGCAAATATAATAATATATCAATCATATTGTGAAAATTCATCAAAGATATTGTAACCCGGTTTTGGGACGATTACACTTATATATGTGTCCTAGCCCGGTTATTTAAGGGTTTGATACAGGTTTTTTTTATACGACAGCTAAAATTTGCGGCCGTATAATGGTATGGTGATGTTTGTATATATTTTTTCAAGAATTGTTTTTCACTTGCAGGTTAAATTGAAATTAAGCTCTTTATTCATATTAGTTTACCCTCCCTCTGCAAAATACTATTAAAGTCGAGGTTCCGATAGAAGTTTGACTATTAAAGTCAGAGCGTCATGACCCCAAATAACCTCAGAAATATCCTAGCTCGTGCCTGTTCCCAACAAACTGTTATCACTGTTTCGGTAGAATGAATTTAGTGATGAAAACTTGAGTGTATCCATAAAGTATTGTTTCCTTACATGCATCAATGCTTGGTGTGTTTTTTTTTAATTTTCCCGGGTCGTTGGAGCGTTATTGAAGAATATTTTAAGAGTTAAATCCCAATATAAATAACAAAGTTATCAATAGGTGGTTTTACATCCGTCATACCGTTAATATATTGTTTGAACTTGTCTGATTTTTCTCTATTTATGTTTATATCATAGATATGTATATTAGATCTCGACTTATATTAAAACTCTAGTACAATACCATCCTCTGTGGATCATTGCTTTATTATACCGCGTCCGTATCGAGTTGAAATTTAAATGTACCCGGCAGTAGTCATTCTATCAGTAAGGTACACACTGCAATGGCCGAGATGCAAATGTTAAAGATGTCAACCAGTTACTGTAGCAGACGGATATCCAATGATATCTCCTATGGATTAGAAGTTTTGAAGTCCGAATATGCCAACCAGTTACTCGGCAACAGCCTGATATCCAATTATATCTCCTGTGGATCACGGAAGTTTTGAAGTCCGAATATTCCAACCAGTTGTTATTGTATCCCTGCATTTGGTATTTCGGTTAAGGATTTTTATAATACTATATATATATGTGTCATTTTTTTCGGTTTAAAGTACCATCATCATTAGTGGATCGTTGCTTTTAAACACTGCGTCCATGATAATTGTGTTTTAACGGTCTAAATATTGTAACCGATTTCACCAACAGTAACCATGGCATAGTATAGCTAAAATCACTGCATTTAGTTTGAGTAGTCAGTGGCTTTGATTGCTATAACATTGGTTCCATGTTGTTCTTTAGCAGGTGACAATATGCCGACTTGTAATATGACTGCACCAGAAGTTAATGTCTTTTCAGTGATGCTGGAGACCAAAAAATTTGAAATCCCAAACATTATAGTATAATATATACATGGGTTGAAGACCGTTGAAGAGCTGATAAAACACGAAAGGACCAAAAGTAAACCCAAACCCATACAACTGGAATCATAGCTATACACGAGAGAGATTCCTTACTTTCCAACGGTTTCCTAGACCCGTTTTATGACACAAAATCTCAATAAACAATATCCGTACTCTTTTTCTAAAGGATTTGATATATACACGACTAGAGACTGCGTTATTGAGCCAACGGTCACGGTGTATTTATAATTTACAAGTTTATGGTAAAATATATAATTTATGCTTGTGAGATATCTGATTACTTTGTAGATTGTTGCAGGTAGAAATCCATTTATCTACTTCCCCAGCCGCAATTTATCTTATTCATATCGTCGGTATCACAAGTTTGAATTAAATCTTCAATTGAACGGACTGTATGTGATAGAGGTTACCCAATCTTTAGTAACTTGTGAAGTGCTCTATTGATCCGATGTAGATTTTGGATCTTTTCCGTATCAAATTTCTAATTGGAAAAGATCTAATTTAATTTTAATGATAACAATTTGATATTAATATAAAGGAACCATTTGTTTTCTCGGATTATAGCGACTCTTGAGGAATGTACGTGTTGATTTAATGGATTATTATATAGCGCAAAGAAAAAAGTAGGTATAATTTTAAAATTTCTATAATGTTTTGAAAAGTAATTTTACATTCCATACAATTTGCCAAGTTTATCAATACAAATCTTTAAAGTCGTGTGACTGCTATTCAATTCGGTGCATGTACTGTTTGTATACATGCAATTAATCACCTGAATTAGAATTATCTAAAATTATATACATACCTTAAATTTTGAATATAAGGTCTGTTACAAGCTTTCTTATATTCGCCTGTATTTTTCGTTATTCAATTTCATTATAACAAAGATAATTTTCGTGTTGAAAAAAAAAATGTTTAAAACTGCAAAAGGTTCCTGCTATTAGCTGGAAAACCACACACACATACGCACAATAACTAGTGTTTGCAAACCTAATTGAATTTTTAGTATTAATATACCATTAACTTAATGTAACAGACTATATGAAAACAAATCATTTGATTTAATCGAGAGAGAGAGAGAGAGAGAGAGAGAGAGAGAGAGAGAGCATAAAAACTATAAAGCAAAGGGAAAGTCTATATAGTAATGGTGAAAAGAAACGAACGACCGAAAGTAGATAGAGGGGAGAAAAAACTTTGGTCTTCATGTTATTTGCATTTTAGAAACAGAGCCACACAACCCTGGCAACTAATTCCATCACATTCAGCTGATAGTTTATCATACACACATTTTATCTGTCAACGAAAATGACGTCCGAGCTTGTTTGAAATTTACATTTATATTAATTTTACTGTCAAACTTTTTCATTTCATACGAAATTGGAGAACATTTAACCAAATACGTTCAAGTAGAAGTTATTTAACAAGATTACACGTAACAGATAAGGCAAATATTTTTATTCCCACCTAAACTATAAAGATTTTTAACATTATTCGTGCGACTTTCTTATACTGTTCGTTTAAATATATTAAAAGCTCGGAATAATTGTTTAAATTTCCTTTTGTACGTTTATATACAACTTTCATCCATATCAGTATATTTAATCGGAGTGTATCCTGGCTTTTCAATGAACTAGCGAAGACATTTGTTTGCACGAGTTAAAAAGTCAGTTTCTATCAAATAGGTCTTAGTTTTCATAGGATATTTAGAAATGGAAGATGGAATTTCGTTTCATGAATAGTTTATGAAACTAAACCAAACAAGGTTAGTCCGTGAAATTATTACTTGAATAATTTATACGTATATGTACAGATCTTTTGTTTTATGGCCTATATTCCTATTTATAAAACGCTTTTGTGTCATTTGTTTAGTTTTTTAATCATTAATCGTTAGAATAGGCGCATGTTCATACAAATCTTAGAGGAATGCCATATATATTTCAAAAGTTCGGTATATCTAAAAAAAAAAAAATAACTTGTATTTGTATATTAAAAAATCTGTGACCGCTGTGGATAGTAAACTTGAAATTGATAGTAAATAGCAACTACATTTATTTCTAGTATAGTTATGTTCATATGATACAGAAAAACGCGAAAATAATTGAAATTACTAGAAAAAAAACTCGGCAAATTACGGATTTGGGTAAAAAGGGGAGGGTAATATAAAAGAGTTGTCCTGTCCCCCAAGTAAAAAATGTACCTATGCGTTATATGTGAAAAATGAAAGTGTCCAGAGTAGAGTTGCTACGTATTATATGTACGGACCGAGGAAACTGAATAGTGTTTTAACTCAATTGCGATGTTCCGCTTCATTTCTAAACTCTGACCTTTTCAAAGATAACATTATACTGGATCCCTCGTGTCAGTGTGGGTTTGATATTGAGGATGTTCATCATTTTTTTTATTTGCCTAAAATACACTACTTGTAGAGAAATTTTACTTAACAATCTTAATTGGCTTACTGAAAAATTTGTTTTAGATACTAAACTATTTTAAAACTTGCGGAGACGTTGAACTTTCGAATGAACAAAATCTCATAATTTTCAAACATGTTCAAGATATTTATTAGCAGATTTTTAGTACCTTCATAAGTGTTATTGCTACATTTACGGACGATCATCGTCGTCAAAACCTTAGTCATAAAAATATAATTTGCTTCTTTTTCTTTTCTTTTCTTCTTTTTAATTATAGTTCGTTTAATATCTAATGAATTTGTTCGCTTTACATGCATGCTCATAATGTTATTATTGCATATATACTTATATTGTAATAACGGAGAAGACTTCATAAGTATGATTTACTTGTGTCTCATCCATTTTGCTGATATTTGGCAAATAATTTTTTTTTTAAACTAAACCTATGCGTTTGAGGGCTAATTTCGCATATCTGCAGTAATAATAAATGTACGCATACTAGTTAACAATTGAAACCGATTTCCGTGTAACAACGCATGTTTTGCAAATCAGAATAAGAGTTCGTGTTCAGACTGTGATAATAATTCGATTTTAATGCTATTTGGTAATATGTAATCCGCTTTCAAACATCTTAATAATCTGTTTTCAAATCAACTTTATATTCGATCAATTCAAAAACCTGTAGGTGTGTGTATTTTTCATAAATCACACCATGCAAATTTATGAATATGCATGTAGTTTCTATGTAATTGGGTACAAATGCGCATTTCATTTTAGGTAGGTGGTAATGGTAGTCTTTTCCTCATTTCCTCTGCTCATATCGTAAACTTGGATATTTATGATGGCTCGTTTTGAAGCTGAGAAATTTTCACATATATGTGATTAAATTTTCGGGATACGAAGTACGTGAGGTTCGTTTTTCCATGATATAGCAAACCCCGAAAAGTCTTTTGTGATGCGGCTTCTCGAGGTAAAACATCCCCTTTTTACACACAAAAAAGTTTTTTGAAAATTTAGTTCTTTGCATACATTTAATAACTTCATAGTTTTTTTCAGACTTTATTCTATGCTCCATTGTTCTCCAAATCAACACAAAGAGTTAAGCCCAGTCACTTGTTAAAAATTGAAACATGTCCAATACCACTACACCAAGAGTTTTTGTTTAAGTACAACTTTTGTGTTCCTCAATTTGAGACCATTAGCATGTAGGGATATTGACCCAATTGGCAGAAGTATGTACTTTTTTAAAAAAGAATTGAAGTCGGTTATAATGATAAAAGTAAACACGTTTTGATTTTTTTTTTTGCGTTCTATGCGCACTTAATAGTATCCGATTTGATCTCAGTATGATGTTGAGATCTAAAGTTAAAAAAATATATAAAGGGTGAGCTTAATCTCAGCGTCTGAATGTTAATTCATATAAAGTTCACAAACATTTATGGACAAACCAGAACGGTTAATATTACGTTTGAACGAGATACTTTTTGGGCGAATTAATTACTTTTTAATAATATTCCGTGTAATGTTTTGTTGTTGTCTTTTCTTTTGTTGTTTTTTTTAATTTTTGACCATGGTATTGTCTGTTTTTATTTTTGACCATGGTATTGTCTGTTTTTATTTTTGACAATGGTATTGTCTGTTTTTATTTTTGACCATGGTATTGTCTGTTTTTATTTTTGACCATGGTATTGTCTGTTTTTATTTTTGACCATGGTATTGTCTGTTGTTTTACAAGACTCTATTTTCGATTGCCCACCAGGTATCTTCTTTCTCTTTTTCGTGATAGCGTTCAACAGCCCGTTTACCATTTACAAACTTGAACTTTGACTTCTTTTGCATATCATATTGACTTGTTTGTCGACAGTGTATACTTTTATTTCACATATCATATCGACCTGTATGTCATCAGTTTGTAGATATTTAATAATTGCATGCGTTATATTTATTATGTTCATATTTGAAAGCAAGGAATGTCTTTTCTGTATTATTTACACTGGATAAGAAGTTTATTTGACAATTGGCGTACTGTTTGTTCACGTAACACGGAGTGAAATACAGTTAAGAGATCTCGATCGTATCTTAGTAAATTTGTGGCTTATATTCCGTGCTTGTAAAAGGTAAGTTTAAAATATACAGATTTCAAGTTCACGCATAGTTAATGGTAAATTTTTCAAATAACGTCTACGAAAATAGTGGAATTAATTACTTTTGGAGTGTCGAAATCCGTTGGAAGTACTTGATGAATTGCATACTCAAATTGGTGATTTCGAATCTGTTCAAGTTTTGACTTTTCTACCCTATATACCATTTTGCCTCATAATCTCATTAAGAAAAAAATCACATACCTAATTAAGTGGGCATTCAAAAAGAATGTGAATATATATGTCCAACCTCTTTTAGGTCATTTTTTAGTAACAACAAACAAAAGAACTATGTCAGTTGGACCTACTTTGATATGATAATCACACTTGAATTTTTATTAGATAACGTTTTTGTTGTTCGCTATGGAGATTCCTTATATCACCAAGCTATCGGAATTCCAATGGGGACTAACTGTGCACCACTTATTGCGGATTGTGTCTGTAATGTTATGGACAAACCAGAACGAGATACTTTTTTGGCGAATTAATTACTTTTTAATAGTATTCTGTGTAATGTTTTGTTGTTGTCTTTTCTTTTTGACCATGTATTGTCTGTTGTTTTCGTTCTCTTTTTCATGATAGCGGTCAGTTGGATTTATCCTGTTGAACTTACACTAAACAAAGCTAATACTACAGTGGCGGATCCAGGGGTCCGGGGTTGGAACCCCCTTATTTTTACGATCTATGCTTTTGAATGGGGACATATGGTTGGACCCCCCCCCTTTTTATCCTGGGTTGGGAACCCCCTTTTAAAAATGGCTGGATCCCCCTGTACTATATACATAACAACAAACACTGCCCTTTCCTGTATTTTGATATCTATATCCCTCATGGGAAGCTTAATACTACAATTTACGATAAAAGAGATGATTTTTCGTTTCCTATTGTTAATTATCCCTTTTTAGATGGTGACGTTTCACTTGGGAATATTGCATGGTGTTTATATTTCTCAACTTGTTCGATTCGCTCATGTATGTAACAACACATTTGATTCTAACGGAAGAAATCTCTGTATTACTGGAAAATTATTACGCCAGGGATTTTGATATCGCAAACTTTTCAAAACTTTTACTAAATTTTATCATCGGTACCGTTGCAAGTTAGGCCATCATTCGTAAATATAAATCAACGTGCAGACATCTTATACGTTCAAGTATCTCACATTCCATCTTTTATGGTAATATTCTAGACAAAGCACAAAAATTTCGTCTTCACCTAAAAAGCTTACCAGACCTTTAAACAGACTTATTAACAAGGGATACACTTACGATACAGTTGTCAAGTCATTAAAGATAGCATTTTTTTTGGAATTAGTTCGTTCACTCATGGTCTTTGCATCGGAAATAAACACATATATTCTGAAACCAGTTGTTGGCAGGATACGGGTTATGTTCTTCTCGTATAATTTATGATGACATGATACTAAATCCCTAACGGGAGGGATTGTGATTGATATATATTCAAAATCCCCACTTATTTACCCCCTACATAACCACATTACAAAAGCTTGACATCCCCTCTGGAATATTATATTTCTATGTTGGTATTTTATTTCAATTATGTTTATATACCTCCTTATACACGTTTTAAAATCAGTGGATCAAACATCCTCCGACACTCAGTCAGAACATTTCAAAAAGCATTTTATCTAGGGGAGCTACCATTTGAATTTTAGGGGGGGGGGGGGGGAGTCTAGGATGAAAAATTTTGTCCTGGATTTTTTTAGTTGTAATCTCTGTCCTGCCTTTTTATTTTTCACTCTGTTCGGTCCTGCCTTTTTTTTATTAATTTATCCTGACTTTTTAAACATAAAGTGTCATCCTGCCTTTTTTTTTTTGCAATGTTGCTCATCTGCCGTTTTTTTTTTACTCAAAACTCCTTTTTTTTCAAATTTCACCCTAGCCCCCATAAAAATCAAATGGTAGCTCCCTAGGTGTGTTCGATTCATATGAAACAACTATAGATCCATGCAATTTGTAAATACTATTAAAATATTTATACGGGATAATACAAATCCGTGAATTATGCAATTAAATTTGTTTATGAATTAAAGGACTGTCGCTTCAATGAATTTTAATTCTAAATCGGTTGACATATTATTTAATGATATTTATCCAAAAAATCAATAGTTTCATTTGCTATGTAAATAACTTTTAAAAATATCCAGTATGTTTATTAATTATGTAGTGAAATGATAGATTGGAAACGTATTTGTTGAGGTAAAATACTTTCATTTCTACGTGTTCAGCAAATCTGAATTTTCAAATGCAGACATATATGTGATTCTGGAATGTGATATACATTTATTTTGATTCAATAATATTGACAAAATCTCTCCATTGACATTCTGTACGTGTCATCAAAATACCTGGAAATATCGACACTAAGACAAAATGTATACAATGAAATATACAACTTAGATTAATTGAAGGTGGAAATGAAATAAATGGGATGTATATTTCTGACCACCAAAATCGATTTTCCAATTAAGGATTGTTTCTGTGGAATTAATGCTTTCTCTCATAAAAATGGCGGAAGCAGTCTCAGGTATGTCGATGTGTTGTTATTTAGGTGCGATATTCTTGACATATTTTGCTAGGGCCGGATTAGCAGAATTCAGGAGTTGTACTATAGAAAACGATTAAGGGTAGTGTTTTATAGAATGCTCTCTTTGCACTTGAAGAGGCCAGAGGCTCCTGTCCCAAGTCAGGAGCCTCTGGCCTTTGTTAGTCTAGTATGTTTTTTAATTTTAGTTCATTTATATGTTTTGGAGTTTAGTGTGACGTCCATTTTCACTGAACTAGCACACAATTTTATTTAGGGGCCAGCTGAGGACCACCTCCAGGTGCGGGATTTTCTCGCTGCATTGAAGACCCATTGGTGGCCTTCGGCTGTTGTCTGCTCTTTGGTCGGGTTGTTGTCTCTTTGACATATTCCCCATTTCCATTTTCAATTTGATATTGTTTACCATTTTGTTATCTAACATGTTTAGTAATATATATATGGAGATGTAGTATGATTGACAACGAGAAAACTACCCACCAGAGTTCAAATGACATGCATGGATGTATTAAGCAATTATATGCAACCGTACGGCCTTCGACAATGAGAAAAGTCCATACCATGTTGTCGGCTATAAAAGACTGTATTTCAGCTGTGGTGCTGTAAAAAAAATAGGGTAATATATACAGTGTTCTCCACAGGGTCTTATGGGACCGTGGTGGCATGGTGCTATATTGTTTATCATGGTGTTATCTAAGATGTTAATGATGGAATGTATTTCAACTGTGGTGCTACGATTTTGGAGAAACACTTCTATTTCAAATCACACGGCATGATTGCATTTGAAAATATTTGGGGATAAGACTTATAAGTGTAGGTACAGAGATGAATTGAGAGAAAAAGAGATAAGGTAGAGAACGTTTGCGATCTTACATACATACCCTTTTTTTTATCTCAGAAGTCAGCTACAACCCCATTATAGGGCACCTTTGAAGTAACAATCATTTTTAATGTTGGGTGATCAACAAAAAATAAATTACCGCACGTTCATTTTCTCTTGGAGTTAGTCTATACAGGGCCGAGACCAGTTTGTGTAGTATACATATGTTGATAGTTTTGTTAGTTATGTACATCGCCGTATACCCCTGTATACCCCTGTAATTGAGTCGCCGTATACCCCTGTATACCCCTGTAATTGAGTCACTACAGGATGTCCATGCAATGTTGTAAACTTTTGTTGAAGTAGTTCTTCATTAGTGTGTAATTTTTTAAGCAACATTCAGAAATTTTCAAGTCTTCAAAGTCAAAAAACTTTTCTACCTCTAGATATACTATAATGTAATTTGCATTTTTAGAATTAATGAAATAGCGACACTCTTATGATAGAAGCGACACAGCCAGTATCATGTTTGAAGTGGAACTCGTTTTTCAGAGTGATCACGTTTGTATAGAAAACCAAACCGTCTAGATCTGCAGAGAATGCTTATCCGACTGTAGCAGTCAATGCATTATATTGTCCAAGTCTTTAGTTTTGTTTTGTGTAAAGATAGGTGTGGTGTTTACATACGTCAATGAGATAGTAATCCAACGACAAAAATAAACCAAAGACATCGGGATGGCAACATAGTCTTCAGCTATTGACAGCTGTCTATTCAATTATGATGGCATTTTCTGGGCCGTCCCGAGTCTACAAAAGTTTTGAATTCAATAGATTAAATAGAAACTATTCAAGGTCTGCCATCAACACCACAAAAAACATGAAGATATGACATAAGATCATTAATTCCTGACGAGGTTGTCTTTTCTTCTTTTTAGACATGGGTGTTATGGTTTCTTCATGCTTATCTTAGGTCGTCTACCCTTTAAAAATGTACTTAAACAATGTGAAAACGCTATGCAAATATTTAACTACCTGCACAAATTACTTTTGAAAGCTACCCATTTTAAAAATCAATCAATACACATTTTACTAAAGTGTAAAAAACAATGTATGGTACCTGTGCTGTGCGTGTATTTACATGAATATTACCATTGTGTGATATAATAATCAGGTCTTTATATTGTGTGTTTGCAATGATCTATATTTGGTCCGTGTCGGACAAATTCCATACCGAATTCAAACAAGTGATTTATTGTTAAATTAATAATTTTGGAAGTCCATACTAGCAATGGACGACCCCACACCGTCGGGTAAGTCATAAGAGATATAGATATCATATATTAATCTTTTTTTAAATGAAATACTTTTGTCACCTTATATGTCAAAAAGCCAAAACTGGTCAACTGGAAAATTGCTCTCAACATATTAATATTTTAAATTAATATGTTGCTATTGTCTAATTTCATGAAGATTAATTAGAATGAGTATCTAATTAGGTGGTATTCCGTTTTAATTAACGCGCCCATTAATCTCTTTACCTTCGTGTTACTGAAAAAGACCTGCAAAAAAAATGTTGAATTCCAATAGTGCGTAGTTGTATTTTATTTATTTTATTTATATGGTTTGTTTATTTTTGTTTGTTTGTTCGTTTTGAATTATTTGTACAGGACTAGGCAGTAACCTCATGCATGTCTACGTTCTACTACTATGCAAGGGGCTTTGTTTTTTTCAATTGTCTGACGGTCTCTTATATTTATTTTATGAAGCTTTGTACTGTATCTCATATAAATTACTTCAACATTTTCCATGTCAAAATGTTGAGACACCAAATTGGTTTTTGACCTTTTATAATGCATCATGAAAGTTGAATTTCAACGGCAGTTTTATAATATGTTCTAACTTGATATAAAAAAAATTTGAAGTCTTTTTACTGCAACAATCGAATGGCTGAATAATCAAATTTTCCACTGACGTATTACACACTCTGGGGCTCTAGTATATAACTTTTGTTTTTTTTTTGTTTTTTTGTTTTTGTTTTTTGGTCTTTCACTTTTTTTATTCGAACGTCACTGATGAGTCTTTAGTAGACTAGGTGCGCGTCTGGCGTACAAAATTGTGGGCATGGTATCTTTTATGAGTTTTTCTATGATCATTCATGGATTTTTCTTTCTGCATGATTTTCGATTAATAACAATGGCTCATTCTCTTTAACGAAAAGTTCTGCGTCCATCGTATGATGAAACCTCTAGGATCAGAGGCAGATTTAAGGGGCGTCCTCCTTATGGACGCTACATAATATTATATGGTTAATGCCTAGACTTTTTATAAGTTCTAATGTGCCTTGATAGTGCCCCCAACTTGTTCAAAATCCTGTATCCTGTATTTATGTTAGGTACCAGTCTGTTGTTGAAGGCCACATGTTGACCGCTACATGTCTATTGTTGTTTTGTTTTTTTGTTTTTTGTCGTTAGGTTGGTGTGTCAATTGCGTATACCCCTTTTATTCATATTTGATAGGAGTATTTATAATACTTGTAAAAAGATACATATCTGCCTTGTAAACTTTACCAGTTTAGCAAACTTATATTTAAAACACAAACATACACACACACACACTGACAAAATGTTAATACATATAATCATTACGTCAATCTTAAAATGTCTATATTCTTAATTTTCGTGACCACTTCTTTCAGTTATCCAAAACTGTATTTCTTATCTGACATTTTCTCTCGATGTTATCGATAATTTGAAATTGCACAAACAAGGTATAGATAAAGTGTCCCATTATATAAATGTCGAAAAATAATTTTGTAGTGCATTGTCTGTAAATATTTGAAAATACATTTTGCTGTCTTACCTTTGAACAGGTTTATCAGAGACGCACGAAGAAAATGAAATAACGACATCAACTGAAAATAAAAGTTCTGAAGATCAACTTGTGTCAAACCAGGAGGACACTGATTCACAAACGTGTCAACAAGACTTGACACAACAGTTGAAAGACACTGAACACGTGTCAACAGACAACGGTTCATCAGTAGACCCTGAACCAGAAGTGTTAATTGCATTAGCTCAGAATGGTATTGGAAAAATCAAAAATACGGAGGAAAATTTAGATGAAAAAGACGGCGACGAAATAGCATCACAAGAAGCTGACACTTTTACCGACATTTCCCCGGCGGAATCGGAAAATTTTGAAGAGAAAAACGATGATATAGATTCGGATTTTAAGGAGAGTGAAAAATTCGAGATTGAAACGAGTGAAAAATTTGAAAGTGAAACAAGTGAAATTATTTTCAGTGAAAATTTATTGAATGATAGTGAGATAAGTGAAAAAATTTCAGTTCAGGAAGAATTATTGCGTGATAGTTTGAACTCAACACAAGAGGAGGTTGGTATTTTCATAACACAGGACCATCGGGAAGAGGAGAATCAACCAGAAGAAATGCCAGAGAAGCGAGAGGAGGAGGTGGTGTCACCATCTTTACAAAGGGCAAACCTCAGGTTTAGATGGGCAAAAACAATTCCGGTATCTTCAAACGAGATCATATTCTTTTCATCACATAAAATGGTAGGTTGAATATTAAGTTAGGATAGAGATGTTCAGTACAAGTCTTACAAGAGTGAAAATGAATTGAATGGCATCAAGTCAAGTTGACTAAGATTAACTTACAGGCAACTGTAGTGTACATTGCCGATAACATGGATAAGCGGCCGTCTCCTGCTATCAGGTATATCACCCGTCATGCACTTTCTGATCAAATTTATACGACCAAGAAATTTTTTTTGTAATACTGTAATAGTATTGTACTGCACTAGATGCTCTTTGACAATAAAATTTCTTCAGTGATTATGGGTAAAAAATCTCCATTTAAAAAAAAGAATCGAACGCGGAATTAGCGCCCATACGTATACGATTTTGAGTCTTACTTTATGGATTTCCGGTGAACATTTTAACTATGGAAAAAAACTCTTAAAAATCGTCCAGTCACATTCAGACTACTATTACACATGTTTTAGTGGCCTCAGAGTCACACTACATGTTTACCTACCCGCGGGAAAACGCACGAACAGGCCATGCAATATCTGAAAATGGTTTTTCTTTTAAAAAAAATCAGCATAAAAACCAAGGATTTATATAAATAATTGTAAAAATGTTCAAAATGGAAGAAGAATGCGAAGTCATATATATATTATAGGACTTTTGCAGAACCAATAAGTCTAATGTATCATGACGCCTTGTAAGGCTGTTTTTAATTTTTTGCTGTTTCGGCTTCCTCGAAAAAATGGTAAAAAGCATACACATGTCCTTGTGCACAAGGATTTGTAAAATTTACAAATCTTTGTTTTGCGTCTGAGATTACTACAGCATGTGTTATAGTAATCTCAGTTTGCATATACCCTATCTATTTTTATGCCCCCTGCCACAAGGTGAAGGGGGCATTAACTTAAAAGTGTTACCGTTGATTGTCAGTCTTTTAGACCTTCTGTCTTTCTGTCTTACTGTCCATTTTTGTTTGAAAAGCATGCTTGAGCAGGGGTGTTTGTATCCTTATACACATTCTTCTTTTATCATCTTCCATTTAATATCATTGTTGATAATATGGTTAAGTCTTACCTGCTGTCAGAGCATATTATTTTTCATAAATGTTGGGCTTCTTCAGTACACAATTTCTGGTACATGTTTAAAACTATTTAACTTCTAAAAGAACATACACTAATTAGGCACAGACCTTTTGATTTAATCTTCAGCAAGTATGACATGTATTGTCTTTACGAATGTTGAAAACACTTTCTTGCTTTGGATTGACTGAAAAAAATATTCTTGCTTGGCTTGCATGGTAAAAAAAAACTGGCTTGATATAAAATCCCAGCCCCCCCCCCAAAAAAAAATCAAATGGTTAGTGCCTTATCAAATTAAGCTTGGTATTATTGACAATTGAAACTTCTTCAGTCAATCCGAGCAAATGACTTTAGTAGCTGAGTAGCATGAGGCCAGACAACAGTGAACTAACTTTTCAATGGTAACGTTATTTTATTATTTAATGTAAAAAAATTTCAATAAGGTCAAGTTTTCAATTATCTCAAACTCCAAAAACCTCTTTACAGAACTTTATAAAAAAAAATAATGTTCATGCGATCTACATACAAGACATGTAAAACTTTGAGAAATTAAATGCAAGATAGATTGTTTATTTGGTTCCTCTCTTTTGGAACATTGTAATAGATCTGGCTGCATCAATGGTCATCATTGGTCATCATTGGTCATCACAGTTACCTGGTTAACTGTTTCAATCAATAATGCCAAAAACCAATTACATTACAATGCATAGACTTTTACAAGTACCACTTTTAACATTGGCATACACCCCTCTCCACCACCCTTTTCAAAATCCTAGATCTGTTTATTGTTGGTAAATCATGTATATATTTTGTAAAGTTGGAAAAATGCATGTTGTTTAGCTAATAGCAGTTTACATCCAAGTTGAGGTAGATTTCTGAAAGTTTCTGAATGTTTCAATTAGGTGTAATTTCATGTAAAATTGAGAATGGAAATGGGGAATGTGTCATAGAGACAACAACCCGACCATAGAGCAGACAACAGCCGAATGGGTCTTCAATGCAGGGAGAAAAACCTGCACCCAGAAGCGTCCTTCAGCTGGCCCCTAAACAAATATGTATACTAGTTCAGTGATAATGGACGTCATACTAAACTCCAAATTATACACAAGAAACTAAAATTAAAAATGATACAAGACTAACAAAGGCCAGAGGCTCCTGACTTGGGACAGGCGCAAAAATGCGGCGGGGTTAAACATGTCATGTGTTCATTATCAATTTCCTGAAATTCTTACTTAAAATTCTTCTATTTGGTAATACATCTACCATTGACTGGCCTAAGATCTATTGCTATAAGGATCAGACTTTTTTTTAGGATTTTACTCATTACTCATGATAACTGTCAATGAAATTAAAACTTAGCATTATTCATCTTTCATCTACTGTAAATTCAGAAATTATTATGTGCATTTATTATTGCGATTTGGAATACGACAGACCAAAATGTGAGAGAAATTATTGTGATTACAGGAAGAGTTGCATACAAATATATATGTCAGATTTTAGAAAGCAAAATCTTATTATTGCAATACTCCCCCAGTCACATTATTCACAACAACAAAAAAATCACAATAATTTCTGATTTTAACGTATTATTTATATATATTCATAGATATCAATGTTTTATATAATGATATTAACTATTAAAATAACCAGCAATTTTCTATTGACAGGAAGAACCATTAAAGCTGACATGGTCGGAGGGAGCGGATTGTTTCTACTCCAAAGACTTGGAGGTCCCTACAGGGATGTACAAAGGGACTCTTGTTATTGATGAGAAATCCTACCCTATAGATGAGGTCACTGTAAAACATTATACATTTGAAGCTGATCTATATGTAAAAGATGGTAATATAATGCTTTTAAATCCCTTTGAATAAGTTAGCACACCTGCAGCCAGGTGGATTCATGGGACTATGCCCCCCCTCCCGAAAAACAAAAAATAGTATTTAATATAAAAATAAGGAGATGTGGAATGATTGCCAATGAGACAACTATGACCAAAGTTCAAATGAAGTGGATGTAAGCAATTATAAGTAAACGTACGGCCTTCAACAGAGAGAAAAACCCATACCGTATAGTCGGCTGTAAAAGGCCCTAACATGAAAAATATGAAAATTAATGGCCTAATTTATAACAAAACAATTCGCAAAAAAACAAATATGACAGACATGAACCAACGACAACCACTGAACTACAGTTTTAAGCCTATTAAAGACCAGTTCGGTTTGAAGTGACAGAGTGTCATGATCCAAAATAACCCCCTCAGAATCTTCCTGGCTATGGGCCTGATTTGTTATCTGATTAAAAATCTTTCTTAACACAGATATATGTACACGCAATTTGGGTTAAAAATCAGTTAAAAATCTTAAAATATTTCTTTTTGGTGTCCAATCAGTAACTGTAAACTTAGTTGAGATTGGGGGGTGGGGTTTATATATCATGATCTATGGATTATTGTAAATTCAGAATTTTTTGGCGTTTGTTTATTTTTACAATTGTTAAACAACGGACACAAATGAAAGTTTGTCAAAATAAAAAAAATGTGAACTTTTATTTTTGTGAGTTACAAATTCCATACAGTAGCAAATTTCGCAATTATGAAAAAAAGTTTTACAGAGTGAATAGCCTTCAATCACAGCAAAGTCTCCACCATGAATTTGTTTTTGACAGAAATATTTTTAGTGATTCATACTTCAAACGTCTTGATGAAAATTAATTTTTTATATAGTTTATTATTAATAATCCAACAATTTATGTAGACATTTTAAGATTCTTATACATAGCATACAAAAGTTCTCATTATGAATAACTCAGAGGCAGATTTAGGGGGGTGCAGGGTGCCTAGGTAACTAAACTGGTCTTTATAATAAACTTTTTTTTTCTTAAGTCTATTTAGTCAAATACTTTATTTATTAAGTAACACACACATTGGTTAATAATTCATTGATATTGATACATTGACAAATGAATTGATAGAAACCCATTATTAATTTACAGGTACTTTAACCTGTTATGACATGTGCAGATTAATCAATTACCGTTTTGTTATTTCACCTGTTTACCTTTTAAACACCATTTTTCAATATAGTCTGTTTCATTCCTGTCAATTAGCAAAATTGATTTAATTTGAAATGTTTATTAATTGTTTGCTTTTAAAGATAAATTATAGTTTCATTACCATGACTGGAGCTAATTGGAAAATGCTCTTTAATTATCAACAAAGACAAATTAATTAGGATTAACACAGGGTCAACATTATTTTTATAAATAGGTTCATAGAATCAGGTGTATTTAAAAAAAATATTAATCCTTTTTTCGCAGCCAACCTTTTTTCTGCATATTCTTATGAATGTTGTCAGGTGCAAAGTCGATGCCCTGGATGTCTTTAAAGTTTAATAAAATGAGATAAAATTCCTAGCCACTGAATATAATTAATTTCATGCAATTACAATTTTAAAAAAAGATATACATTGACAAATGATTGAGGACAAACTCAAGTAGAAAGAATTTAAACAAGTTAGTTGAAGTATTCCTAATGAAAATATTACATATAAAAAAAATTCAAGGATTTTTAACTTTTTCTTATGAAAACAATGTACAAGAGAAAATTGTTTTTAAAAAATATTTAAATTACTTGAATAATAAATACATGTAATGACAAATGATAATAAACTTTTATTTTATTTTCCCTTGAGAGTATCCCAACAATAAAAATGTCCTAAGGGGCCATAAAAGGACAACATTAATGAATGTGCTTGTTCTTTAATGTTGGCACTTATAATTCTTTGTTCAAATATGTACCCTCTTTTCAAGATAAAAATAATCTAAACATTTCCTTACAATTTGAATGAAGTCAAAAGTAAATTATACAGGTTATTCAGTGATAGATTAGAAGCAAATATAATATACGGCTCATTTCAGTTGAGGGAAATCAAGTTCATGCAAATTTTATTTCATGAATTGTCAATAGTGTATTTTAGTCAAACCTTTAGGTTTTAGTCGTGGAGAGGAAATCAACTTTGAAAATATATAAATAGCACAAATTGAAAAAAATGGATTGAGATTTAAGTAACAGTTATAAACGGTGCATATTTTATTACCTACAGAATATACTTTTATTATGGATCATGGCAAGTTACGCATAGGTAATTATCTTACTTACATTGAAGTGCAGTGTTGAACGTTGCTAGGGGTTATAATGTTCAAAATATGTTAACCAGTATTGTAAGAATTTTATAAGGTTTATTTCATATCATTTTTGATAACCTGATTGCTTTTAAGAATGTACTTTTATAAATTGACATGAAAAGTGGCAGTGGTTATAAATTTTTGATACATGTTGAACGTCTTTAGTCATAATTATTTTTTTTATCATTATAGATCCAAAGATGTATTATATTATATGTTTATAAATCTATATTTGGACTCCTTTTTTTGCAAGGTCACTATCAATATTCTGCATTCCATGAGTTGGGTAAGCATGGAGTTGACTTGTTTTGTAAATACTACTAAAAATTAATGTACTTCCAATTTTGTGTACTTAATGGACTAAATTTCTGTGTCATTTGGTCTCTTGTGGAGAGTTTTCTCATTCGCAATCATACCACATCTTCTTCTTTTTTTTTAAAAGTTATTAATGGCTGATTTTTTGTACTATTTGAGGTTAAAAATAGATAAAGGAAGAATAGGGGTGGAAAGTTTCAGGTGGATCCTTTGAGAAAAGTGCCAATTATAATATTTACATTTGCAATAGAAAAAAATCAAAATTATTGAAAATGGGGAGAATATATATTGAGGGGCAATCTGAAGCCTAAAATTGAAGATAAAACAGAGTAGGATCGTTACAAAGTGTATTCAAGGTTTTAAAATTGATTTTGATCTGTACATTTGAAAATTTAATTATGCTGTTGACTAAACACCTTTCATGGTTGTACTTTCAAAGGTATTAAGATCCTACAATATACTCAGTCTGTTTGAATAATAATGATTAAAAGAGAATTTTTTGTGTTGGCTATATGTTTAACTGATTTACCATGTTTACAGACTACATTTTAAAAAGAAGACAAATAAATTCATGATTTTGAGAGAAAAAAAATTGTCATTTTACCAAATAAAAACATTTGACATAATTTGTAAAACAAAGAGACCAAACAAGTTTCTTTGGTATATAGTCCTTTTTCATGCCTTTACAACCCTAGCACTAGTATGCAGGCTAAATTTGAACTTGTGTTAAAGTGGCACTTGTGCTGAATACAAAATTCATGTCCTAATTTAAAAAGTCCTTCTCAGTAATGGTCCAATTTTAAATGTATTTGGGTTAACAATGAACAGATAAAAGGGTCAAAAGTCTCCAGGTATAAATCTTTACACTGCATTTAAAAATACCCTTTAAATTTATTGTCTTATTAAAGATTACTATAAATTTAGAAAATATTGCATGCATTTATTATTTTGATTATTGAACTCTGGACAAAAATGTGAGATTTATTAAAAGGATTTCCTGGAAATGCTGCATACAAAAAATACAAAAAAAATATTAAATGCAAATTCAATTTTTTGAGAAACTTAGCCTGTCACATTTTTTGCAATAATCATTTTTGAAGATCAGATTGAACATGTTTTTTATTCAAGTGGCAAAAAAAACTCAACCCCTACAATTTTCTGAATTATTATCAGGTGACAAGCTTTCATTGCTATTTTTTAACTCAGTGTGTTCAAAAAAAGATATAACAAGACTATTACCCTATAAAGGTCATATTGTTAAAAAAAAAATAATTAAGTCAGCTATATTTAATCTCTGACCAATATAATATGCATTGAGGCCACAATAGAATAATTCTTAGTTTTAATAAATGTTGAAATTGTATTTTACTGAAATTTCCATTAATAATTCGGATGATATTGAAAGATAATGTAAATTTTTTCATTTTTTTGTAACAAGGTTGATCAACATCATGCATGTTCAAATTTTGCTATCTAGAATTTGATAAAAATCAAGATTATTTTGTTGTGGCCTTAATTGTCACACTATAGATAGAATTGACCGCTATTAGGTGTTGACAAGTCTGAACTTTCCTGAGCTCCCCCAGTGTCTTTTGTCATACATGCAGTAAATAGTTATTTATTTCTGTTCCATTTGACTGAATTATTTGATTAAATCTTAAATAGTTTAATTCACAAACAAAAAAACTTCAAAAGATTAACGATTTCAATACACAAAAGGTGTAATATCCTAATTTCAATCACACATAAAAATGCTTAGTTAAGAAATTAGCAAAATGATCATTTTTCTGAGTTTCTGGACCATAAGAGTGTTAACAAATCTATCAAAAATACAATGTCTTCATCTGCATGCTCATATAATATGATGTGTCATTAAGAAACAAAAAACTGTAGAAGCAGGCATTAATTTTGTGATTAACTTTATTTGATAATTAGTCAGTTCTAAAAGTTGAAATGAACATGATAATTGATATTATGAAATGGAGACCTTTTCTTTGTTACCTGATACACTAGCAAGTGATTTTAGAAATTAGCTAGATATTTTATTTCACGATTGTGGAATTGAATTAAATCGATTCTATTAATTCTGAAAATTAACCGACCAGATTGATTTTTATTTGTGTTAGTTACTCTTTCAGTGATTTTATGACATTTCTGTGAATACTGTTGCAACTTTTAGTAAGCTTTTTTTGCAGAGAGCAAAATTTATCTTGGCAACATGATATTTTTCTTGCATCAAATTTTGATTTGTAAGAACCTGGAGTATTGTTCTTAAGAGTCCAAATCAAGTGTCTGTTGCTTAAAATTGGCCTTAGTTAAGAATAGGATTCTGGATATTTTAGTTTATTAAAAGTAGGCAGGTGGCCTTACAAAATGCCTCGCACAAGAATCGAATATATTTTAGATTCTCGCATACCATGTGCAATAGAAGACACTTACAGTGACTCTGATTCTGATATACTTTCAGATGTTATTGAGGATAATTTCTCTGCTGGACGAGAGACAACCGTGGAAGATGTCAATACATTCAGCGACCTTAATAAATCTAGTAATGACCAAACAGGACTACATTATACAGGAAAAATTGAGGACATTATACGGCAACAGATGCATTCAGTCAGCCCTGAACAAGAGTTCACGGTTAAATCAGACCATGGTTCTGGAAGACATACACCAATTGGAGATGTTGGTTTTGAGACATACCAAGATGGATTAAACAATTCTTATAGCAAACATTTAAATGCATCTGTCGTGGAAGATGAAATTGAACAGAGTTTTAACCAATCTCAGCATTCCTCAAAACCACATACCCCACAGCCTACAGTTGAAGAAATAATTGAAAATACATTAAGAGAATCCAGAAGTCAGGAGCGTACAACTCCTCAGTCTGATAGACTGGCTGACTTTTTCAGCAGCGAAGATCAAAGAACTTCTACTGATAAGATTTTGAATGGAGATGGATCATTAGAATTTGCTGAGCATTACAAATCCCCTTCTAGCTCTGCTAGGCAAACACCACAGAGAGACTACATAGGGGATGTCCTTGGATATGACCAGCCTAAATCAACTGAAGGCTCTGTCCATAGTTTTGAGCAAAGTAGAACTCCTGTTAGGTCTATAGAAGGTTCTCTGCATGGATCAGCTAGGCATACACCTTTAGAAGGTTCTCTGCATGGTTCAGATAGACGTACTCCGTTAGAAGGGTCCATGCATGGATCAACCAGACACACACCTTTAGAAGGTTCTCTGCATGGATCAGATAGACGTACACCTTTAGATGGTTCTCTTCATGGATCAGATAGACGTACCCCATTAGAAGGTTCCGTACATGAATCACTGGGTAGACATACACCTTTAGATGATTTAGTGCAAACTGTCTCTCCTGCTGGAAGCTTTCATGGATCAACTCACAGTTCTGCACGTCAGACTCCATTGCAAACAGCTGTGCGACAAACTCCTTCTGAGTCTTTCAGAACAAGTCAGGAAAATTTGTATGGGTCACACAGCTCATTATCTGGTCATGGTGGCTCTAGGCCACTGAGTTTGACAAGTGAACAAGAATTAACACAATACTTTGAGCAAAGCAGTAAAAGATTTAGTGAACCTGTTTCAACAGGATCAACTAAAACTCCAACCCCACAACAATATGCTTCAGGAATACAAAATAATGGTAATAGAGCTCACGGCACATCTAGTTTACCCGTAATAACTACACAGCAGAGACTTCAGGCAGAAAAACGTAGTAAGACACCAGATAATTATATCCGGGTTCCAGGTAACATGACATCTCCTGCTGCCGTAGCTAGACCATCATCAACAACTAGAGGCTCCACTCCCTCATCCAGGGCCAGTAATAGGACTATAACACCAGGGGATGATGCAGAGAGACAACTTTCTATGGTAAGCTATTTTATCAGCTTTAACACAAGTATCTTGTACATCAATGCCTGTCTTCTTATTTGTCAAGAAGTGGTATAAAGAATCTAATATGATCCAATATCCATAAAATGTGTAGCTTTTAAAGCTGCCATGTCTGATTATTAATTTGTTCTCATTTAGGAATATGCATTAAATATTTTCAATTTGACAGTTTTGGCAAATTACATTCAATCAGCCAACCTATTCATATAATGTTATTTTTTTCAGATACATAAAAGTAAAGTGAATGCATATTCCCACATTTTCCACATTTTATTTTCTTTTGTTGCAAACTTTTATTCAAATCTTCAAATGTAGTTATTGTATGTTGCATAAATATTTCAATCGTTCTAAATCAATTCCAACGTAATCATAACACACTGATATGACTGTGCATAGTGCATACCTTTGTATAACAATAATCCCTCCTTTAAGGAAATTGTGTTTAGACATGAATTTCTGTCTGTCCCTAAATACATAAGTCGACATGTCAGATAAAACTGTTAAAATTTATCAATAAGAAAAGTTAATTATTTAATGTTTGATTATCGATCAGGGCGATTTCAACAGGTAAATTTAAACTTGTTAAATGGCCAGGTAAAAATGAAAAATTCCATGATTTAAGGTCACCAACTTTGTTTGTTTGTAAACCTGTCCAGTAAAAATGGAGGTTTGTGTCTATAATTTGAACACATTTTTTTTTATCTAAGGTAGAAATAAGCTTTTATATGTCTACAGTTGAATTTTATTATATTTATGAAAAGAAAATCACGTTATTGATTTGATTACTTCATCATTTTATGTGGTTAAATTGTTTAATGACTTTTTATGTCCACGGTTAGATATTACCTGTCAGTTGTTAAGCATTTAGAACTTCAATATATACAACATGTATGGGGTTTGTCACTGTGACAGAAACCCAGCAACAGATCTTGAGGACAGTGATTAACATGCACATAAAAATCTGCTTAAAACAAATTAATAGAAGATATATGACAAATCAGGATAAAATATCTTAAATTAAATATTTTTTCAGTGAATGCAAACAATCATTTACAAGAGAGCCCTTTAAATTACTTCATCTAATATAACCTCCTAGGTGCTACTTGTGATTAAAAATGAAGACACTTTTTTGTCATAAAAAATCTATTGCTTCATTTGATAGAGGATGAAACTTTGCGGTCAATGTTCAAGACAATTAAGATTCCTAGTATGTCTTGTTGAGGATTATATATATAGAATAAAGTTTGATATATTGTTTTGAAATATAAAATGTACAAGGCTTAGAAACAGGTAGAATATGAGGCTATGCTAAGTATTTCTTTAATGTTTCCAGCCAAGTACAAATACAATTTATGTGTTTTTAGACAATGTGTAGTTGTTCTCTTTATACTGCATCTTTAAATGAAATAATTTGGGTATAAATCAAGAGTTTAGTGTGAAACAGCAAGGTAAAACATGTTGAAGACCCATTGGTGGCCTTGGGCTGTTTTCTGCACTTTGGTTGGGTTGTTGTCTCTTTGACACATTCCACGTTTCCATTCTCAATTTTATTTTCTTAAACCTGAATTTTTTCAAGACGTCATTGATAAACTCTACAGAAACACATAAAATTTCAATGTCACAAACAAGGCTTTATACAGTCAGTGATAAATATGTATCCTAACGAGGGGAATTGTAAACATTTCTTGTCATTCTAATATCCTTTATATATACAGTCGGTGACAAATATATATCCTATTGGGAGAACATGTATCTTTCTTACAAGTCCTAATATCCCAATATACAGTCAGTCAGTGGCTCTATAAATCCAAATTTTACAAGATCAATGAGTTTTATTGTCAGTGCAGTTGCGATGTTGCAAGTATAATTTTAAATGATGATTTTTATGCTTACAGGACAGTGTTATGCAGAAAAGGGTAGAGGATTTAGAGGACACAGTCAGAAATCTACGTAAATTATTAAGTGCTAGGGAACAAGAGGTCCATGAATTAACTGATCAACTAAATGATATTAGAGATATAAATAGGTCTTTACAAGATGATCTGGAACACAGCAGAGAGAAACAGTCAAGTACACCCAAACCTGGAAGTAATCAGGAGGTATGTCTAAATATAGCTCACAGAAACACTATTCCAGTACACCTTTCCTGGACACCTTTCAAGAGTATCCCACTGAAGTAAATAATTTAGAAAACTGCAAACAGAGCATATAAATACATATTCCAGCTATCCAATTTGTACACATGTGGCAAATTATGTTTTGCGGCAAAATATCCCTTAAATTATGGATTCGAAAATAAAAAAAGAATATGATGCACATTATGGTATTTTATAAGAAAGAATGTCTCATAGGCAGGGACGGATTTAGGTGGGGTGCCCGAACCCTCATGGAGCTTTATTTATGGTAAATCCAGACTTTTTACTGCTTCCACTACATTTTTGGTCTAGTTTGGGGCCCATGCCCCCCCTCCTTTTTCAAAATCCTGGATCCACATCTTACAGGATAATGTATATCTTCAAGGATGAGTTGCAGGTACAAGATGTGGATAAGGCAAAGTCTATTTTTATGCAATGACAAGCTCAAAAACTCAAAATATTATAAAGAGTCAATACATGTACAATTAATGTCGACAAGCTAGAAATCTACTGGTTAACCTTCCAGCTATAAGTAGGTATGTCTAAATATAACAGAAAAATGTCCCTTTTTTATGTCATCGAATATTCCCATTTTCACAATTTAGAAAAAATTACTGTGGAAAATTAATTTGCTAGTTATTCTATAAATGTCCAACCTTCCTGGCCAAGTTAAAAAAATTCTCTTTCTCTTTTCCTTAAATTGATTGAAACTGTGAGGAAAATGGTATTTTATTAATTGAAGTGTGCTTGTCACTTTCACAATTTCTTTTTGATTTGGATAAAAAATATGGTTTATTGATAACAAGTCATATTGATTAATTGGTTGTTTGAACAATCACCTAGGTATGCTAGGTATATTTCGATAGGTGTTAAAACTTGTTATAAGTGTCAATCAGGTAAACGTAATAAAACTTCTGTTTTACATTATCTCACGATCTGATCGAGATTTATGACTGGTTTTACATAATACATTCTTTAAAGTTCTTCAATAATAGAGTTCTATAAGTTTGGTCGTAGGAAATCAATATTCAGTAAAAGGAGGCGAACATTGTAATGATAGTGTAATGAATTAGTTTAATTATTACCTTCTTTACAGAGGGGTTATTCATAAAAGTTTTTTTCATTTTCGTTTATAATCATGATGCTCATCAAACTTTATTGTGAACCAATTTACGCTGTTATTATTTATTTCCAAGATTAAACACGTAATTAAAACAAAATTGAGATGTAATAATTTTTTTTTTTTAATTTTGTGGGCCTTAGTAGTCTTGGCAGTTGTCCTTTGTTATATCTTGGTGATATTTCTGTCATTTAAGTAGGAACTAGACAATTGACGACAGATCTTTGATTAAGCCTGTAATTATAGTCAGTGTTTAATTTTTTATACAACTTTCCTTACGATATAATACAATTTAGAGCTATACATACAGACACTTGTCTATTGTAGAAGACCTTATGTTTACATATTACTAATGATACCTTCCTAGGTTTTTGTGTGTCCTTAAGTGCCAGCCTGTAAAAATCAGGCAATTTGGAAGAATTTCAAAACATGACCTAAAAAAATCGCCAACTAAACCATCCTATTTTGAAGTTAATCTAGTCCTGAATTAGAAATGGTAGGTCTTTCATTTCTGTGTGTCTGGTAATTCGAAAAATCACTAGACAACTTTTGGTTAGAATGATAGAAAATTATGGAGTTAGCTCCCCTTAGTTGGTATTTCTAATGCATTTCAACCAAATTATATCTTGAAATACCAGACCAGGAAAATGAAGCGAATGTTTTATTTGTGCACCGTTATACATTTTGAACTTGAAATAATGTAAACTTGAGTGGGTTTTGTTGGTCATGTTTTCACCACTGTCTGATTCTTAGGCAGATTGGCACTTAAGTTGCTGCCTCAATGGCATACACCTCACATCTCTAATAATCAAAACTATCTAAGAGGCTGAGCTCTTGATTTTTGGAAACCTGAAATAATATGAGCTTGAAACATTGGCAAAAATAACTGGATAACGATAATCATTGGTATTTTCTGTCTTTACGCTCTCCCTATGTGATTTTTCTTTCCTTTTGTTCACATTCCCTGGACTTCAAAACAACTGTAAATTCAGAAATTAGTGTGACCATTTATTTATGTTATGCAATGTTGATCAACAGACAAAAATGCAATATTAAGATCTCAAAATGCTGCTTACAATTAAGTTAAAAATTTAAATGTGAGATCCAATTAATGTGATGCTTATCCTATTACGTTTTCCCCAATAATGGAGACATGGCAACATTTCTGAATTTACAGTATAAGAAAATACACGATGACATAAATTAAGCAATAGAGCATTCGTTCATACTTATTTATTCACTCAATTAGTAAATCAACAATGTAGTCAAATATAAGACATCAATCTCTATTTTACAGTTACAATTTTCTCATTGAAAGAGCAACAGAAAATGCAGTCATTTCAAACAAACTTATGTTTTTTGTTACAGTTAGAAAAGCGATATGGACTGTTATCCAATGAGAAGGAGATATTAGCACAGGAAGTGGTCAATCTACATGATCACATCAATGATTTACAGCGACGATTAGAGAGAGATGGACGACCTGACGGGGAGACACATCCTAGTATTAGTAGTTATGATCCAAATAATCCAAACGCTCTACAAAGGAAAATCGGTAAATGTGCTTAAAATAGACAACTTTCAAATTTGTGTATACTTTCCCATAAATTCCTATGTCACAATGCTTATGTTATTACGTCATAGTAAGAACCGATTGTTCGATGACGTGGTTTACACTGATTGACCACAGATCAACCTGTGTAATTCATTCATAAAAAATTTCAGACAAGTGTATAATCTTTGGACAGTCCCGTAATACTTACAGGAATTAACTCATCATTGATTGTAATTAGTAATTTTATACTACTGTGGATTCATTATCATTCGTTGGGTACCAGTTTTTCGTGATTTCGTAGGGATAGGGAAACCGTGAATTTAAACGTTCAATGAAATATTTCTATAGACTTTTATGCAAACTTTAAGAAAACCATAAAATCAAATACCCACAGTGCTGGTAGTCTTGAATGTTTCAAGACTCACCTACATGAGACAATCTAGTATGTTTGTAACTTCACTGTATATACTGGTAGATTGTGTTTCCTCTCTTAATCCTTATAAATTATTCACATGGGCATCCGAAAGTTACAGAATAATCAGTTTAAGTTGATGGTGGTAGTGTAATGGTACAAGTAGAAGTAAATTGTATATATATATCTTAAAGGTTGATAAATGAAAAAATACCTGCTGCCATTTTCACAAAATCCCAGAATCATGAAAGCTGAGTATAAAATACGTCAAAGTCAAGTCATAAAATATTTCGCAAAAAGAGGTTAAAAATTGCAGAATTTATATTTATATAGGTAAATTACTGTGGATTACTCATTATTTGTGGGATACTTGGCACTCTGTGGGTAAAGGTATATACATACCATGAATATTTCTATTTTACTGTGTGTATTGCTGTGTGTTTGTTTATTCTTCATTGGCTAGAGGTATAGGGGGAGGGTTGAGATCTCACAAAGCATGTTTAACCCCGCTGCATTTTTGCGCCTGTCCCAAGCCAGGAGCCTCTGGCCTTTGTTAGTTTTGTATGTTTTTTTAATTTTAGTTGATTTATATGTTTCGGAGTTTAGTGTGACGTCCATTTTCACTGAACTAGTACTCATTTTAGTTAAGGGGCCAGCTGAAGCCTGCCTCCGGGTGCGGGATTTTCTCGCTGTGTTGAAGACCCATTGGTGGCCTTGGGCTGTTTTCTGCTGTTTGGCTAGGTTGTTGTCTCTTTGACACATTCCCCATTTCCATTCTCAATTTTATCGTATGCAGATGTTTGTAAATCTTTAAATGAAATATCAATAAAAATAAATTTTTTGCTCAATTCATGAAAATTGGTAACCACAAAAATGAATGAATCTACAGTATTATAGAATATAAAATTTGTTGCTTTAGTTTAAGTCAATAAAAATTTACATTTATTTATAGCTGACCTACAAAGTCAAGTTCAGGACTTACAGGAGGCCAATGAGTCGGCTGTTTTGGAGGTGAATAATTCAGACAGGAAAATAAAAGAACTTACAAAACAGAATGAGAGTTTAAGGACAACACAAAATGTTGGTCACCAAGATTTACATGCAGAAAATAGAATGCTTCATGACAAGGTAAAAAATATCAAAATATTTTATGTATTTGAAAAGTTTTATTTTACACAACTCAAGCCAGTCATTTTTTTAAAAATTCAAGTGAATTTTTGTTGATTTAATTGTCTTTGATCATCCTAAATATGCATGATTTTTTTTGCCATTGGAAATTTAGTAGTTAACAACCATTCAATTAGTTCAATCCTAAACATTACCTAAAAATGTAGAAAACTGTTTAATATATAAACTTCATTACAAAGATATTTTTTGTTAAAAAAATGACAATATTTTTTTAAGGAAGAATAGAGTAGATATTTGTTTTAATAATAACCCTTTTGTAGATATCCAAACTTTGGGAGCAAGGGTATGGAGACAGTGATCATAAGGTCAGAGTTGAGAATCAACAACTGAGAGACGACAATCGTGCCATCAGGGAAAGGAATTATAAATTACATGAAGAAAATCTTAAACTGAAAGAGGAAATTACAGAAATCAGGAGAGTACTAGAGAGACAAAGTTCAGATTCCAAGATTTCTAGAATCAGTGTTGGTAGTTTAGGTAAGATCATTTCTACTGTAGCATTTATTTAAATTATGAGACAGCAGATTTTTGTGGCTTTTTTTAAGTAGCTTGCTATTTTGAATTTTCTAAAGGTGGCTCTATTTTTCTAATAAAATAGTAAGAAGATGTTGTATGATTGCCGATGAGACAACCCTCCGCCAGAATTCAAATGATGATGATGTAAGCAATGATGGGTTGCCATACAGCCTTAAACAATTAACAAAACCCATACTGTATTGTTAGCTATAAAAGGTATGGACATGAAAAAATGTGGAACAATTCAAATGAGAAAACAAATGGCCTTATTTATAACAATATATACAGGTAATGTATTTCTCTGTGTTTCATTTCTCTGGCAGTGGAAATTTGGGGCTAGGTTAGCTTAGTTTTCATCACTTGTTAATTTTGATAGAATAGAGTCTTAGTAACAAATTTTGTTTATTTTGAATGACTTTTAAGTAGTACTTTTTTGAAACTTTTTGTTGGTAAAAAATTTCCTATCCAAACCTTTTTGACAAAATGTTTGATTTGAAGGTTTTTAAAAGTGAACTTGCATTTGCAAACTCTTTTTGAGGAGGATAAATTTTAGTTTGGGAAAATTGTCCCCCTTTAACAACCAAAAATAAGTTTGTACATCATAGTTATTGCCAAATTTTATTAAAATAAGGAGATGAGGTATGATTGCCAATGAGACAACTATCCACCAAAGTTTAAATAAAGAGGATGTAAGCAATTATAGGCAACTGCACGGCCTTCAACAATGAGAAAAACCCATACCGTAAAGTTGGCTATAGTTGCCACAACATGAAAAATATGAAACCATTCAATTGAGAAAATTATCAGCCTGATTTTTTGTCTATAATGAATATGTTTCAATGAAGAAATTGCAGTAGGAGTACTATAGGTTAATTTGGCTATCTAAGGTGATAATGTAAAGAATTAAAGGGAGATAATTTAACAACTCGTGATGAATTATGCATAGGATGATGAATTTGTGTATAGACTAATTTGGGTTCATATGTACCAAAGAATAAATTAAGAACATAATTTTTTTCATATAAAAATGATTTACATTTCATATTTATTCTATGCTTTTCAGACAGGGAACATATGGACTCAAAATATTCAAGCATTGATAGATCTAAACTACCAAGTTTAGGAATAGAAAAATCACCAACCACAAGTTTGACTCTTTTAAATGGACATGTTGATCATAGACCTGTTCAAGAAAAAGACGGTCATCGCTATAGTTACCGACAAAATAAGGAAGAAAAATTGTATTCTGGACTAAGTGAAAGAGAAAGTGTGAATAAGTACTCTACTCACACTGATGAATCTAAATATAGAACAAGTATGGAAAAGTCAGAGCCGTATCTACGAAATAGTTACGTCAATGATGATTTAAAGAGTTCTTATGATACAGATGCACGAACATTTAGAGATGTAGAAAACAAAGATGAAAGTCGATTTAGAAGTAGCTTGGAAAGGGCAGAAGCAAAATTGAGAAATAGTTTAGAGAAAAATTCATATTTAGACAAAATTACAAGATATGAAACGAAAGGTACTGATAGATTAAAAACTGATAAAAGTTTAGATAGAAGTAGAACTCCTGAACGACCAAAGTCAGAAACTTATCGGTCAATGCCTGATGGTATTAGTGACAAAGATGAAAGATCACCTAGTCAGCGATATGATTTGACCCCAAATCGTCACCATGACAACAGAATTGAAAGAAAGACAGAATATGAAAAAAGGAGTGATTATGGCTTAGAATCTAAAAGCCTGACCAGTATAGATAGGGATTATAAAACTCTGACAGCATCTTACCCAGAACTGGCAAGAATAGTACCTACCTCTGATGCAGAAAAACGTAGAGGTAATTTATGCAAATTTTATTTTATTTCATTATCATTTATTTCAAATGATTGTCACTGTTTTTTCTATGTATGTTTGTGTCTTTAATTTGCCAAGACCAGCTGTATATTTTGTTTTGTATGGAATGAGGAAGAAAAAAGGAAAATGAAATAGATGGAAAATATTTGAAAAGCAAGATTTCTGCACAAGATTGGCTTTTGATTATGCTAGTGCAATGTATTTAAGCATAAATTACTTGCTTTATAAATCGTTAAATTTATGAAGTTGTTAGAAAAGCTTTTTTGTTGCTATGGTTACAATAAATTGTTGTTTGGCTTATTCTGTAGCTGCCAGATTAGAAATGAAGGCATACTTTTAGTCTGATTAAAGCATTTATTATCTTTGAGCACAATTAACTGATTGCACATTGAGGCATGAAAAAATAAGATTTGCACAGTAACACATAACCATTATGACCAATTGTAGAAATGTCCCGATCAGAGGTTGACCTTCGTCCTAAACGAGGGCGTTCCAGATCACCAAATCGGCACAATTGTACAGCAAGATCTGCCAGCCCTAAACGAGGGTTGCCAAAGCCTTCTGGCTTTCGCTTTAGGAATATCACAAAACATCGCATGCCACATCAAATGTATAAATGGGACGGTAGGTTTGCATGCGCTCAATGTGGAAGCCATTTACTAAAGCATTTACTAGGTAACCAACCATTAACCATAGATGTGGCTTATGGCGCAGGTCATTGGTGTTGTGACAGTCAGTTTTCTCAAAATTGATACAGCCTTCTATGTTATATCAGCCTAATCCAATTTAAAAAAAAAGTAACTTACAAAATAGAGAATGCCAGAATTAAAATGCTTTAAAGGCTGTTTTCTGCTCTTTGGTCGGGTTGATGTCTCTTTGACACATTCCCTGTTTCCATTCTCATTTTTATTATGTGAGTTGTATTTATCAAATGGTTACTTCAAAAAGTTTATACACTTTTTTTGCAATTAAGATAATACATGAGCTGCGCTGGATAGAAATCGACCTAATGCAAATGAATATCAATACATCTGTTAACCTATATTAGGTTCAAAAAATCTCTATGGAAAATCTGTTGTAATTGTTTGAAAATTGAGCTGTTATAAGAAAATCTACAAAACAGACCAATATATTCATCTTTTATTTCGTATTTCAATTTTCCAAAATCAATCAAAATCTTATACATGTACATGTCTATGTGCACTTGCATAAGGTTGATTTCTATCCAACGCAGCTCATAAATTATTTCAATACTGAGCTTTTTGTGAAAAATATCGCTGTTTTTCATTACTTCCTAGCTTTTCTACAGAGGAATGTAGGTTACGTCACTTAAGTTCTCCCAGTAATATTTATTTGAACACCTCTTCTGATTTGTTCAAAAAGTATTGCTTTTAAACCCTGAATTTGGAAGTTTAAATTCATTGATAAAAACTAGAAGTGTTAGATTTTGAGAAACTGAAAACGTGATGGTGGCAATGTCACATGTGTCATTACATATATAAAAGGCATTTATAATGTTGTGTGCACTTTGTTTACTCACTTATGTACATGTAAATATATTTACACTACATTATTTTATATTAGTTTTCATTCTGTATGCCTGTACACCAAATGTTAGCTACATAATACATGTATGTACCAAAGGATATTGCAAATATTACTGTTAACTGGTTCCTAATGAATGTTCCCTGCAACAGTATAATTCCATGACAGTATCCAGTCACACATTTTACCATACACTATGGTTGTTTACAGTTAAATACTAATGGGCCAATAACCATAACTGGATCCTTGTTACGTTATTCTATATTTGTGGTTAACAAAATGTAAATGATTTATTGTGTGCCAGTTTACCACAATATAGGTTGAGGTGGGGGGAGGGGGTTTGTATTTTTTGGCTTAAGAGTTATTTAACTTGGCTTTATAAAATATTGCTGTATTGCCATTAACTTAACATCTGCAAGGAATGATTCTAATCGCTTCAGTATAAGCATGAAAATTGCAGGTTATTTAATCAGTTGTCTGTGTGTCCTTCCTACCTTCAACACTTTTTCAATAAAAAAAATCTTTTTTTTTTCAACCCAACATGTTAGAGCATTTGAATTTCACCAACTTTGCTTCAGCTGATGTATACCCAGGAGAGTTCTGTAGTTTTAATCTTAATGAAAGTATTACAGCTGTACTGAAGTTGTTGACACCTGTCTGTTGAAGACTTTACATGTTGACCTATAGATGTTGTACATGTCATACATGTAATAAAATTGAGAATGGAAATGGGGAATGTGTCAAAGAGACAACAACCCGACCATAGAACAGACAACAGCAGAAGGTCACCAACAGGTCTTCAATGCAGCAATAATTCCTGCACCCGGAGGCGTCCTTCAGCTGGCCCCTAAACAAATATATATACTAGTTCAGTGATAATGAACGCCATACTAAACTCCAAATTGTACACAAGAAACTAAAATTAAAAATAATACAAGACTAACAAAGGCTAGAGGATCCTGACTTGGGACAGGAGCAAAAATGCGGCGGGGTTAAACATGTTTATGAGATCTCAACCCTCCCCCTATACCTCTAGCCAATGTAGAAAAGTAAACGCATAACAATACGCACATTAAAATTCAGTTCAAGAGAAGTCCGAGTCTGATGTCAGAAGATGTAACCAAAGAAAATAAACAAAATGACAATAATACATAAATAACAACAGACTACTAGCAGTTAACTGACATGCCAGCTCCAGACTTCAATTAAACTGATTGAAAGATTATGTCTTCATCATATGAATATCCGGCACAATCCTTCCCGTTAGGGGTTTAGTATCATACCATCATAACATATATGAGAAGAACATAACCCGTGTCATGCCAACAACTGGTTTTTAAATAAATGTGTTTAGTGCCGATGCAAAGACCCTATAAGTGAATCAATATTAACGCCAAAATATGCAATCTTTAATGACCTGTAAACATGTATTTAGGTTGCTGTCTAATTGATGTATATACCCTTTTCTTCATTATCCACATTAAGATATGACAATGCACTTTGAAAAGGTGAAATGATAAAAAGTTTGAAAAATTCTGGGCCTGGCATGTGTTAATTGTCTACGCTATGCCAATTAATATGATTTTTTTAGAAACTCTTGATAATGAATCAGCGTTGACAACAATTGTATTTGCTTTTGTAACTATTTGGAGGTGGGTTTTTAAACATAATTTGGAATATGGAACATAGTTTGATTAATAACACCTTGTTTGATTTCTGATATACAAGTTTTACATTAATGGTGTATGGTCATAATTCGGTGGATGAACACTTTAAAGTAGAGTATTGTTGTGTTGAATAGAAGTCAAATACACACTTTAATCTTTTGTAGTTGTTTTATACCTGTATTTTGGGTTCAGTAAATGGTAGAATTTAAATTTGTATAGTAGATTTTATTTAAACTTTAATTCATTTTCAATATAAATCATTCTCGTATCTTGGCAAATATGGATCTCTTATTCACACAGTAAGACTTGCAAATTTTTTGTAATATTAAAAGTAAATTAACTTTACAAGATTTATTAAATTATTGTAATATAAATTTTATAAAATTATTTCAGTATTTTGCATTTATGCCTGTTAAATCAAAGTTGATAATGTTAATACTTTTTCAGTTAAGATTTTGTTTCTTGGATTCACGCTTTATATAATAATATTACGGTAAATTATTTTAAACTAAATAAATTTGATAAATATCTTTAATAAATAACTTTGGTATATTCCACATTAATTTTTTTAAACTATTTTTTATAACTCCAAAATGGGTAACACAGTTAACAGTTGTGCCAAAGAAACAAAATTGTTGACTTAAGAAACAAAGTGTTAATTTTATTGAAATAAAACATTAAACAATAAGTTATCTTGTGTAAAATTGAATGTATTCAAACTGTTTACATTTTAGGACTTAACAGAACGGAAGGTTATTTAAGGGACGAAGATATGTCCAGATATACTTGCACACGACCTAGAGTCGACACTCGTGTGTCGTATTCAACACAAGATTATTACAACAGGGATTATGATGCATATAATAGTATGTTTTATATTTTGACGTCAATACCCTGTTTGTTTAAAACTTTATCCTCTTAATTTAAATTTCACTTTCCCTTGCATGCTGTGAGATGCACAGAACAAAAATATTTCTACCTTCACATTGAATGAAAACTTTTTGTTATTTACTTTTTCCATTATTTAATTTATTTCCAAATAATTGTACACCATTATGTTTATTTTATTTCTGATAAATGTTGAGTTTTTAATCCTTTCTTGATTAATTAGTTATTATGTTTCTTTTTTCTTTCTATCATAAAGATTGTGTCAAGGGAGACAATACAAAATTTACACATAGAATTGTGACATGGGAAGTAACTCTGGCCATTATTTATTTAAACTTTATATGAACCAAAGTGCTTGTAGAATTTGTAAATTTTAATCTTTGAAATAGATCAATACAATGTATACTTTAAAATAAATTTTAACTGCTACACTGTCTAAGTGTCATCAGTTTTAAAATTTACCAATTACATTTGAATTGGAAATTTAATTCTAATGATGTTAATTGTGGATAAAATAAAATTATTGTAGTACTTTTACTTTTTTTATCTCTAAAGTTGCAATAAGAATTTTAGAAAAATAAATTAACTGTATTTAAAAATACACATTTTAACCTAGCGAAGTTGATGGCATTGAACAAACATTAATGCAAATAAAATGAAACGGGCAGTTTTCAGTAAAGTTAAGTTAAGTACAAAGCAGTATAGTGAAATAAACATTTAAAAATCTGTTATCCACCATGCTACAAATTCTTTCACTACAACAGTGACATTTCTGAAAGGCTAGTGTTGCTATAAGATGCTAGAATGTTTTTACATGGTTACGTCCAAATACTTGATTGACAGGACATCTCTAAGGTATAAATGTGTTTTACGAGCCAATTAATTGAAAAAGAAAGCAGTTTTGCAAAATTGCTTTTTAATGTATAACTTTATGTTTATGTTATGAACATTAATGGTAGAATTTTACTGCACCAGATATGAATTTTGACAATTGAAATGTTTTAAGTGTTTATTAATAACATTAAAAGTCAAGATAGCTACCCCTATAAGTGGCAGTCCAAATTTCCAGCCCTTCAACCTGGTCTACTGACTGAGCAGAACCTATTGAATTAATGTTTTTTTTAATTGTTTAATATCCTGTATATGCATGAAATTTTTGTTGTTGACATTGAAATAAAAAAAATGATCATCTATGAAAAAATATCAGTACTTCTTTACCAGTTGTGTATGTTTCAATAGCTCTATACTTTCCAAGGAAAGCTCAGATTTGATCAGACTGACAACTACCTGTATTCATTTTTTACCGTTGCACCTAAGAATTTTTGAAACACTGATTTGCCTATTGTTTAATTTACTCGTTATGTTTGCCTGCCAATTGCTGCCTAAATTATAAACATGTGTTGCAGAAATGAAGTCAGCATGAAACTAACAATTTTAATATGATATTCACCATTATTATATATCCCTTTTTGTTTGTTGTAAAGTATATTTTACTTTTCCATATATATATATTTAAATTATATATTGATATAGCTGAAAAAGTAAGTTTATAGGAAAAGTGAAAACTTTTCTGATTTAATTACAAACGACAGTGAACCAATGCCTTCAATACAATTCTGATATAATTATACATTATGATTGAGAATTGATGTCTCATCGATGGATTTCCAACAATTTATTTCCTTTTATTTCATTCATATTTATTTTCATCCAATAATTTTGAATAAAATATAACAAGATGGAAATATTCACTACAGTTTTAATTTTGCTGTGTCTACAGTATGAAAGTAAAAATTAACTCCCAAAATACTGAAAAGCAAAGTATGAAACTGAAAAAAAAAGTGAATGATACATTCCAGATACATTTTTAGAACAGGGATGGATGTCCTATAGATGGAAAATATACTGGACTCAAATAAAGGGGGAGTCGTTCTTTTTAGTTTCAGCCTAATGACTTCAAACAGTGTTTTAACAAAATCTAAAAGAACTAGTAGTGAAATCTTAGGCATATCACACTATATTTTATGAGATATGGACCAAAATCAAGCTTAACTCAGTCAAGGTGGCTGAATCTGTTTTGCCCAAGCCAAATTAATTGTTGGGCATAGAAACAGAAAAAGGAGAAAATGGTCCTTGTCTTTTTCATAATGAAAGAAATAGACACTTGTTTAAACCAAACCTTTTGTAACTTTCAGATGAAGAACAGCTATAAAAAAATCCTGTAATAATAATGAATCCACAGTTTATGTAAATAGCAAATCTTGTTTTTTTAGGTAAAATATTCGAAATTTTTTATTTTTAAAATTTAGATGTTCGAAATAGCAAAATATCTGTATGCTTACTTATATGTGTATTGTAAATAAAATTTTGTATTTAAGGTATAGAAATACATGTATATAAAGATTTCTATTTCAAGAATAAGAATGTAGAACTTCAGCCTAGAATTCTCTTTGATAGGTTATGACAAAAAATACACATCTTATCAGAGTGACGGGAATGAAAGCGACACTGCCACGGACATACTTGTCTCAGCCCAACCATATGAACAGAGAATTTCACCTGTATCACCTGTAGAGTCACCCGATCATAAAGCTCATTCCAAATATCATCGCCGTAGTTATAGTCAGAGACGGGACTCTTTAGGGTCTGACTGCTCATCGATAGAAGACGTGGAAGAATCATACAGTAAACAACGACTACACAACAGATCTAAGTCAGCTGATGGAAGAGGTATTAATTTTGTGATTCTTCATTATGTTCAGTTGGAGGTCAAAAGTGGTCAACACCTTGAAAATTCCCATAGGTATTTTTCATGTAAAAACATATTTAAAAGAAACAGTCTCGAACTAATTTCTTGTCCAATTTGAAGAAAATTTTTACCATTAAATACAGAAATATCTGCAGTTTTTGTAATAATTTTGACATATTTTTATGATTTATACTTTTAGAGAAATCACTGTTTAAAGACAAATCTTATATTCTTTTGTTTTCTCAGTAATGACAAGTCATGACAATAATGCATGATAATTATAAAAGACTGGACACATATATGAGTTTAAAAGTACAAATTCCATCTAAAACAGACCTAAGAGTTGTATAATATTATAATATATATAGGGAAATTTCACGCCGTGATACACTTTTGACCTCTGATTGTACATAATATTTTCCTTTTAATGTATGAGATTACAATTTATTTAAAGCATTGAAGTCTAGTTCATATCAGTGATAGCTAAAAAAGATTTGAGTTTATTTACAGTATAGTTTTAAAAAAAAATACTGGTGAAAGAACGTGAGACACTGTGCTAAAGACATACATGAGTGAACAAAAGTTATATTATTACTTTTGATCCATTAATCTAACTTTGGAAACATGTATTGGTTTCTGATTTATCAAGAGTTTTAAATTTTTCTTCTTCATTTTTTAAGTGTTTTGCAACTTTTGCCAATATTTCTGTCATCAGTTTTCAGACATACTTTTTTATGATTTCAATTTTCATATAAAGTTATCTCCCATCAAAGTAACCATGTCCAATGAGTAAATAATGTTTATTAATTACAATGTATAAATGTACATGTTTGCACATATCGATGTTCTTATCATTTACTTATTTGATCATATGTTTTTACTAAAGTGACTGGCAGTTTGAAGTGAAATATTTGTTTAGAAAAGAAATAATCTGTTTGTTACTTAGTTTTTGTTTGATTATTTGTTCAAAATATTTTAAAATTTCTTATTCAACACTAATTTCAAAAGAATTTGAGGTTTTTATATACTATACATTTAGTAATTTTTTGGCATGTGAGTACTTTCTTAAAATTGAACAAAATTTAAAAATAAAGACTGAACTCCATTTACTTTTTTGAGGGGAAAATATGTTTTCATGGCTTCTTTTACACCTTACAACAAGCTCTTTTATGTTATTGTGTTCATAAACTTTTCTAAAACTAATATTTTATTCGACAAAAAAGTAAGAAAAGAATTAGATATTTATCTATCTATACATGTGCTTAATCAGATTATTATATTTGTTAAATTTTTCAGAGCTTTTAAGACGTACAGAACCAATGGGAAGCTCTGGGAGATCACCTACTCCCAACAGAACAGACAGATATGGATTAACGACAGGAGATCCTGGTTTCCGTAGTATCACGCCAAATGTTTTACCTACACAGCATAACAGATCATTAGATAGAGGGTTAGTAAGAAATACTTCTAGTTCTGTAGTTTAAAAATAAAAAACTTTGGTCTTTAGTTTTATGAATAAATCTTAAAGAAAATATCTGAATTTTGTTGTTGTTGCAAAAGTTGAGTGCAAACCTACTTTTGAGCTCCCCAACAGTAAATTACGATATCATGCTTATAAAGTAAGAATCTAAAAATTAAAATATATAAAAAAAGTTTGACATATGCACAAGTATGAGTTATCTCATTAGGTTTCTATTTGTGTAAAGTCACATGTCAGAGTATATTAATTATAATAAATAATTATTTGGTTTACAGTATTTCCTTTAAAAGCTTGTTAACCGAATTTTTGTGTCAAAAATGTCGGTTATTGATTTGGGGATGTACGGCGGGCGGTCGGTCGGTCGGTCGGTCGGTCGGTCGGTCGGGCGGGCGGGCGGGCAGGCGGGCGGGCTGCAACCAAATGTTGTCCGTGCATTTACTCATGAACCATTCAACCAAACCTTTTAAAATTTTAATATGTTGTTACTGACAACAAAATGGAGGTCAAGTTTAATAATGATGATTTTGACTTTTACCGTTCAGGAGTTACGGTTCTTGAAAGTTTAAAAAATGTCGTGTCCGTGCATTTACTCATGAACTGTTCAACCAAACCTTTTTAAATTTTAATATGTTGTTACTGACAATAAAATGGAGGTCAAGTTCAATAATGACGATTTTGACTTTTACCGTTCAGGAGTTACGGTTCTTGAAAGTTTAAAAAATGTTGTGTCCGTGCATTTACTCATGAACTGTTCAACCAAACCTTTTTAAATTTTAATATGTTGTTACTGACAACAAAATGGAGGTCAAGTTCAATAATGACGATTTTGACTTTTACCGTTCAGGAGTTACGGTTCTTGAAAGTTTAAAAAATGTCGTGTCCGTGCATTTACTCATGAACTGTTCAACCAAACCTTTTTAAATTTTAATATGTTGTTACTGACAACAAAATGGAGGTCAAGTTCAATAATCACATTGGTCTACATTAAGGTCCAAAGGGTCCAAAATTAAACTTTGTTTGATTTTAACAAAAATTGAATATATGGGGTTCTTTGATATGCTGAATCTAATCATGTATTTAGATTTTTTATTTGTGGACCCCGCTATCAAATTGGTTCATATTGAGGTCAAAAGGGTCCAAAATTAAACTTTGTTTGATTTCATCAAAAATTGAATTATTGGGGTTCTTTGATATTCCAAATCTCGCTGTGTATTTAGATTTTTAATTTTGGGTCCCGTTTTTTAAATTGGTCTACATTAAGGTCCAAAGGGTCCAAAATTAAACTTAGTTTGATTTTAACAAAAATTGAATATATGGGGTTCTTTGATATGCTGAATCTAACCATGTATTTTGATTTTGGACATTGGACCATAATAGGTAAATTAAAAAAAAAATCAAGTTCTTAGACCACATTCTTTCTGTGTCAGAAACCTATGCTGTGTCAAATATTTAATCACAATCCAAATTCATAGCTGTATCAAGCTTGAATGTTGTGTCCATACCAGGGCTTCCAAAATTTCCTGACGACAGCCAGACATTTTTCAAAGAAATATTTTTGACGGTCAATGATCAGCTGGATACTTAAATGTAACTGAGAGGATGCATAAATTGATATATGTGTCTAAATAATTAGTAGTGTTATATGCAATAAAATTATTTATAACTGTTTTGTTTTCTTCATTCTAAAAATAAATAAAATATTATCCTCGGTATTGTGTCATTTTTCTGTGTATCGTAATACAGTAACCATCATTGCATCAATCAGCTTCAGTACCTGACTGTTCTCATGTTTTTGTTTCTGTTTATATAATCTATCTTCTCTCTGTGAGTACTTAACACTTTGTAAATTAAGGGTATCTTATTTGAAACTGTTGATGTTGGCTTTAATTGCAGTACAACTTGATCATCAATACACGTGATACTTTTCTTTTTGTGTATTGATTACCTGACCACGTGACTTCTACAACTGATGCGGTATTTATAGATAACATTGAGGAGGCCCAATGAAGGATATTGTTTTAAACCGTGTAAAACCTACTGAACAGTAATAACATTTTTCTTTGTACAATTTCCCAACCTGATTTAGAAAATAAGAAGAATAAATAAAAACATACTCAGTTGATAAATAATTTAAACTAATTTTCAGTTCACCAGCTTTGAGGTATGATAAGTACAAAATTAAATGTTTTTGCGTAGCCAGATCAGTTGACTCGTCGATCATAATTCCCACGGCGGGACTTAACTTTACGTCGGACATCACCTCTTTCTCTATAATATCTGAAATTGTCTGAATAAATTCGGAGCAGGCATTGTTCTCTTGATGTAATTTAGAAGTGATCACGGCACCATTTAACTTAGTTAAATCATTTATTGACTGAAATTTGTCCATTGCCTTTGGTAAGTTTTCTTTAGCAATAAAGTAAGCATTACGGAACAAGGTGCACATTGCGTTGTCAGTCTTTTCATGAACTTTCTCAAATACTGATACAATTGGATTACTTTTGGAAGCTGTCTCTAATTTAAGAGCTTGAACGTGGTCATTGCTATTAGCATCCTCTACAACGGCTGACTTTCGAAAAGTTATTTTTAAGTTTATGTGTTTGACAAATGTCACAAAACATGGCATTTAGCATACTGTCAAATCTTAACCATAAAAACAGTTGTAACCATTTATGAATAAAGCTTCTAAACAAGAATAGAGAACGCCCCCCCCCCCCCCCCCCCCCTTATTTATTGGACAACTCAGCTATTCTCGGTGTTTTTCCTATATATTTCAATAAATTTTCCCCTTTAGAGTACCCCAGTATTTAAAACGATGTACAGTGTTAAATAAAATAATATATATCATACTTATTCATTTATAAATAGAATAACTTTTGAATATCAGGATACTTTTTTAAACTGAATGCTCAATTAAAATAATATCTATAAAGCGTAATTAAATAGGATGTTGTTCCATACACGCTTACATGTTTGACCTCGTTTACCTGATCACCTTTATGTACAGTGTTATGCATCATTAATTCTATTGATAAAGACAAGCTAAGGACACCTCATCAAAGGTTACAAACCTGTAATCATTGAACGATTTATGGCTTCAATATAACTTATTGAAGGGATAACTGTTTGACAGCTTGTTAATATTTAAATAAAAGAAATCTTTTTTTTCTACTTTTTATTGATGTACACAAGCTAAAGACCAAGCGGTACATTTATGTACCCAGAGGATTAGACTAACTGAAACACTTCAAAGTATCTGAAATATGCTGCATCTGTTTTATTAAACCCAATTATGACCGAAATATCTTTGTGAAATAGATTGCCACAATTATAAACTAAAATGCTCAAACGGACATGCCCAAAGCCCCAAACGGACATTTTTATCGATCGATAGTTGGTAAAAATTGAAATGACCGTATTATGAAAATGCCTTGAATAACAAAAAGTGGCAAACCAATTCTATTTGACCGTTTGAGGCTGAGAGCAGCCGGACTTTTTATGAAAGTTTCGGTCAAGTCCGGAATATATGACCGTTTTGGAAGCCCTGGTCCATACTTGCCCCAACTGTTCAGGGTTCGACCTCTGCGGTCGTATCAAGCTGCGCCCAGGGAAGCATTTTATTTTTGTTGTGATCAGCGATCCACGAATTTACGTATACCACGAAACGTCTTTTTTTCTCTATCCACGAAAATTGATACCCACGAAAATAAATGAATCCACAGTACTTGCTCAACTGTTCAGGGTTCGACCTCTGCAGGAAAATCCGGTTTGCTGTCTCTCTGACAGCCTCTTGTTTTATTAGATTAATCCCACTTGTGGCAGGTGCATTCTAATCATAATTGACTAGGATAGCCAGTTTTCCTGCAGAAGGTTCTCTGTGGGTACTCGGGCTTCCTCTGCCAATAAAAAATGGCCGCCATGATACAGCCAAAAGTGCTGAAAGTGGCATTAAACACCAATAATCATCCAATCAATCTATTAGATAAATTGTTGATGTTTATTAATTTGATTTTAAGCAAGAAATAATCAATCAATCAACCAATTCGACAAATAACAAAAAAAATTAATATATGACATAAGAAAACTACCAATGATGTGATTTGGTGTCTATGATAACTTTTTATTCTGAAATTGACAGGTGAACAGATAACATTAAGCGATAAACATATACTATACGTTTAGAGTCTCCTGGTATCCTGCTTCTGTTGTGAGCAATCAGTTATATTCAAATTACACTTTACTTCACAGTTCAATTGGGGCCTCATCACGGTCCGCATTTTAATCATGTTGATTTCAGTCAAAAACAAATCCAACGGTTAGGAAGTTCTGACAACAAAACAGGAGAAAAGCTTGGTGAGCCTCAATTTTCTATCTGTTTCTTAAGCTCCTACACATCAATTTTATATTATTACAATTTTCAAATATTGTATATATAAGAATAGAGTACTCATGAATCATTCTGGATATTTTTTTAGATCTTTAACAAATATAACATCAGGTTTGAGACCGTTTGCACCAAGAACACCAGGAGATATTAACATTGAAGATGTTGTTAAATTCTCTCGACAAGGTGGAAAACTTAGCCAAGGGAAAATCAAATTCGTTGGACATCTTCCGGGCAGAAGTGATATTTACTTAGGGGTAGAGCTTGATAAGGAAGGTAAGTGGACAATAGAGCTAAGAAGGATGAAAGGAAGTGTGAGATATACTATTGATTTATTTATTTTCATGTACACCAATTTTCAAGGATTCAGGAACGATTGTATTTTTTATGTCCTGCTTTTGGCAATGGGGGCATTAAGTATTAACCTTAACTGTCCATCTTTTCGTCTTTCCGTCTGTCCCATTTCCTTTCCGCACTCTAACTTAAGTTTGCCTTATACAAATTTAATGAAACTCATACATAATGCTGAAAACCACAACACACAAACAGAATTCGTATTTGGGCAGTGAGTCATTTACCATTTTTCCTCAGACACATTCTTCTTTTATTCTTGGATATTTCATTTCATGGTTTTGCTGAAGTCTGCATATAAGCCTAGCAATAATTTGTACTTTGTTGAACATTTAAATTCGTGGGCTACTTACACCCACAATAATAAAAAATCCACAGTATATGTCAATGACCAAACTGGAGGTTCAAGTCTATAAAAAAAAGTTCACCAGTATTCTGTATTGTATGAATAAAGGAATTGTGGGGTATTACTTGGTGACCAAAACTGGATGCTTCACACATATAAAAGAAAAGGTTCACCATTGCTCACTTTAAGCCCTTTTAGCAGTTAGGATGTTCCAAAATGTACAGATTGAAAAAAAAAATGGGATACTGAAGTTCACTTTATAGATCTATAGCAGTTTTTCCTCAAACTTAAAAGTTTACAAAAATTTTTTTTCTTTTTAAACCAATCGAAATTTGAAGACATTTAAAAGTTTCACAAACATTCATTTTGGTCAGAGCATTTGGCTTATGTTTCAAAAAACGGAACTATTAAAAAAAAGCTAAAATTGACAATAAAATACACTTTCTGAGTGAGAAAACATTATCATAATTTCATGTTGATATCATAAGTAAAATATTTAATGTGTCAATTTGGTGTATATAGATATTTTGTTCTGGAAACATAGTGTTACCATTCAAAGATGAAAATCTTCATTGGTTTTGCAGAGCAATCTGACTCTGTATGAATTTAAATCTTTACAAAATTTAGTAACAGTTGAATTTTATTATATTTTAGATGGTAAACATGACGGCACATTCGAAGGAGTGAGGTATTACAAATGGTAAGTCAATCAAAGTTCTGTCATACTGTTTTATGAAGAAGAAAAAAAAAATCAGAATGATTTTCTGAGCATCCAGTTTTTGTATTTTTTTATGTTGATAAGTAATTTTCTATGAATAGTTTTGTTCATCTGTACTTATTTCAGGTTATCTAAAATTTAGAAAATTAAAAAATAAACACTTCTGTATTTAAGGCCATCAAATAACAAACAAATGGACACCAATCTGATGTCACAGAGAACAAGAGTAAAACTGAAAATTAAAAATACTGATGAACAATAAAGAAAATCTTTTTTTTTTTCATTGTAAATTACAGTACACTGCATCTTGTTAATCAATCACAACACCCAACACAGTAAAAAGATATGTTATTGAGACAAATACAAACAAAAGATGTCTGGACACCATATACAGTTTTCAACAATAGACAGTTTTGTCAAACACAATTTCTTAATTGGTCCATTACAACCACAGATATTTTCAGTATGGATATTTCTTCTGCTAAAAAAGTACAAAAATGTAGTAAAGAAGACGATTTTATGTCAACAAACCAAGATTCAAGTAATATTTTTTCCTGTGCATAAAATATTTTCTCTATATTTTTTTTTACAGCAAACCAAACAAAGGAGTGTTTGTAGCATTCAACAAAGTGGTGATGGCATGGGCTCCAAACTTATGAAGATAGTTGTTAAATATATCGTTATGTTAAATGCATAGAATTTTCTACTTTTGAACTCAGATCTGTATGTAAATGTCAGTACATTGCCATAGTAACACAATTTGTTTACTTCTGAAGCAAAATTTGTAAAACTTTAACTGAAGTCTTAATATTTTTTCAAGAATTTCAAGCATGGGCCTTAGAATGTAGGTAGGCAATATAAAAGATTGTGTAGAGTTTTTACATACAGCTGTTTGGTGCTGTAAAACACACATTGTGATATTGTTATTGTTTCTTTCATATAGTTTAATAACAATGTTAAATTGTAACATTATCTAAAAAATAAATTACATGCATGGTTTTTTGCAGAGGAAAGAGTTTAATGTTGAATGTTAAGAAGATTATAGTCAGTATATTCCTGTTTGAATTTTGGCACAAAACTTTTAATGCTTTTAATCAAGATGTTCTGAAATTTAGATAAAACTCCTTCAGAACTTTATTTTTGAAGTAAAAGTTTTACAAAACCATCGGATGAAATTTGAAATGTTAACAGACATACAGTACAAAAATATTGAGAATGCTTATTTTCATTTTCCTTTGAATTGAATACCTAAATTAGATATTTGTAAGAGCTTGCATTGAAACAGTTGTGACAACTGAAATTTATATGGTTATATATCTCAGTGAATGGGGTATTTATTAAAGGTTCTGTATTTTCTGTCTAGTGCTATCAACATGAAAGTATGAGGTATGATTTAAAATAGATACTTTGTATATTTCAATTGTGGAATTCTGTTTTTTTCATACAAATTAATTAAAGCTGTGTGTGCCACAGATAATATTTAATGAAAATCCTTTTTTTAGACCAGAAAGTCATGTTTACTGCACAGAAAATTCAACTACAATTGGTTGACAGGAACTAAATAAGTGTACGAGTTTTTATATTTTCATGGTTATACAAACTATAAATAAACTATTTTACTTTAATGAATGTATTTGTCAGATTGAAGAAAAGAAGGCTCAATTCTGTGATATTTGTTTGATTAGTGATATTTAGTTAACAAAAAATTGTATGATACAGATATGTTGATTACAAATATATTTTACAAAAAAGAATTTTAAGCTGGAACCGGGGAAAAATAAATTATGTCTGAAAATGGAGATAACTCATAGTATTTTAATTGCACAACAAGGTTAAAATTATTTTCCTTTGTGAGCAAGTACATGCTGGTTTTCAATATGACCTAGAGACATGTATATATATATGGTTTAAATGATTATTTATTGATGTCTGGACATTTTACAAACAGTGATTTATTAGTGTGATATTTTAACAGGTCCAAGATATGTTTTGATATCTTTTATTTTTACAATAATCCGTCCACTTGAAAGCTTTTGCTTTTTGTAGTCATTTACTGTTAATAGTAAATAAAGATAGAGAATATACAGTATGTGTTGTTTTTTTCACTCACCTGGCCTATATGAATAATCAATAGATTCTAGTGTGGAGGATTTGAAGAGAGAGCCTTTGAAAACAGTTGGGGCTTTTTGAAAAAAAGTGCCTTCATTATTATAGCATTATTCATCTATTTAAATAAAAATGATGTGATATGATGTAGAAGTTAGAATTAAATACTGACAAAGCACTATATCAAAAGTGCACTGTTAGACTCTGTTGCTTATTTTGAATACCTGGAATGCTTTGCATTTTACAGTTTTTTTTCTTGGTGGTTATTTAGACTTGCTGTACAAAAATTTGTGGAACAGAGTAATAAATAAAACCTTCCACAGCATGAATAAGCACTTCAAAAATTTGAAATGAACTTTTGCACAGTAAATATAAAAATAAGAAGATGTGGTATGAGTGCCAATGAGACAACTCTCCATCCAAGTCACAATGTATAAAAAGTTAACAATTATAGGTCAAAGTACAACCTTCAACATAGAACCTTGGCTCACACCGAACAGCAAGCTATAGAGGGCATCAAAATGACTAGCGTAAAACAATTCAAACAAGAAAACCAACAGTCTAATCTATATAAAAAATGAGATTGTTTGTTTTTTGTTGTCCGAAGTTTGAATTTTAAATCCTCTGTAAGTGTAAGTACGGTTTGACCTTCTTTTGAAATAATTGCAGGTTATAGGTTAAGCTGAGTATGGTACTATATTCAATATTTCAACCAATCCAAAACTAACAACAAATTAAAGTGATATCATACACAAAATACAACATACGAGTCCAAAAAAATGTGTGGGATAAAGTCTCCTTGATTCGTTCCCTTATGAAAAGAGAAACTTTGCTGTAACCTTGCGGCAATCATTTTAGTTTGCCAGAAGACCTGAAAGTTGTTCACCAGTGTTCGCCACTAGCAGCGACCTTTTGGCAAAGAGATGTAAAAGTGTGCCGCAAGTTTGCCGCAAACTCTTAACTTTCTTAAAATTGAAGGAACTTTATAAACAAACTTTACAGCAGTCCTAAAGTTTGCTGGAACTTCGCCGCAAACTTTATTGCATACTGAGCATGCTCCCTGCACTAAAATTAGACTTCTTGCTTCTTTAAATTTGAAATAGGAGGGAAGTTTTAATGTTGGTGTTTTCATGTAAAAAGTAAATGGATGTTATACATGATAGATGTCTGAGTTATATATGATTCAATTAGTTCCTGGAACAGGCAATGCATCATTGATCATCTCTTTGTAAGTCATTTTAGACATTTTTTGCATGTTAATTTGGTATTATTGGTACAAAATTTATGTCAAAGAACCCCCATTTTGAAAATAACAATAGTGTTACACCCTTATATACTGCCCTAAGAGAAATATCATTACAGTTATAAACTTAAACTTTGTGGGTAATGATGTTTTGCAGGAATGGTCATCTTATGTTCAAATAATTTGTAATGCTTTATTGTTAAATCACATTTGATCAATATTTTAGATATAATTTTATGCTTAATACAGTATAAATGTTGTCATGCAGTAGTCCCAGTTCTTTTTAATTGGCCTTATAAAAACAGATCTGTTCTTGATTTTTTTCATACATAATAATATTTTATTATGTATCTGTTAAGAAATTAATCAGCTCATTCTAAATTCTGCACTGAGTAAATAAATAGATATACATGTACCTATATTGTTTTTTATGGTCACAATTTATATTTCTCTCTTTCACATTTCTTTACAAATGAAATTTTGATCAGCAGGGAGCAGGTAAAAAACAATTATTGGTCATAATAATTAATACAATTTAAATTTTGATCCATATGTGCATGTTTTGAATGAGACGTACAGTTTTGAAAAAGAATTAACAGGAAGGTAGTCAAAGGGTATCATTAGCATTTGATTTGCCAGAGGTTCACTGGAAACTATAAAAGGCTTAGAAAGTTTGCAGGAAGTTCACCACAAAAATTGCCAGAAGTTCGCCACAAACTATATAAGGCTATCAAAGTTCGCCAGAGGTTCACCACAAATAGTCGCCAGAAGTTCACCACAAACTATATAAGGCTATCAAACTTTGCGGCAAGTCTGCCACAACCTTCATTTGCATGGTAAAAAGTCGCGGTGAAGTTGCCGCAAACTATTTGCAGCAACCTTACCGCAGTGTTTGCGCAACAGTTCGCCAGAAGGCTGATTTTTTCGTAAGGGTTGTTTTAACTGAGCTAAGTGTTGATATGTCTACAAGTCCAAATTGTTCAATGGTTTTAACATAATAAATCTGTAAACCTACTTATAATAATTTATTCACTGCATGAACTATGAAATCCATTTCTCAACAAGGGTAGAATATAGAGGTACATTCCTTAAATAAACCAAAAAAATAATGAGAGAGAATGTCGGTTTCAAATTCATCAAAAACATGCTTTATATTCCCAAGCTTTACCAATGGTGAGGGACCATCCCATACATCTAATGCTAGGTTCACTGTTGTGTGATTATGTTTCCTAACACTTGCTTTAATGTAGCCCATGAAACTTAGGGAAAATGGTTTCCGTATAGAGATAAAGATCTCTTGAATAATTTTTTTCATTTTGCACGAATAAATGTATTACAAGACGAACCATGCATAAATGACGCTCGTTTTTTTATTTTGTTTAACACTTGTGCGGGAGGGGGAGGACCTCTGGCCGTGGCAGCGTTCCACTAGTTTTTCGTTTTTTTTTTTTAATTTCGGAAGATTGTCAAGCTTGCTTCAATAACAGATTGCTGAATGTAGACTTTGTTTAACAAACAAAATACTAAATAATGTTTCTGCTTCAAGATCTGGTAACAATCACAACCTTATACATCTACATATTAACCATGTTAACAAAACTTCGGACCAATACAAAAGAATTTGCATTTAAAATTGCCTTATTTATGTTTACAAAATTTGCTTCATATTAAACCAAATAAATACTCTTTTAGATACCGTAACATCCTTGAAATACCACAGGTTAGAACTATCGCATATGGTAAGAATTTTTCTTTTTTCTGCTGCTTCTCTGTGGAGTAGTTTACTCATGGACGTAACATTGATACCTTCCATGGTTTACCGGACCACTTTAGGACTGAAAACAATTTACACATTTTAAATGTATTGTTCAGTTCTGGAGTGGTTCTGACTGTATTTGCAGGAAATTTAATACATGTTCATGTATTTAATGTTTCATAAATAGGTCAACTAAACATTTTAGTCATATCATTACAAAAAAAAATATAGACATATTTACTTAGTGCTTCGTATAAGCTTTTCGTATTAGCTTTTATATACTAGAAATAGCGTTGTGCTGGTTTTATTATCATTGAATGTAATAAGGTAGCTCCCTTACCTCAAATTCTTGTAACGCCTCTCTGTAAATGTGACTTGTGTGTGTGAGTTTATACCTTGATAAATGATAAAGTCAGCTAGATTGTATGACAATTTTTAAATAAACGAAAGTATAACTGTGCACAAGCTCGAACTGATGACAGGATAGCCCAGGATGCCAGAACACTGCAATTGGTTTTTTGATTTTAGATATCTGGTGTTATACGCTAGAGTAGTAGTTAGTTTTCTCGTTTGAATTGTTTTTCATTTGTCATTTCGGGGTCTTTTATAGCAGACTATGCGGAAAGGGCTTTGCTCATTGTTGAAGGCTGTACGGTGACCTATAGTTGTAATTTCTGGGTCATTTGGTCTCTTGTGGAGAGTTGTCTCATTGTCAATCATACCACATCTTCTATTTTATAATAAGTTTTTTTCCCGTATTTTAACTGTTACAAGTGTAACTTTTTATCCACACAAGCCACGGGAATGTCCCTAAGAGAAAGCTTAAAAAAGAGAAGAACATGAAGTGATGAACACCGTCGTACAATAGTACCAAAATATTGTGTGAAAATGTGTGTTTATTTTATAGATATTTAATTTAAGTATCGTTTTTTATTTGAAATTGCGAAAAGAGTCAAATAAGTCTCCCTTAAGAATCAATCTGCAGAAAATTGACCCTGGTAACATGTCAAACTATCCATATCCGTACACTATCAAAACGTTTATATATAGAAATATATTTAGACATACTTTGAACAAGGAAGTTTAATAATAAGGACAAAATGGCAACTTCGTTAAACGTTAAGGAGGAACATATAAAAGAAGAATTTGCCGATTTATTGATGTGTACAATTTGTCTTGAAACATTTAAACAGCCAAAGTATTTACCGTGTTTACACACGTTTTGTGAGAGCTGTCTAAGTACCTATATTGTTTCAACTGTGAAGGAAGAAAAACCAGAGGGATTCAAATGCCCAGTATGTCGTCGACTTGTACCAGTTGGAGACAGTAAGGAGAATCCCGACACATGGGCAAGAACTTTGCCTGGGAATCATTTTGTAGTTTCATTGATTGATAGGAGAGCAATGAAAAAAGCCGAGAAATTTTGCGATGCTTGTAGCAGTAAAAGTGTTTCTAAAGAGGCAATATTATGGTGTACGGTTTGTGAAGAAGCATATTGCGAAACTTGTGAAGCTAATCACAAAACATTCAAAGCGACGCGAAATCACAAGATAATACCGATCAAAGATATAAATGAGGATAAGTCTATTTCAATTGTTTATGCGTTTGTTACGTGTGATGAACATCCAGACAAAACAATTGAAATATACTGCAAGGATCACTCCCAACCATGCTGTACTGTTTGTGCAACTGTACACCATAGAAAATGTGAACATGTTGTTACCATAGATAAAGCTATAACCGGAGTTAAAGAGTCTACAAAAGCACAGAAAGTTATGAAGAAGTTAGAAGAAACAAGTAACAAACTAGAAGGAATTATCCAAAATCGACATCAAAATACGACAAATTTTAAAAAAGAAATAGACGTTGTCGAAGTTGAAATTGCAAACATGCGTAAAAAATTAAATGAAAAGTTGGATAAAGTGGAAAATGAAATAAGAGAAGAAGTAAATAATACAAGAAAAAGCAATCTTCTAAAACTAAGTGAAGAGTCTACTGAATTATCAGCCCTGAAGAGTACTTTTGATCATTGGAAGACTATATTCGAGGCTTGTTTGTCACAAGGGTCTGAAATACAATGCCTGGTCAAAATGGAGGAGATTTTCAGGAAAATTCCACAGTTCGAAAATGATATCGGTAAGGTTATACAAGGAATAAAGGACATATCGGTTAAGTTCGAAGCTACGGATATTTCAAATGCTGTTTGCTTTGGTCATCTTCAATACAATGAACAAAGACCGTCTTTTCTTGGATTTAAAGATATTAACTTACATACTGGAAAGATAAAAGTTTTGTTTACAATTGATATTACAGGCAAATTTATCAGTGGCATATTCTTTAACGATGATATCATTATCACCGACTGTAATAAGAACAGGATCGTTTATCATGACAATACCGGGAAACAAATGGAAGTATTGAACATTTCGGAGGGACCGTTTGATATCACTAAAGTGAATGATCAGACTGCAGCTGTGTCGTCTGGTGCAAAGAAGATTTATATAATTAATGTAAAGCCGTTAACGTTAGTAAAAACATTAAATGTCGATGTTTCTGTATGGGGATTATGTTTGGTGGAGGATGAGTTCATAACAGCTAATCAGAGTAAAACTATTTCTTGGTTGAACGCTGAAACGGGGTCTAAAATCAAAGAATTAACGATAGGCTACGACCCAAGATTTGTCACTTGTAACCCAAAAAGTGAGTACATTTATAGGAAAGGTGAACACTCTGTTGAATTTATATCAGCTGTCGGGAAAAATTTCCAATATAACCACAGTAAATTAAAGTATCCGTTTAACCAGGAAATTGATCAAGACGGGAACATATACGTTGTAGGATACGGTTCACACAACATCCATCAGTTGTCTCCTGCTGGAGAACTCATTCGTATCATTCCTTTATCAGATATCAACAATGAAGTTTCACTTCCTTGGGTGATGCGCTTTAAAAGAAATACTAACCGGTTTCTTCTAACGTTTCACGCATCGGCTGGTCCAGTGTTAGTGTGTGAAATTGAATAAACTGCAGTTGATTAACTAATCTTTGATTTATTGAAAAATAAAATATCAGAAAATGATCTATATCATTGACAAAGAGTTGCCATGTATTTATGAATGAAATGGAAGTTTAGGGTTTACGTCAATGCGACACCAACCCAACGACGGATAAAAAAAATCCGAAAGACATCTAAAGGGCAACATACAGTCTTCAACAACAATTCTCTTTTGTATCCTGTTTCTATAATATTTGTGAATAAATAAAGCAGAACCAATCAGAGGTCTGTCACAAACATCATTTGTCAAATAATAAAAATAAATTAAGACATTACTTTTGACAACCACCGATCAGGTACCTCAATGCTGAGACAGACACCCGAATGCTGAATGATCAAACATGTCATGTTTTTTTTTCTTTATTGGTAATTTCTCTCTACAGCAGATTAATACAGAAATAAATCAGAAAAAGTCAAATAGCAAAAATACCGAACTCCAAGGAAAATTCAAAATGGAAAGTCCTTTACCAAATGGCAAAATCAAAAGCTCAAACACATCAAACACATCAAACGAATGGAAAACAACTGTCATATTCCTGACTTGGTACAGACATTTTCTTAAGTAGAAAATGGTGGATTAAACCTCGTTTTATAGCTAGATAAACCTCTCACTTGTATGACAGTCGCATCGAATTTCAGTATATTAACAACAATGCGTGAGCAAAACACACAGACATAATAGGAACAAGAGTGCACACGCTGAAATGTCTCGCCTTCTTTACTAACCATTGATTTTATGTTGATAGTCCTAAATATAAAGCTTTACTACAAGTAACACATAAACTTAAAATGATCCAAGAAAATAAGGTCAAGGTCAGATAAACCAAACGAGAAATACATGTACACCTTACAACCATTCAATAAACCAAACATAGTTGACCTATTGCTTATAGTTTCTAAGAAACAGTCTTAAACAAGAAAATTTAACATTGACCAATGAACCATGAAAATGAGGCCAAGGTCAGATGAACCATGCCAGACAGAAATGTACACCTTACAATCAATTTATGCATTAAATATAGTTGACATATTGCTTATAGTATCTAAGAAACAAACTTAACCATGAAAACTTAACATTACCAATGAACCATGAAAATGAGGTCAAGGTCAGATGATACCTGCCAGACAGACATATACACCTTACAATCCTTCCATACAACAAATATAGTTGATCTATTGCTTATAGTTGAAGAAAAACAGACCAAAACACAAAAACTTAACACTGAGAAATGAACCGTGAAAATGAGGTCAAGGTCAAATAAAACCTGCGATACTGACATGTACATCATAAAATATTTCCATACACCAAATATAGTTGACCTATTGCATATAGTATTAGAATAAAAGACCAAAACTCAAAAACGTAACTTTGACCACTGAACCATGAAAATGGACATGTACATCTTACAATCATTCCATATATCAAATATAGTAGACCTACTGCTTATAGTATCTGATATATGGACTTGACCACGGAAACTTTACCTTGTTCACTGATCCATGAAATGAGGTCGAGGTCAAATGAAAATTGTTTGACGGGCATGAGGACCTTGGAAGGTACGCACATACTAAATATAGTTATCCTATTACTCATAATAAGAAAGAAATTAACATTACAAAAAATGTTGACTTTTTTTTTCATGTAGTCACTGAACCATGAAATTATGTCAAGGACAATGGACATATGACAGACGGAAACTTTGTAACATAAGGTATCTATATGCAAAGTATGAAGCATCCAGGTCTTCTAGCTTCTAAAATATAAAGCTCTTAAGAAGTTAGCTAACGCCGCCGCCGCCGTCGGATCACTATCCCTATGTCGAGCTTTCTTCGACAAAAGTCGCAGGCTCGACAAAAATGGTCAAAAATTGGGGTACAGCAGTTAACATTGTGTTAAAAATTGAACAGCGATATACTACTGTTGCCTTTATTAATCAATATAAATACAAACAACTATTTCAACAACAAAAAAAACCAAAATGGCATAAAGACACTCTATAGACGAAAGTACATAAGCAAAAATAAAAGACAAGAATACAAAAAATGACCATAGCACAATAATATAATGGCGGGATGTATAAATACCGAGCCACGCCAAATGCATATTACCAAAAATGGAATTAACAGTAAAGGTTAACAATATCCAAAGATAAATAAAAAGAACACCATAACACATAATTAAGATGATAAGCAACGGCAGTACATAGAATCTATACTTCAAACCATCATGTATTATTTGTGAAGTTGATACGGAATATTTATCAACAAGGTCTTGGTATCTTTCGATGAAATTTTTTAGAAAAAGGACGAGAAGTTCTTTGACATAAACCTGGCTCATTAACTTTCTGCTCAGACACTGGTGACGTTTTATAAAGTCTAAGTAGCAGCTGCAAGCTCTTGAATACCGAATGATTTGGGAAATGTATATCCCATATGTAGGTAGTTTGTTTTTTCCTGCTAAGGTGTGGAAATTTATAATTTTAAAATTTTAATCGTCTCGTTTGTCATAGATTCTGGACTGAGATGGCCGCTTATGTCAAATTCGAGGTATAAGTCTACAAATGAGACAGAGGAAGCCGTGTCTGTTGTTTCTTTAATTTCTAGTTCCGGAGGATATATTGATGGAACCCAATCAGAAAAGTTTGGATTCTTAATGGAAAGAATATCATCAATATATCTGAATGTGAAATTAAATGATCTGGCTTCTTTGATCTTCTTGTTTTTGACAAGTGTTTGAAGGAACTCCAGCTCATATAAAAATAAGAAGAGGTCGACAAGGAGAGGCGCTCAGTTCGTTCCCATAGGAATGCCGACAAATTGTTGAAAAAATCTACCTCCAAATTCAATAATTATGTTGTCAATGAGAAACTGCAGCATGCGTAAGTGTAGTACGTGTATCTGATTTTATAGGCATATAAATTGTATTCTGTTTTGTAAAACACCGAACTTAAAAAAAAGATGCATGTGTATATCGGCGTTGCATTCTTAGTGAAAATAAATCCAGAAAAGCGATTCGGACGCATCAAATGTAAAAAGCGTTATTTTCATTTTTATAGCACTGGGTCGTTACCGCTACTAGTGGACTACCAGACCACGAGGGTATCATTAGCTTAATACTTTGGTACTGAAATGATTTATAACGTACCTCTCTTAAATTTGACGTTTATAAATTTATGCATTATTAAGAAACTAAGGTTTCAACTCTCTCTGGCAAAGTAGACTGGTCATATAGTTTGTCACCATTTCGGTTCTTATGCATCCTTTGGTTTCAAATATTAGGCTTTGAGCGTGCATGATGAAAATAAATCCAAAAAAAGCGCTTCGGATGCACAATATTTATAGTGGTATTTTCGTTTGTGGGTACTGTAGAATTTGAAAGCTATGATAAAACAAGAAAGCAGAATTTTATATTTCATTAATATGAAATAAAAACAGATATTACATGACGTCTTTCGTATAAAAGTCTGAAAGAAACTTTCTTTTAATATGAACTATTTACAATAATTTATTTTTAGCAAAATAAAATCTTATTTGAAATAAGAGGATTACTAGGATTAGTTTTAATTTTAAATGTTAATCTCCAAATTCGTGTAATGATGTACTAAACATTAAATGAATATCACTGTTTTCTTTATTGTAAACTGAATCAACTCTACAATATTTTTCTTTTTAATCAATATTATAAAACTTGGATAAAGAAATGATAAGCTACTTTTCAAGTAAAAACAAATTATATTATTTTGAATTAAAACTTTTGTCAGCAGCCATTGACTTTTTAAAGTAATTTTTAAAATTGCAAAAGTGAGGTCCATGTCCTTCAAATGTTACACTATATTGAAATATTCTGCAGCAGCACATCAATCTTTACTCTGTAAAAGAGGGGCGAAAAAAAGAGAAAGACAAACAGACAAACACAAAACACAACATAGAAAACCTAAGACTAAGCAACACGAACCCCACAAAAAACTGGGGTTGATCTCAGGTGCTCTGGAGGGGTAAGCAGATCCTGCTCCACATGTGGCAACCGTCGTATTGCTCATGTTAGTACAAACCCTGTAAATAGTCTAATTCGGTAGGTCACATTCGTGAAAAGGGAACGGGATTGTAGTTATGACAATAGGAACTTATCCGCTAACATCTGTGAAACGGATATTCCATAACGACCAACCAACTGGTGATGGCGTCCGTAAAATTTACGAAGGAACGATTTCAACTTCACCATTTGGAACTCTTGGTTTGATAGCTTCCTTGTGAGCAGCAACCCTTTATCAAGGAAATCATGATAGGATATACAAGCCCGGGAATATCGTATTAATTGGGAGATATATACTCCGTATGCAGGCGCTACTGAAATGTTGCTACATAGAAATTGAAAGTTCACAATTGGGAAGCTGACATCATCTCTTTTGTCGTAAAGTTTTGTTTTCAAGCGACAAACAAACCCAAAAAGGTATCAAAAGTGTGGATTTTCTAAAAATTGCTTGACATTTCACAGTGATATCATACTTTAACTTTGTTTAAACCTGTTTATTTACTTTTGACTTTAATTATTTATTCCTTGTAATTTTTTATTAACTGTGTATTTGCATTCAAGTGTCACAGGTCAAATTTTTTCGTTCATTGTGTGTTAATTTACGTTTTTTGATTGAGTTAAGCCTTCCATTTGATATTTTATAGTGTGTTTTTTAATGTTGTGATGTTATTCTATTGTTTCAGAAAAGGGAGAAGGTTTGGTACCATTAAAACGTTTAATCCCGCTGCAAATGTTTGCACCTGTCCTTAGTCAGAAATCTGATTACAGTAGTTGTTGTCTGTTTATGTAGTTCATACGTGTTTCTCGTTTTTATATAGATTAGACCGTTGGTTTTTCCGTTTGAATGGTTTTACACTAGTAATTTTTTTGGGGCCCTTTATAGCTTGTTGTTCGGTGTGAGCCAATGCTCCGTGTTGAAGGCCGTAACTTGACCTATAATGGTTTACTTTTATAAATTGTAACTTGGATGGAGAGTTGTCTCATTGGCACTCATACCACATCTT